GGTAAGAAAATATAAACAAATATTTGAATTATATAAATTCATGCATTTTCCCCTTTTGGGATGTTTATGTGCGTGCCGATAATAGGAGAATTATGAAACAAAAGCCAAGACTTGGCATAAAGGCGTTAAGTTTGTTTTTATGCCTAGCAGGCAAGCCTGTGTTCCAATTGAACAGCTGATCACTTCCGTACGCATGCACGCAAGTAAGTATGAAAAATAAAAATTAAAACGGCTGTACTTACAGTTTTTGTCCAACGTCGAAAGATCTTTCGGGGGGGGACGCGCTGTGTGGGCTCACCGCTGCTTGCATGCATAATTTTTTTGTACTAAAGTTTATGTTCGATATTTACTGGGTGGGCTTTAACGTGTTTTTTTTTAAACAAACCAGAAAAAAAATTGTCGCCATGCACATACACATTTGTAGCTAACGAATTTTGCTTTGTGTATTATTTTTTTTTGTTTTCACTTAGGTATATTCTTTCCCACTTCATCACGCCATGCCGAGTTGCTTTGCTCGCGTGGTTACACATATGTACATTTAAATTTGGATTTAACACAGGGGAAAAAAAAATTAAAGAATGATAAGCGCACTAGAGAAGTTCATTTTTGCGCTGGACACATATATAAATATATATGTGGATATATATATAATGTTGCCTTTAAAGGTTGGGGTAGGCTAATTTATGCCTTTTTCTTTCCCACGGGCCTCCAACCAACACAACGGGGCTTTGCCAATTGCCCAGGCACAGGTTTCACCGAAGACAACACAAAAAAATCACTCGCACTCCGTTATTAGGCGACGTCCGTCATAGACGATATGACCCACGAAACTGCAGAGACGGTTCTTCTCGCCGTTCCAGTGGCCTGATCGGAAAGCCGATCTTACCTCTGGCACGCCTTCGTCTGGCGTACCCCTCCCTTAGCCTAGTCGCTGCATTAGCATGCGCGCATCAAAGCGACAGGCAAAGGTTAATGCCCTATTGGATTGGACTAATTATTAAGTGCCAATTCTGCACGAAAACAATGTAAATCGAAAAAAATGTGAATTAGAATTTGCATTCCAAATGCGAAGAAACGAGAAAAATAAAATTTACCCGATGTCCGGAAGTGGCACCATGCAGAAAAATCCTGTCGACAATAGAATCCTCCAATTTAGTTTTCGCCAATTTATATACTTTTTTATTCGCTGTTAATACTATCGTTGCTGTATTAGGTTGTAGGTTATAGGTACAAATATAATCTGTATAACCAAAAAGTTGATAACCCCGTTAGCGTGGATAATGCACAACCTTCCTCTAGGCGATCTCGAAGTAAAAAGAAAGATCCGGATGCTAAGGCCAAGCAAGAAAACTTTCTTTTACGGAAATTGCTTCACACCTCTTTTGACAATTTCCTTTCGACAGGTCAAGGTTAAAGAAAGGGCCACTGACAACTCGCAAATATTGCCACTGTGCAACAATGAAAATAAACAATAGGTGGCCGATAGCCGTGCGGTTGCAGAAAATTAACTCCCTTTAAAATAAGTAAAAACAATTGAGAAAATTTGTTTATCTTGTTAACTAAGGCCAAAAAAAAAATGTGATCGTAGGCAGTTGACGCTAAAACATAACGCTAATTCAAATCGTAACTACACAAGCAGTGTGTGTACATAAGCAGCCGAAGCACTGCTTGACCAAGGTAGTGCAATAAAAAAAAAATACGATATTCACTGCCAGCGTCGTTACACACCCAGTCCATCTGCGCGTAATGACTCTTAACGGTTCAGAGGCAACAGGTCGGGCTCATCAATGCGTATAGATTCATGGCTTACCCGCTCAATAACTTAATAAATCAAAGCAATAGCCAACAAATGCAGAAAGCCAATCAAATAACCTTTATATTGCATAATTGATCAACAAAGTTACTTAACGCAGGTGGTGGTTACCAATTTTTAAAGCATCTATCTACGCAGACTAAGCTGATATAAATATTTTTTATAGTGGCTCTTATTTAAAAAAATTTAATTACTTCCTTAACATTTTGGTACTCTTAGCCATGAACATTAAACATAGTCAAAAGGTAAAAGATAATTAGTCCAAGTTGTGGACAAATATTGTGTTCGTTATTAAAATGATACTATAAATCCTAGAAGAACAAGCAAGAAAGTCAAATGTTAGAAATATTATTTTAAACAACTTTTTCCAAGTCAAAACAACTGTTTAATATAGAATGCACTTTTTCTTAGTTAATACGCGGCTTACAAAAATGGTATTTTTAGTTAATCCTAAATCCTTTTACACACTTCAGGGGTTAATCAATTGTTACATTTTGAATTCTCTTTATAATATTCTTTAATAAAATGTTGGTTATTGCCCTAGCGTTTTGGCATTATTAAGAAACATAGAACATAGAAAAAAGGTAACCAAATATCAGTGGGACAAATATTCTGACAGATTACTGCTGTATATTGAAATAAAACGTCCTATTAGAACAAACAAGACATTCGAAATATGTATTATTTTTAGAAACTTTACATGTCAAAACAACTCTTGAACCTTTTTAGAGTGAGCCTGTTTGGAGTGTTATTTTTCTTAGGTAACACTTTACACTTCAGGGGTTAACCGATTTTTGCTTTAATAATTATTTTTATAATATTTTTTAATTATAATGTGGTTACTTTCGTAATATTTTAGCATTCTTAACGAACGTAGAACGTAGGCAAAAGGTAACAAGTTGAGGACAATGATAATTGAAATGAAACGTCCTAGAGGAACAAATAAGAAAAGTCAAATATTAAAAAAAAATTTAAAACTGAATCCAAGTAAAACCGTCTATTGACCTATTTAATATACTATAGAGTGTATTTTTTCTTAGTCAACTATCCTACGTAGATTTTTGTAGAATTAACATTTTAATATTTTAATGATTATTTATTTTTATTTATTTAATTACACTATGTACATGCCTATATGCTTATTTAATATTTTAAACTAAATAAATATGTATCTTCAACCAATCAAAATGTCGAGAAATTATAGTACAACAAATTACAACTACAATATTTGTGACAGGAATGAGAATGTTTATCTTTCTTTAAAATCGAGGGCGAGCCCAAGTACCTTTTTCGCCTGCTATGAAGAAGCTAAAATTATTACAATAGAATAAATAATAAAAATAAATAAATGATATAGTAATAATTTAAAAATTTATCTATACTATTCATTAATAGACCTTATGATTGGAAGTCAAATATACTTTTATACTATATAAATATGTTAATAAATATTTATCCTCCTCATCAATAAATTGAAATGTATAAAAATAATCACACGATATCAACAAAATGTATGATTATTTTTTATAAATTATCAATATGTATCTTCTACCAATCAAAAGTAAATGTCGAGAAATTACAACAAATTACAACTACAATACTTGTGACAGGAATGAGAATGTTTATCTTTCTTTAAAATCGAGGGAGAGCCCAAGTACCTTTTTCGCCTGCTACGTATACTTATATGCAATGCGAAAAATAATTTATCTCTGAAACTATTTGAACAGGATAAAGATAGATATAGAGAAGGTGGCCTACAAACCTCTAATTATTGGCAATCTAGTCCTGTTGCCTAATGATATCAATCAATGACTGACATCCTGCAACAACATTTTACAAATACACATTTCTAATAGTATCTAAATAAGAAATCAATTTAAACCAACAAAAATTTGCAGTGAATAGCCACTATTGGTGGTTTACTTTAATTTTCGCTATCGATTGCCAAACAAATGGGAAATTGAGATGCAACGATGGCGCGTCAAGACGTGTTTATTAAAACCGCCTCAGGTAATTGAGGTCTAAATTACATTCTTCGGTCTTGTCAGCAGGCCATGTAAATTAACTCGAATGACATCGCTACTAGCGTTTGGAGAAAATGGTCATCGTTGCTTGATTGAGTTGCAAAAACAGCAAAAAGTGTATCACTACTCGTATATATAACCTGATGCTAGCTAGTCCAGACATCTATTTAAGTAACCCTAATAAAGTTAGGAAGAGATACTTTCAGGCATTTTTTACTGGAAAATAAACACCTTCTATGTTATTTTAAGATGTCCAAGCCCTCTGTTTATTAAGTGCTCCTATTTATTGGAGATACTGCAATTTTATGCCATTTATTTCATTTTCCTTCACATAACTCAATGGTACAAAATATTTTCACACAAGTCGGTTATTACTCGTATATACCAACTTCAACTAAATCAAATTAATTTAAAAAATCTTAACTTAAATTCAACAAATTAAAAGCGATAACTAACTTATTATCTGTATTTTACCCTTCAGAATGTTTCAACATTTCATTAAACTGAATATGAACCTTTTTAGAGATATTAATAACTTAATTGATTAATACTTCACGATAAAATGTTTGTTGAAATTCAATTCTTTTAAGAATTTAAAACCGTATTAGGTTCTTCATGCCATAATGGATCTACATTTATTTTTCTATTTTTATTTTATTTAATAATTTTATAGGACTATTCCCTTATATTTTCACAAGAACAAGTCATTTAACACTTAAATTAACGTTTTCTTTACCGCTGTGGTTATGTTTTATATTATATAGATGAATTAATCATACACAAAATATATTTTCTAATTTAGTTCCTCAAGGAACTCCTGCTAGTTTAATACCATTCATAGTATGTATTGTAACTATTAGAAATGTAATTCGTTCATGAACATCAACTGTTCGATTAATAGGTTATACTTGTATAATTGCAGGACTTTTATAATTAATATTATTAGGAAATACAGGTCCGTCTTCTTATTTCTTCTTCTTCTTATTTATTTGTAACATTTTTATTAGTCGTTAAACTTGCTTTATTTGTTCTTGAATCCTCTGTAGCTATAATTAATTATTATCTTATGTATTTGCAGTTCTTCGAATTTAATTAATTAATTAACAACAACATCAATCTCTTTTTCGAATATGTCTAATTGCTCTATTCTCTACTGCTTGCAGGAGATTCAGCCGAATACGATACCTGACTTAAAAGTTGATGCAACTTTTCGGAAGGTACCCAAGAATGCGATCACCTTTGCGCTTTGGAAAATCGACGACGATCACTTGGAAGCCGTTGCACGGCCACAGTACGGCATTTTCCAGGATAATTGCGCCTACATTATATACGCGGCCAGCACTGTGGGACATTATGTTAGCCACGAGACCATTGTAAGTTGTACAGTTTAAGAGTTATCCTGTGCGGTTGTTCACATACTCCTGACATTACTCTCCACGGATAGACACGCGATCAGAAACCAAATGTGACACTGGAACGCTATATACACTATTGGCTGGGCAGCAGCGTTACTGAGCAGAACCGTTCGAATGTGGTGCACAAAATACAAGAGCTGGACTCCTACTTGGGCAATGTGGCGACTATTTATCGTGAGACCCAAAATCGTGAGAGTGCACGTTTTCTCTCCTACTTCAGAAAGGGCTACGAGTAAGTACAAAAGAACATACTTATGAGTAGCACAAATACATATAAAAAATATGCTGCTCATTCTGATTTCTTCTGATAGCGTACTGTCAAGCGCTCTGCTTAGCGAACCGGCTCTACCACGTCTCTACCAATTGTACGGCCGGAAATGGCTGCGCGCCATCGAATTGGCCACCATTGACTGGCAGCACTTCAACTCGGACTACATAATGGTGCTGAAGACGGAGACGGTTGTTTTCGTATGGATCGGACGGTCTAGTGCGTCCATCGAGCGACGTACCGCTCTTGCTTGGGTGCAGCGTCAGAAGATGGGCAATACGTCGATTGTAATTGTAGACGATGGTTACGAGCAGGCGATGACAGGCGAACAGAAGGAGCTGTGGAATAAACTGCTGCCACTGGGCAAACGGATTGTTTGCCAAACCAGCCAGATACACGAATACGAAACCAGTGCCAATGGGGCTAACAATAAGTTTCGCATTTATAAGTGTAACAAACGTGGGCGGCTGCATCTCGACCAACTGGATGTTGGTATGCCTAGCAAAGATGATTTGAACGACTCGAACGGTGTTTATCTCTTGGACAACTATGCGCAGAGTGTGTGGCTATGGGTGGGATCTCAGGTGCCGCAGGCCGACTCTCAGCTGGCCATGGGCAATGGAAGGGCCTTCGTGAAAAAGAAACAGTATGACAACAGCACTTTGGTAGCCCGTGTTGTTGAGGGCCACGAACCCGTGGAGTTCAAGCGCCTATTTGCCAACTGGCTTAATGTCTGGCAGGATAATAGGCGCAGTCACAAGCCTGTTTCGACCAAGTTTGGCAAACTGGACGCCGTGTCCTTGTGCGAACGACCAAAAATGGCCGCTGACACGCAACTGGTAGACGATGGCAGAGGGGAGCGTGTGGTGTATCGCGTGTGTGGCACAGATATTACGGAGCTTCTGCCGACCAAGGCTGTGGTCTTTTGCACAAATAGTTGCTATGTGGTCAAGTACAGCGTGTTGGTAAGTAGGACAAGTTGGCTGTATGTCCAGGCGACGGTTACGACGAGTTTTGTTTCCATAGCGGTTCAAGTTCTTTGAAATATTCCTAGGGACTCGGCTGGACTTATTTAATTTAAAAATCTTTTGCAGTGTGCCACGGTGGTGCCGGCGGATTTGGCTTCGGTGGGCATTCAAAACATCATCTATCAGTGGAATGGCTCGGAAGCGCCTGCCGAAGCGATAAGCAATGCCGAGCGCTTTGCCATTAAGTGCTTTGAGGGTCTTACCAGACCCGGAATGTTTGTGCAGCTGTACGAGTTCGACGAGACCCCGCACTTCTTACAGATCTTCGAGGGCAAGCTCATCATTATGCGCGGGCAGCGCAACGAGCTGTTGCAGCGGGAGAACTACACCGACTACAAGGCGAACATTCTGTTGGAAACGTTCCTGCTGAAGATCTACGGCGATGCCACATACAATTCCAAGGCGGTCGAGGAGCACCCATTGTCTTCGATCAGCTCAAAGGACTGCTACGTGATCAAGACCAGTCACGTGTGGGTGTGGTGTGGTCAGAGCAGTACGGGCGATGCCCGCGAGATGGCCAAGTCCGTGGGCGCACTGCTCGGTGAGAGCTCCCTGATGCTGGAGGGCAAGGAAACGAAGGAGTTCTGGCAGTCGGTGGCTATGTACTTCAATCAGACTCTGGTTATCAATGGTAACTCGTGCAACAGCAGCACCAGCAGCAGGAACAGCTGCAACGGCAGTAGCTCGCCAAACGGCAGCAGCAACGGTGGCAATGTTTCACCCACGCTCAGCAATAATTGCTATCTGAACACTTGCGTACCTTCAAAGCCGCGCCCGCCAGTGCAGCTCTTTCTGGTCTGGTGGCATCAGGGGGGCAACACGCTGCGCAGCGAAGAATTGCTAGGATTCGAGCAGCAGGATCTCAGTGCCGATTGCAGTTACATCCTGGATACAGGCAACATAACCTATGTGTGGCTTGGTGCCCATGCCATCAGCCTAGAGCGGGAGAAGTACACAGCGATGGCCCAGAGTTATATACAGAATGCGCCCTTCGGACGACGTGCCGCCACCGCCCTGGCTATAGTGAAGCAGCATGAGGAGCCCAATGTGTTCAAGGGTTACTTCGAGTCATGGCAGAACGATTTAGGCGAGGTAAAATACAGATGCCATATAGAATCAATCTAAGCTTAAATTTGAAACTTAACAATGAAAATGGAAATTCAACTTTGGAATTTTATAGTTGCGCTGTTAATACTTTTGAGAACTTATTGTCTTTACACATGCTATGAACACTGGTTCTAAAAAAGTTAGGCTGGAACTAATTTATAATATGAATTTCATTTTGATTTTTGTGTAGAAATTTATAACCTATGAGCGAATTCGAAAAGATTTGGCCAACTCTACTCCGACAATTGATACCAACAAAAGCTCTGCCTTGATGTTAAACAATTCACAAAAGGATTTCGATGGGCATAAGAAATATCCACTATCTGTTTTGGTGCAGGAAATAGACGTCCTTCCGCCTGAAGTCAATCCTCTAATGCGTGAGGTGAGTGTAAAGCACCTTAGCCCAATCCTTTACAGACTTAATAATTTTTGTATTACTCCCAACAGCTGCATTTAACGCACGACGACTTTGTGGCGGTTTTCAAAATGTCCTTTTACGAGTACGATGACTTGCCCAAGTGGAAGAAGCAGGAGCTTAAAAAAGTGTACAAGTTGTTTTAAACCATTTGTCCAGCAGGCGCACACACATTGTTGTATATAGTTCTTCAACGGCACACAGTTTTGGATCGCTTCATTATATAAAACTATTAGTTATCGAGCTTATGTTATATATTCCTTTTCGTAGACTTATTTATGAACATTTTTATGAAATACAAGAAAAGAAAGTGAGTGTACTTTTAAGGGTTCGTTTCTACTTCCTCCGATCCAGGTTCATCGTCGCTGTCACCGGAACCTATTTTTAAATATGCACATCAGTTAAAAATATATAGCATGCAACTGAGGCGATAAAATGAAAAACTTACTGGGAAACAATAAGCCCATAAGAAACTCGAAAATGCCGCCCAAAAGGTCCCACAACATGATTCGGCCGTCGTTCTTAAGTAAATGGTGGCCAGTGAGTCGGGAACTTTTTTTGCCACATCACCCATTAATGAGCCGTAACCAAAACGCAATAGCAATTTTGTACAATTTTAGACGAAATTGTTGAACTTGCCAATGCCAAGCAATAGCTATTGAGGCCACAATTGTAGATATTTAAAACCAATTATTGTGGTCCAAAATATGGTAATTTGAATTGCTATCGTTAAAGTGCTTAAATAAAAATCAGCATACGCGTTCGAGCGTTAAAATATTTGATATTTAAATTGTTTTCAAAATTAATTACTAAAGTTCAAAGTAAATAATTTGGTATTGGCGTAAGTTACAACTTTTATAAATAATAACGTGCCGGCAGCTGTTAGCCAGCGTTGCCACTGTGTCTGAACGGCTACTCACGATGCAGCGGCAAGATATGAATGCAGAGCATTTCATGCAGTGATGTATTACTTCCACCTCTAGCTGCCGGCGTTTACGAGTGTAAAATTCATAGCAAATACCACGTAATTGGACTCTCGAATCTGTAACGCCACCTTACTTAATAACACCCGTAGTAATATGCGTGCAGAGACACAGTTAACAGCATTAGTATTATTAACATACGCTTCGGCGGTACTAATTGGCCATGGCTCCGCCAGCAGTGGGAACGTTCCACGTCCGCGAGGAGTGTCGTTAACAAAGACTGCCCTGTATCAGCCGCAAGCTGACAGCAGCTGGACTTGCCTGGATGGTAGTAAAAAAATACCATTTGTGCAAATAAACGACAATTATTGTGATTGCGTCGATGGCAGCGATGAGCCCGGCACCCCAGCCTGCTCCAATGGTCAGTTCCATTGTAACAATCTGGGCCACAAGCCACTCGAGATACCAAGCAGTCGAGTGGACGACGGGATCTGTGACTGTTGCGACGGTAGCGACGAGGAGAATAGCCGCTGTATCAACACCTGCATCGAGCTGGGAGCGGCGGAGGCTCTAAAGCTCAAAAGTCAGGCGGAGCTCCACAAACGTGGCGCAGAGAAGCGTCAGGAGATGATAACGCGGGGTAGACAATTGAAGTCGGATCGACAAGCACGTCGTGCTGAGCTTGATAGAAGAATAAAAGAGCAGGAGGCGCTGAAGGCAGAGAAAGAGGAGTTAAAACGGAACGCCGAGGCCTTGGAGACTGAGGCTGTGGAGGCATTTAAAGAACAACAGCGTGAGTTGGACGCGGACACGGCACAGGCTGAGGAAGAACCGCTGCAAATGCGTCAGGAGGCCTCACTCAGCTTTGTGCGCTACGATACAAACAAAGACGGTTTCGTTGAGGTCACCGAATTGATGGTGGATATGAATTTGGATCGTGACCGCAATGGCGTTGTGGAAGTCGAAGAAGCCAAGTACTTCTTGGATGAGCGCGACCGTGTGGACTTGGATGCGTTTGTTACATTGGCCTGGCCGCGTATTAAACCCTTAAAAATGCTGGCTGAAGGACTGTTTAAGCCACCACAGATTCCCGAAGCGCACCATGATGAAAATCTGCCCGCAACGGAAGATGTTTCAACACAGGATCCACTGCCAAGTGAGGATGCTGAAATTGAGCCAGCAAGTGAGGATGAGCGGGCAGATGATGAAGAGATTGAAGACGATCATTATGATGATGAAGAGCCCGATGTAGGTGTTGGTGAAGCTACACCAGAGACCACCACACCGCCAAACTATGATCCAGAGACACAACGTCTGATCGAACAAGCAAATGCGGCACGCATTGCTTTCGATGAAGTGGAGCGTCAAATACGGGAAATTGAACATGAAATCAAAGAGATTGACGAACAAACTAACAAAGATTATGGCGCACACGAGGAGTGGGCTGTTCTGGATGGCGAGTGCTACAATTTTGAAGACCGTGAGTACGTCTACAACTTATGCCCCTTCGATCGCGCTGCTCAGAAGCCACGCAATGGCGGATCCGAGACAACTCTCGGCCGGTGGGATCAATGGATCGGCGAGGGTAACAACAAGTACACAAAACAGAAATATGCACATGGCGCTGCGTGCTGGAACGGCCCACAGAGATCGGCCATTATACATATAAGTTGTGCCCTGGAACCGCGTATCACGGCCGTATCGGAGCCGAACCGCTGCGAGTACTACTATGAATTTGAGACGCCAGCAGCTTGCGATAGCGAGGCTTTTGCAGCAAACGCCGAAAATCTGCACGATGAACTTTGAAATTATAGAATGCAAAGCATGAATGATGAATTGTAGTTGTAACAGTTATTGAAATATTTTGTAAAGTGAGTTGAAATCGAGATCATTCCCTTCATGCGCTCAAGCTGAACGGTTAACGCAACACGATTATGCAGATTTATAGTAAAATATTGTATGTATGTATATGCATTTAAACCAAGTAAAAAGTTTCGATTTGAATAAAGTGTGAACGAATAGTATTTTTAAAAAAATGATACATTTGTAATATATGGCTTAGGTCTACGGTTTCAGATTTCTACTACGCTTCGGTCACGGCCAGCTTAATGTTTTCCAAATAAGCTTCCACTTGATGTTCCAGTGCCAGTATATGCCCCGTGTTACAATTCTCAGCGCCGACAAAGGTTAAAATTAACGGCAGTTTATTCATTTGCACCACCTACGAAATGCGAAATATTTCTATTACTGCATAATCCACAGCTAACAAAAGATAACACACACCTGATAATTGGAATACATTGAGATTATAGTTTTGTTTCGACCCAAACCAAGCTTGCCAGCCTGATCACAGGCCGTTGTAAAAGTTGGTATAAAAGACGGCATCAATGCAAAGTCCACATTCTTCTCCTGGCTTACATGAAGGAGTGGCACACCATCCCGATCCGTTATCTGTATAACGTAAAGACCACTGACCCTGCAACAGAATTAATCAGGAACGTGCAGCAATGATTGAGCAACTTACTTTTGAAGTAAGCCATTGAAATATTTATTAATGTCGTCAGACATTCCTTGCAGCTTATATATAATTACTTGCAAACGATTTAGAAAAATATAATTACTCCTCAAAAAATCAAAACAAACCAAGAATATGTAGAGGTGTGAAAAAACATCGATGATGAGTCAACGTTTCCTTAAATCATCGAACATTGTGAATAGAAAAATTTAATCTTTGTTCAATTTTATTAATATTGTTTAATTTAAATGATTTGCAATTGATTTCGCTACTGATTCATAGTTGTTTTAGTTAAACTCTGAAATTGTATTTCTAATGCTTTGATTTTAGTTCAAAGCGTTTATTAAAAACATCGAGTAATCATCGCTGCATCGGTATTTTCCAATTGACAAAATGAACAGATGATATTCGCGGAGCTGCCATTACGCGATAAGTAAAACATTAAAACAGTGCTACCAGATGTTTGGCAGTAGCTGAGTTCCGAGAAGATGTACGTGTTTTGTTGTGGAATAATAAATACAAATAGTTATTAAATGCAAAAAAGTCTTTTTTAACAAACCTCACAGGGTAGTCGCTGCCACTGCTGCCGATATGGTTGGCACTAAAAGCATGGTCAACAGTCAGAAAGAATCAACCAACCCGACCACTCTTGATGACGACGACTGTATTGCGTTGGCAAATTCCCACCTCACAATTGGATTGCAAATACAAAAGCTATCGAAGCGGTTGCAAAACACAACAGAGGAACTGCATCAGCAGGTACGGGACAAGCACAGCGCACTCATTCAGCAGGCTACACATGCCGGTCGATTCGATGCTGCCCTTAGTGTACTCGCCGATGATGTGGAACGAGTTCGTGCTACGGGCCATCGGTTGAAGAGTCAGGTGGACACCCAGTACCAGTTGGTGGAAAATCAGACAAGGGTACTGGGACGTTTGCACGATGTTTCGCATCTGCTGCGTTCGGCGGGAACGCTACTTACATTGACCGCAAAGCTGAAGAGCACAAAGGATGTGCTGCGACAGGCCGAGCTTCATTTTGAGCTGGGTCAGCTGATTGAGGACACGGAGTTGAAGGACATAGAGTTCATACAACAGGAACGTGCATTTGTAATCAGCTCTAGACAAAAAATAAGGAACCTAACGCAGATGCAGTTGTTTGCAGGTCTAAAGGAACGTAACCAAACAAAGGTGGTGAATTCCTTAAAGGTAAGAGGGCAGAATATACGTACGTCAAAAATAACGTCACATTATTATATACATACATACATATATTGCAGATATTTATTAATTTCAATACGTTGGAAAAATCGCTGGATAATCTATTGACAACATTTATAACCGACATGGAGCAGTCGCTGAAGGAATGCTTTGCCGGCAACGACATTTCAGTGCTGAATAAAAGCGACGCTGGTCGGTCACCGACGCACAGCAGCAGCAGCAACTCGGTTAAATCGGGGTCTGGAAGCGCAGCCAGGGGTCCCGGAAAAACACCTCAATTGACTACTACCCAAAATTTTCGGGCCAAGTTCTGGAAGTCGCTGCATTGGCTGCTCTACGACGAGCTTTTCGAGAGTTGCACCCAAATCAAGCTTCTCAAAACGGCATTGGAGCAAATCAACCAATTTGGTTACACTTCAGAGTCGAGTGAGCAATGCATTCCACAACGTTTCTGGAAGCGAGTGCAGGATCTGATCCGAAAGTCCTTTGACGAGTGTCCACAACATGTCACTCAAACGCTGCAGGAAGGCCTGTCCAAGCTATTGACATCAGCACGTGGCCTGGAGCAACGTTTGAATAGCGAATTCCAATTCAACAACGAACTGTTTGCACCCCTAGAGGTGGGCTATGTCAGCAAGTGCGCCGCCAATTTGAAGGCCTGTCTGGCAGGGATCGATTTACCCGGCAACGAAACTGTTGACAATTTCATACGTGTGGCGTCGACGGAGCTCAGTGCGGCTCTGATTGATGCACGACTGACAAATTCAATAGCAAACGTGTTTATAGCCTGTGGCAAGGAACTCTGCACTAAGCTGGAAGCGCAAATTAAATTGGGTGCGGACTCAAAGCAAGTCGTCGATTTGCCAAACTTGCAACAACAGCAGAATACGCAACTGGCCAATGTTTTGTATTACTATAAAGATTCCGTACGTCGCATGCTGACTGATTTAGAAATTCAATTTGAGAAGGCGCCGGGCAGCGCTAAGCAGAATATAGCGAAGTCATTGGAGCAAGCCGATTTGCTTATTAGTACCATATTGCAGCAAATTATGGAATCGATTATCACTGCCATAAGCATCATAATACTGAGCATGCACCGCGAACCGGGCCTGAATACTGAGAGATTGTCCACCACAGGGCCGTCCATGTATATGAAAGAGCTGCAGGTAGGTTGCAATTTCATTTTTCCTGACAATATAATTTATTTGCTGCTTTGCAGGAGTTTGTCTCACGCTCCTGGTCACATCACATTGAGCTCTATGATGACAAGCAGATGACGACGAAATGCGGCCACGAGCTGGCCAAGCGCTGCATTGAGCTCTTCATACACAATGTTTGTATTTTACGGCCACTTAGCAGTGCCGGTCGTCAGCGTTTGAAGCAGGATTGTCTGTACATGGAACAGGCTTTAAAGCCACTCTGCGTAAATTTTGCAGAGCTGGGCAAGCCGGCACGCCTACTACGTGCCATGTCGCTCTTAATTGTTAATAGTCCGCAAGAGCTAGTAAAGCAAACGGTCGGCGAAGACTCACTAGTGCCCAGTTACATTGTTCTATTGTTACTATTTGGTCATGCCAGTCCAGAGCTGCAGTCGCCCCACACCACAGCCAATTGGACCAACGAACGTTTAATCGAGTGGCTGGATGGACACACAGCAGAGCGCGAAAAATTGGAACTTATTTCGGGCGCGCTTCAACGATATCGAGACAATGCGCGGCGTAAGAATATACAGCATTATGATGAAATCTACCCCATGATGGTGGACTATTTTGAGCAAGCGCTAAAAGCAATTACATAATTGTCGAAAATTAAATTATTATTTGTTGTATTGTATCCTTATCAAATAATATTTGTGTTTCTGACTTGGTTTCTTTTTTCCTACTTTAGTTCGAAAGTGAAAGTATGAGAAGAGTTGAATGCTAAGTTCCAAAATAATGGCTTCATTGATGTTTATAATCTCACTGAACTTTAATATCAATTGGATTCGTTATATTATATAACAGAACTCAAATACAACAAATATTTATGTATGCAAATAGTCCATTAGGAATGGTGTATCATCTGGACCATAGGGGGTTAATGGGACATCGTAGGGTAGAGGAAATGCAGGAATACCATCGCGTGCATTGACCAAAGGAAAAGTATCCTCGCCAGTCTGCAAAAAAAAATATAAAAAATTAAATGATTTGTAGAAAGCGCTGCTCTAGAAGACTTACCACAAATCTGGGTAGGAATAGAACCCCTGCTTCATAATTAGCTATGCGCAAAATGGGCTGAATGTTGGAATTTTTGTTGAAGGAGCCCCAGGCGGCCTTCGATAAATTCGCCGAGGTCAGAACAAACCAATAGGCGCACTGCTCCTCTAAGTTAAAACGTGTATAGCTTTTAATGTGCGGCATGGCCTGAGAGCGGTACCGATCACTGGATTTCCACTGCTGCAGATAAGACTTCAGCCAGGGCTGCTTGTCGTTGGTATTTTTGGAATACGGTAAGCAGCCGCCTCCTAACATACCATCGTGGCTGGAGGCCACGTTACCAAAACTTGGATATATCATCTTGAAGGGTGGCAATTGACGCAATCGGCCCAGAGGCGATGAGTCCTTGCGAAGACTGTTTAAAACATCCTGCTGTATCCAGGTCTGTACATTGGCACCCAAACTACCAATGCTGGAACTTTGGCAGATGACGGGTATACGATCATCAACTGGCGCCGCATGTTTGGCTAGAAGCGAACCGAGACGCGCATGTCCCCAAGGATGGCCACGGGTGGTGCTTTCTCGATGCCCGCCAGGCACAGAGCCAATGAAGAATACGCTGTAGAATTCAAAGTTCAATTGTAATATAGTTAATATTGTATATGTAAAGAATACTCACTTGATCGCACTGAAGTCCGACTTTCGTATGCGTGCTATCCAGGGCTGAAGTTGTGTTAGCTTGTACTCCACTAGGTACAACATTAGATCCTGCTTAAAGCCAGTGGGACTCTCACCCGCGGCCGTATCTGCACCCTCTGGTAATGGATCCAGACGTGGACTAATCCATAGACCTTGCGTGCGATTGTGCCAGTCATCCTCGTATAAATTTGCAGTGGAAATCACCACGCGCATCGATCCATCTGCATAGCCTAGCAGCATCATTTTGGTATGCGATGTGGCAAATGGCGTGGGCATATTCACTTTGATGGCCGTAACCTGCGGCTTGAATTTGCCTATGCCCAGTAGCTCGGGTGATTCATCGCCATAGAGCACCAATAAGGGTTTATCGCTGTGTATAGGGAAGTATTATTGGATTAGAAAAGCTGCAGAGACCATTTCTCAATAGTTACACACAGAATGCCAGCGAAGTAGTAATGTCCAAGCAACCAGCCTATATCGACCATAAAATTGATTTGTACAGTGGACTCAATCTCGCCCATACTTTCATCGAGAATTTCCTGGAGCGTTACGCTCAGCGGCTCCTTATGTGTTGGCTTAGAATCCGTAATGGCGGTAAGGAACATGTTATATGGCGCCGCAGCCGCTAGTTTATCAGCCATCCGTCCTTCGACCACGACCGGAATGTAGTCGCGTATATTCCGCTCGGTAAGCTTTTGTTTCTTGGCAAGATTAGAGGTGTCATTCGTGCTACTACTGCTACTACCCTTACTGTTGCCACTTGAACACGCGCGGCTAGTGGTTGAAGCAGATGTTGTTGGCTGTTTAACAGATGTTGTTGGCTGTTTAGATGATGTTGTTGGAGCTGGACCAGCTGACTGCTTTTGAGTTTCCTTGGGAAACACCTTCTCTAGCAGCTTTAGCTGTATGTTAATCAACTCGGTGGAATACTTAGGAGGTATATCATACCCATTGTTGCCTGCTTCAGAGCCTTTAGCGTAAATAGCATCAACTAAAAGCCACACGAGAAACAATTAAACATAACGTCATATTTTAAAGTTTTCAAATTAAAGCAATACGAGTCGTTCCACAACGAAGTAGGGGTACTTACGGTGCGCATGTGAATACTCAGAAAAGTGGATAGGATTTTTCCGATAACATTTCTCACCGTACGGACAGACCTGCATTTTATTTACTTTATTAATTTCGCAAAATATAAATCATACAAATTGGCAAAACAAACTAAAATCCCTTTATATCCGCAAAGTTGCCGGAGTTTCCCCGCCCAGAACGCCAACGTTGTGTGGCAACGCCACATTCGAATTTTGCAACTACCGTTAAAAATTGTTAAAACTACTAATTACATTATAATCTTTATAATATTTCTGCATTGCCTACTGTTTTAATTCTCTATGTGTATTTTCGCGATTACGCCAAATATTGCATTACATTTTTTGTGATCAAGGTGGCAATGCCATTTGTTACAAAAGTATCGCTTATTTCATGCCAGGGAACTATATTGAACTTTGATGTTCAGTTTAAGGAACTAGTTTAACTATTTAATATCCATATTCGTTCAGATTATTTTCAAACATATTCGATTTTTAAGTGAAATAAGTTGATTACTTGTTGTAATTATGAGTTGTGCATGAAGTTAAAAAAATATTTAATGTCATCCGGCATCAATGGTAATTTATGGTTTTTAATAGAGCAATAAAATTGCCAAAAGTGCACTGACAAATTGGGGCCAAAGTATTTTAGAATATTAGAGTAGATTCACGAACTATTGGACTCAAATGAACTAAACGAACTAGATGAACGACGTACTTAGCTCTTTCGTTAAGTTTAGTGAGTAGTTCGAATGAACCTATTGTGAACGATTCAACCCAACTCTACTAGGCACACCATTTTGTTTGCTATCCCGTGTCGAGTGTATTGAAAATTTAAAATATCTGTAATCGTGCGGCGTTTTACGCGTTAATTAAGCAAATGGACAACATCGAGAGACTTTATAAATGTTACGAACTATTGTCTGAGGCGGGCGATAAAATAACCGAGGTAAGTAAATGCGGAAGCGGCAGCCATTAAACGGTACTTATATACATATGTACATACATACACATGTACCGACCAATGTGCCAGCACCGGTGCTAATTCTTATAAAATAAAAATACATACATACCATGTGCATGTTTGTATGTGTATATGCAAGTGAAATAATGTGTGACGATTATTACAGCATGTTGAGGAATACAAGGAAATATTACAAGCCGTAAAGGGTACATCAAAAGAGAAACGTTTGGCGTCACAATTTATTGGAAACTTTTTCAAGTACTTCCCAGATTTGGCAGATACAGCCATAGATGCTATATTCGATCTATGTGAAGACGATGATACACAGGTATGATTTAGCAGCGATATTTTTACAGTCTAGATTATAATATTTTTGCTACCTTAGATTCGAAGACAAGCAATTAAAGATCTGCCTAAGCTATGTCAGGGCAACGCTGACGCCACCGTGCGCGTGGGTGACACGCTGGCCCAGCTGTTAGTTCTTGACGATCCCGCTGAGCTGCAGCAGGTTAACAATTCACTGCAGGCTATCATTAAGTTGGACACAAAGAGCGCCGTAACAGGACTATTTCAGCAAATCACTACTGGAGATGAGCCCACAAGGGAGCGCTGTTTCAAATTTATTGCCACAAAGTTGCTGACTATGGGACCCACATTGATTACTAAAGAAATTGAAGATTTTATTGTTGATGAAATCAAGAAGGCATTGCAGGATGTTACTGCCGACGAATTTCATTTATGTATGACGATACTGGGAGCCACTAAGCTTGGAACCACCGTGACTGGGCACGCCGAACTCGTCAAACTAGCAACGGAGCAGGCTGAGCTGAACTCTGCTGAAGCGGACAGTGTAGTCATTGACGAGGAGACTGTAGAGCGTTTTATACAATGTGCGACAGCTGCTGCGCCTTATTTTTCGGTATGCTCTCTGCTGACATCAACTGATAAGCCCATAGCTTACCTTCTGTATTTCTAGAAAACTATAAAATCGACGCAGTTTGTCACCTATGTTTGCGATAAACTGTTGCCTACTAACGCCTGGCATATTATAGCATCATCAGTATCACAAGATCAAATTCAGTTGCGATTACTAAAAGTTTTTGCCGAAATGGTACCCAACATCGACAAGCTGGAAAATGCTAGTGAGCGCATCGATGCAGTTTACAATGTACTTTTGGTAAGTCAAGACCGTTGAAATATTAAATGAGAATAATCAATACAAGTTGCCATTTTAGGAGTATATGCCATTGCCAAAATTAAATGAAGAAGATTTGGGCGACTCTCCGCCCTCTTTCCAATTCTCGCATGCCGAATGCTTGCTCTACGCTCTGCATACACTAGGGAAAAAACATCCAAACAATTTGTCGTTCGTAGAAGATGCCGAGAAGCTAAAAGATTTTCGTTCCCGATTGCAATATCTAGCGCGCGGAACACAGGGGTAAATGCTTTATTATGCTGATTTTAAGTCGTTTTTAAAAGCTCCATTTCATATCCATAGGTACATCAAAAAGCTAGAGGAAGCTCTCAAGGGTAAAAAGGGAGAGGAACTTAAAACAGAGGAGAATCAATTAAAGCAGACAGCATTAAAGACTACATCAAATATCAATCAGTTGATACGCGATCTATTTCATTCACCACCAATATTTAAGCATGATATTGTACTCTCTTGGGTTGTGCCGAAGGACGTAAGTTTTCAGATGTTCATAATAACCCAAACGTTTAATGTTATGTAATCGGTTCTGCTTTTAGAAACTTGGTAAACGTCATGCGCCGATTTCATTTGGGGACAAGAACGCCGCTACCAATGGAAATAAGGATCAGGATGAGAAGAAGCAGCGCCCATCAAATGACCAGAAATTCTATTCCCCACCTTCCGGTAAATATTCCGCGAAAGTAAATCAAGGGTATGGTAATAATCGGACGCGGGCACGTTATTCTGGCGGCGGTGGAGGCGGCGGCGGAGGCGGCAACTTTAGAAATCGACGCTTTAATAGATACTAAATGTGACCATAACTCTTAAATATCCGCCAACGAACGGCTACTGTCTTGTCACATACACAGCAATGTTTGTTGTCCTAGTTCCTAAACAACAACAAAGTCATCAGAGATTATGAATAAAAGCAGAAACGTCTGTATCACAAAACTCTACGAAGGCTTTGAGCCACCACTTCAAGAATTTCAAAATTCGCCAGTTGGTGGGTGAGTATTATGTACATTTTTTGAAGTAATTTTTCCCCGTTTTTATTTAATTTCAGCTGCAAATATCTAAGTAAATAAAAATTTTGTACATTTCGTCATTACCCTTTTATACACAAACAAGTTCTTCGTATGTGAAACATGTTTGCAATTTTGCGCATACAATTCTAAAACAACTTCGGGTCAACACATTTATCATTGTCGTCACACTTGTCCATAAAATACGACGTGTATGTTGTTTTAGAATATGCAGGCGTTAAAATTTTATGATCGATATTATAGTAAACCAATTATACTTACATAGAATTTAATCTTAAATATTTGCAAATAACCATGGCAAACCAAACGTAAACTCAAATGAAGTAAAAGCATATGCTCCAGAAATCTAACAATTATTTCAATATATAGCAAACATGTACGCAAGCTTGTGAAACCTTATAACTCGCATAATTATTTTTTATTTTAAATATGCAATAATTGTACCACATTAACAAGCACCTGCGAAAAGAAAAAATACGAAGCTATTTTTGCAAGTTAATTACAATTACACAATACAGCTCCAGTTGAAACACTAAACATGTCTTTCATTTGGGAGTAATGTGAGAATTTAAAATAATATTTATACATATGTTTTTGAATACAAAAAAGGCAGCTTACAAATTAGAAGAGAATTAGTTTGGAAGTAGGTGTGTAAATATTTTTATTGACATTATTAAAAATATAATAGTATTCTTTTTAAACTTTAAACATACTATTTATAATGAAAGCGGCTTAAAACGAAACATGCTCCGGTTTCTATCAATCAAGCCAACAACTACAAGCACAATTGTGTGTGCCATATAGGTCTCTAATCACCTAGATGCTCGGGGGTGTTTGATTGCCGCCACCACTGCCTTGTCCAGCGGCGCCACCGCCCCCACCTTGATTGCCACCTCCTGGCTGTTGAGCGCCCACCAACTGTGTGGCAAAACTCTGGAAGAGCTGCAGCATGTCGTGTGGCATGGCTGGCGCCTGAGCAGGCATACCGCCAGCGCCACCACCACTAGTACCGCCCATATTGGCAAACAGCTGGCCAATTGTGTTCATGACCATCGGATTCTGCGTCATTGACTGCAACTGCTCCAAGTCGATTTCAGCGCTGCTGAACAAATTGCGAACCGTCGGGTTGGCAAGCATAGCGTTGAGGCCGTCGGTTAGATGCGACAACTGTGGCTGTTGGTTGCGGCCATTGCGTGCCACCTCCAGATTATTGCGGTAGTCCTGGTTATCCGGCTCAAGCTCAATGGCCTTAGCATAAGCCTGCTCGGCCTCGTTGTATTTTCCCAAATTTGAGTAGGCAACACCGAGGCGGCAATACGCCTTGCTATAGTTTGTGTTATACAGCAGGGCCGACTTGCAGTCGGTAACAGCACGTTCATTGTCGCCCAATCTTATATGAGCGGCGGCACGGTTGCAATAGAAAATAGGATTTTTTGGGTCGAATGTAATGGCTCGGTTGTATTGCAGCAATGCTTCATTATATTTGCCATCTTTCATGAGCCGATTTCCCTCGTTCTTCATCGACTCAGCCAATGTACTAAACTGTCCGTCCGGATTGCGTTCAATATACAACGATTGGAAGAGCTCGAACATGTCAATGTTCTTGGTATTTACAGCTGGGGCTGCGCCGGCGCCACTGCTGCCAGATGCAGTTGATCCATCTGCAGGCGTGGCTGCCGTAGACGACTGTGCTGTTGCGGTGATAGTTTCTTCTGGATCATCACCCACATTAAAAGCTGCTTGCAGACACTGTATTGCAACTTCCACACTTTCTACGGCATCCGGAGTCATGGTCTGGGCATCGATCTGCTTCTTTAAGTAATCGATAAAGGAGCGCACAAAGCTCTGCTGTACTGCGTCCGGCATCTTGAGTAATATTTCTCCGTTATTTTATTTAAATTCACTGCAAATTACAAATGCCACTACTTATGTGGCTCTCACACAATAAAATTGCCGTGCGTACGATTTCTTAGCTGCAGAGTTGCCGGATCTTTTAACTTGACAGCAATTCCTAAGGCAATGACAAGTAGATTTCATCACTTATCGATAGCATCGATGTGAGTGGCTATTGCTGTCCGGTCATCGTGTATCGGCGAAGCGGCTGTTAAGCTTTTCGGCTGCAACAGAATATTTTTCAGTTGCTCTCTTGCTCTGCTAGCGGTTGCTGTACCGTAAGGTTGTTGTGCGAGATATGTTAGCCAAAACTTGTTGTTTCTTGGCGTGTGGCAGACGAAATGTTTCGTAGTGTGTGTATATAAAAACAAAGAATGATTTCAGACAAAATCATCTCCATGTCTTCGAGCATGTGTTGAATCCTACGAGCCAATACAACCCAACTGCCAGAATAAAGAAGCCTGTTTTGTAGTAACCTCTGCTGACCCCCCTTCCCAACCTTCCCGCGTCTTCCTGTGTAACCATCCTTTTGGCCAAATTAGGTTGAGTCATTCAATACCCCCTTTCGTACTCGTCCCTTATTCTCATCTTATTGAAAAGGCGCCAATATGGTGCGATTCAGCTCGCGTCGTGCACGTCAGGACACAGTTGAACTGTTAGCCAGCAACAACAAAGTCAATGCCGGAGACGATGTGGAGGCATCCGATAATGGTAAGCGCCCAACTGCCAAACATTAAATTCATTTGTTTTACCCTAATGACTTTGGCCGCTGCAGAGGCCGCAAATATTTCACGCCTGTGTAATTACTGTTTAAATATACATATGGATGCTGAAGCCATTTAAAAATCAGGCCTGTTCCCATTTCCGAACACGTTCAAATTTGCTTAAATCGATTTGAATGTGTTTCCATTTTTCACAAAATCAGAGAATTCATCAAATTAAATCTATGCGAGTGAAAAGTCCATTATAGTACATTGAATTTCTGGTTCATAATGTCTTATATCCCTCATTCTGTGAAAAACTAGCAATCAGTTGAATTGGTTTTGAACGATTTCAGAAACGGGAACAGACCCTAATATGTTTTTGGCACTTTGATTTTTCTCTTACAGCCGCTTATCGCAACTCGGCCGATTTAACGGATACCGATGAAATATTTCTGAAAGGTCTGCTGCTCAGTAATCCATCGACGCCGCACAGGGAGCTGTTGGTACGTATTGGAATTGTGACCCACATACCGGAACAGCGTCTGCATTGGCGCCCCCTTTGAAAATTGCGCATACGAATACGATGTGGTTGTGTTGCTTTCGGTTTTTCAATTTTCTCGCACGCACCCAGACAAGCACCGCCTTTGTTTACTTTATTTGATGGCATTGCATGCTGATTATATCTTTCTGGAGAAGAAAATTTTTATTGTGTGTGGTTATGTATGTATGTATGTGTAGATGTGTGTGTGTGTGTGTGTGAGCGCTTTTCTTTATTACATCATTTGCCGCTCGATTACTTTCTAAATCATTTACATTTCTCTGAAGAGGAAGGGTCATGGCTGACAAGCTCTTTGATGGCCCTTGACATGTGTGAATCATTTGCCAAGTAAACACACATACCTACATACATATATCGCCTTTGTTCCTCTAATTGAGTGAGAACCACTTGATTCTGATTCTACTTTGTGCCTACAATACAGGACAAGTACCATTTAATTATGTTACGCTGCCCGCCTTTCGCAGTGTTCTCTAAACTGAACCTATTCTGTGAAAGTGTTCGACATTCTCGGCCCATTTCAAACCCTTCTTTATTATGCCATGAGAGAAATTTAGGAAAACTTATTGATTTTCTTATCTACGCCCAAAATTGTAATGAAAAATCTCCATGAAAGCCTTACAGTGAGCTTAATTGAACTATAAATATTTATATTTGTTTGTTTTGATTTCATAGCGTCGAACACGCGACTAGCCAAAACCAACAAAACACAAAATATATAAAGATATATACATACATGTATGTACATTCGTACATAACTATTAAAAATGCGACGTCGCGTGACGCAGATAATTAGAATTATACCTTCTGCGGGCTGTGTGTGGAAAATAGTGAAAGTAATTAAAGGTTGAAGTTGCGGTGCGGAGTTTGTGGTATAAGTATGTGCTGATAAGAAAATATTAAATGTCACCTCAACATCAGCGACAACGGCGACACCCGCCCATTTAGACAGGTTATATAAAAAGCCCAGTCAGCAGTCCCAACAACATATTCAACTTACTTGGAAACATGCAAAGAAGCTTTGTCCGAAAACCAAACCTGTTTGCATGTTTTTTAAAGGTAAATAAAAAAAAGCTAAATATCACACTAACACATACACATATCGACACACAAGAGTGCTTATGTTTCTGGCCAAGGCAAGAAATGCAGAAATGAAGTTGTTGGCCTACTAATGCAGCTACTAAAAACACAAAAAAGCTTGGAAAGCTTAAGAGAGTAGAGCTGTGATGAGCCGAGTACAATGATCCGCTGTTAAATAACATTTTGAAGCTCTGTTAAGCTGGTCTTACCACTGCACACTGTTTTAAAAAAAATTTTTTTTTTGTAGATTTTTGATTATTTTCCAAAAATGCATTGTACAGGTATGTCAAAAGTCGAAAAGATTTACATACATATGTACTTACATATAATTTATATGTACATACATATAAAAGTAGTTAACATAAATTAGAGGCATACTTATATTACGACTATTCCATAAAGTTCTCTGGCCAACCATTTTAGATTTATGTTTATTTTTCAAAAAGGCATGTCAAAGGTTTGTTTTGTATATGCTCAAGTATGAATACATTAATTATATATGTATGTATATAGATAGTTAACAAAAATGAGATGCATACAAATTTATATTGCGACTATTCCATAAAGTTCTCTGGCCAACCACTATAAATATGTAATTATACATTTTTAAATACAAAAACAAAAATTTAACCCACACTTATATGAGGGCTCCATAACAGAGTCGTTATGTTATTTGTTGAGCTTTCTTCCGAAAATTGATCAAAAACAGACCATTCGAACTAGTGTGCGGTGGACAGCAATGTACAGTTGTAACGTTATGACCAACTAAATTAATGTTTAACCCCTATTTGCCGTGCCTTGGTCTTCATACCAACACAAATTAAAAAAGCTAACTATACGCACTAACTTGTAAGCTCGCGCTCACTCTTGCTCTAGTACTCACACACACACACAAGCACTGACACACACAAATACATGCTCAGCGCTAAACTGGGTTTGGTTATGGCAGCTGCCTTCTCTCCGCTGAGCAAACGAGTGTGTGAGTCAATTGTCAGTTACTAGCGAGCAGTGCTAAGGTGAGGTTGCGTTTTCTCCGCTAAGCGGCTAAAACGGTGCCCGTGTTATTATCTTTTCCACAGCCTTTGTGTATGTGTGTGTGTATGTGTGTGCTCGCGCTTTGAGCGTGGCTTAAACGGTCCCAACGTATTGTCCGCTCACTCTCTCGATCGTTGACGCCGCTCTGTTGCTTTAACTTGTTACGCTTCCGAAGAAGAAGAAGCAGAACAAGCAGCTTGAATAAAATAAAGTGTTTGTGTTGACCAAATTCCATAAAGAATGTGTTAAAACGAATCATTTATACTACATACATACATATGTATGTATATAATTGTCAGTAAATTGAATAAATATTTTTGTTTTGTGCCCTGCCGCTACCTTGGTTACTCATTTAACAACAACAACAGCTACACAAAAGCTCCAACATTGCACCAGCAACAAACCCCATTCGAGCCAAGTTAACAAACTTCAATATTATTGATGACGTCGTGCAGACGTTCTCAGTGGCGTTGCCTGCCCCTCTCGCTTCAAAATCTTATTGTGTAACCATTTTTATGTGGACGGCAACGTCTTAAATTTTGTGTTGTTTTGGCATTTCCAAAACCGAGAACGACTGTGTTGCATGCTCACCAATACACGCACACCCACATATACTCACAGACGCACACACACACGCCTCACACTGACACAACACCTTTGGCTCGTTACGCTCTTCTTGGCTTTAACGTTGCGCTCGCGCGTTTGGGAGTGGCTCCAAAAAATATAATAAAAGTGAAGAAAAATAATTGAAAAATGTGTTTTTCCAATTTCAACAGTGGGCTGCAAAATCTAAAATAATGTATTACATTTCATTGTCTACAAAGAGCGTAAAAGAAATACTTGTATACGAACAAATATGAGTTTCCCTCTTAAAATTAAAATTAAAACATGTTTTTTAAGTTTGTAGGCTAAATTTTGAAATATGTGGCCATTTGTTGTTGTTGTTAGCCTTCGCACGCACACCCAACTAAATAAATAGCATTGTGCTATTACTGTTGTGTAATTAACAATTTAACTAATTAGTGGCCACCTGTGGAATGACAATTCCATTTCAATTGGCAGCGAAGAGAAAAGGCCATAGCTTACTCACTAGTACGAGGTGAAAGCCCTTTTGGGCCCAGGCTAAGACAAAACATTGAGAACGGGCCACGAGTATCAATAGCAGTTATCGACGAGTGTTTGCCAGACAATCGGGTATAGGGCTTCCTTTCACACTGAACAACTGAAATGCGATCTTATCTTTGTAAACAAACGACAACAAATATACATACAAGAAGAGAAAGCTTAAGTAGAACCGCACACCCCTTACGGCCATGGCAACACACCCATTCCAATACGGCGGCAGCAGAAGCTCCCAACGCCCCCACAATTCTTTGGCTAATGCTAATGCAATTTTCCACCACCACTTTTCCGCTTTTGTGTGCATTGCATTTGTCATCAACATCGTTGAGCTCTACACCTCAACAAAATTCGCGTATTCCTCCAAAAGTTCAGTTTAATATAAATTGTTCAAATTATCAATTCATTTAAGGAAAGAACAATTGATTATTAATGATTTCTTTTATAAAATTAGCGCAATCAAGACTACTCCAAGAAGTGGATTTTGTTGTTCCAAAACATTTGAGGGTTTAGTGAGGGGAAGCACCAATAATTAACGGTGTTTGTATAACAGGCCTGCCTTTTTAGATCTCTTGTAAAAATTAGACCAAAGTTTTGAAGTATTAGTATTAATTTTAAGTAGCTTATCGATGTATTGATACTCTCCAATTTACAAAATGGGCCATTAGCATTATTTTCTATTTAATGCGCCAAGTATATGATTAATTCTTTAAACAACAAATAGTTTGAATTATCGATTTATTTTAAAAAAATAGCAATTGATTATTCTAGCTTTTCTTTGAGAAAGTTATGGCAATCGGAACTAATCCAAGAAATGGACTTTTTTATTCCAAAACATATTAGGGTGTTATAGGAGGAAGTTTTTAGTATAAAATAAAATATTAAATGAATCATTAGCACTATTTTATATTATAAATTTAATCAAATATTTGGCATTAATACTTTGAACAAAAAATTCATTTCTGTACTTTTTAAGTAAGACTTCACTTACTTTTCCTTAAAAAATTAGCGGATAGATTTGCAATATATCTTCAATGCGTTTGCTTGAATATGTATTTATATTTGACTAATAATTTCTCATAAACCATTATGGACTGTTGTTTATTGATGGAAAAAATAGATCAGAATTAGCACTCCATTAAATCGATTCAACATTCCAGAGTGTACTCTGCTTTCTTAAGTTTTGAATGCAACATTTTTTGTGTAGTGTTGTTCTTGTTGTCGTTGCAAAAATAGAAAGAAATTTTTCCATCACATAAATATTGCATGAGTGTTTTCTGCAGCTCTGCCCCCCGCCCTCTCCCTCTCTCTTCGTCTCTCTTGCTGTCTCTGGAGAAGCTGCCGCCGCATTGTTGTGCGTCGCTGTCGTCTGCTGGGGCCATTTCACAATTTGTAAACGGAAACTGCGGCACAATAATAAATACAGACATTGGAAGGCGCCGTCAAAAAATGTACATAAATAAGTAGATAAATAAAATAAAACCCGCTCACGGCATTTGGCGGAAGACAAAATTAAATGCAATTAGGCAGAAAATTCACTTTCCGAGCAACCGACAGTTGCCCCAGATTTGTAGGACGACCCAGTTTTGACCTAACACTTGATAAATGGCGTTGGGCCGGTCCCCATGAAACATTACTTTTCGGTTCAAAAGGTTAAATAAGCGCTCTGCCAAAAAAAAGAACACAAGAAATAAAAACCAAATGCCAATTAACGGCACTCGGAGATGCGTCAATTAAGTGACCATAACTGGAGAGCGACTTGACCTAGGGCAGTGAGAAACGAGGGCTATCCAACGCCCCAGTGACTGTCGCAGATCTAATGTGTTCAACTTAATTTAATTATACTCGTCTTTATTTGGTTTCTCTGTTTCGTTTTTGCAGTTAAATCCAGTTGAGCCGCAGCCAGTGCCCGCATTTCTGCCCGCCCATCTGAACAATAAGCCCATCTGTGACGACATCATACGCAAATTCTCACCATCTCGACGGCTGGAGTCGCGCGAACTAGCCAAGATCTTGGCACAACCACATTTTCGGGTAAATATACTGCCCATGATCCGCAATGGGGGAATGACAAGATCTAAAAAGTAGTATAAAAGAAAATTTGCATATGCAATTTAATGTTCTATTTCATGTTCAAATCAAATATAGAGGAGGTAAATTTACTGATTTAAATATGAATACTATTCAAAACAAAGTGTACATCTTTGTGATTAAAGTGTGTCCAACATTAAGGACCATATTTAAGTTTAATATTCGCCCACTTCAAATAACAAATAGTTCAATTTACTATATTCCATAGTAAATTTAAATATTTTTCTCAACTTTAATTTGAAGTTTTTTTGTAGGCGATTTAAATCTACCAGAAATATATTAAATTATAATATTTTTAATAGTTAAATCGAATTTTTTTTAAATATAAAAAAGAGACAAACATAGACTTTTCTTCACTTCTAATATTCATATTGATCTAAACTATATAAAAGGCATAAAAATGTCAAGATAGGTATTACTTTCTGCTAAAAATAGTTCTATACAAAATATATATATAAATATATATAAAATGTACAGTATGGAAATGTAATAAATTGAAGATTTAAATAAAAAATACAGTAAAGTAGACAAAAAAGTGGGAAAAATATCTAATAATTATAAAAAATAAACCTTTGGTGTAAATTAAACCCACGTCCACATCATCACTTGTGATTTAATATCGTCACACTTTAAATTTAATATTTATTTAATTAACATTTATTTATTTAATAAAAGAAATCGATGTTAAAAATATTTAAATTTACGTAGGTTCTTTTTTATAAATGCAATGGCAACCTCTACCCAACTAATCCATTTCTGGAATCTGTTTCGCTGCAGGCTCTGATACGCGCCCACGATGAGATAGGCCATCTGTACGAGCAACGTCTGAAAGCTGCCGGTGGTTCCATTACCAAACTCGAGGCTACAAGTCGACGCAAACAGGGCTGCTATTTGTTCACCGACGATATTTTGAACAGCAAGATGCCAGTGGAGGCGATCAAGATGGTGGGTCTGCGTCGCGATCCCAAACAGCCCCTGGGTCTGACCGTTGAGGTCGACGAGTATAAGCAGCTGGTGGTTGCACGCATTCTGGCGGGCGGTGTCATCGACAAACAGAGCATGCTGCATGTGGGCGACGTTATATTGGAGGTCAATGGCACTCGTGTCCATACACCCGAGGAGCTCCAAGTGGAGGTGTCGCGCGCCAAAGAGAATCTAACGCTCAAGATCGGACCGAACAATGAGGATGAGATCAGAAGCGGTCGCTATACGGTCAGTGGGGGTCAGGTAAAACAGAACGGCATTGCAAGCCTTGAGACGGGCAAGAAACTAACGGTAAGTTGAATGTTTTATTGCAGTTAGCCCCCTCCCTTACCTCAAGGTCCGGTTCCAACAGTTGGGAAATTTCCTTGAAATTGAATCCAGTGTTTGAACGGATCGGAAGGCATTGTGTCCATTGAGCATTGGACAACAATGGGGGGCTAGAAGATTTGCTACTTTTTTGCATGCATTTTGTTTAGCCCTATTTTGAAAGTAGAATGCGTATTAATTTTTATTGTAAGACCAAAGTAGTTCCAAAAGTTCCTATCAAAATTCCAAGCCAGTTGTTGCAACTAAGTAAGTAAATCGTAGCACACCAATACACTTCCACCGAACCTTACACTTGCATCTAATAATCCCGATTCGGATATATGTATATTTAGTGCTATATGCGCGCCCTGTTCACATACAATCCTTCGGAGGATACACTACTGCCCTGCAAGGATATTGGATTGGCCTTCAAGTCGGGCGATATTTTGCAGGTGAGTCAAGTAACGCCAGTTGCTGAATTACAGATTCTCACCCTATTCCGATCCAATTAGATCATCAATGTTAAGGATCCAAATTGGTGGCAGGCGAAGAACATTACCGCAGAGTCGGAGAAAATCGGATTGATACCCTCGCAAGAGCTAGAGGAGCGTCGCAAGGCATTCGTAGCGCCCGAGGCCGACTACGTGCATAAAATAGGCATTTGTGGCACGCGGGTAAGTTAATTGGCACGCGTCAGTTCTCAGATTTTATCACGGAAAATATATGTATATAACTATTAACAGATTTCAAAGCGTAAGCGGAAAACGATGTACCGATCCGTGGCTAACTGCGAGTTCGACAAGGCCGATCTGCTTCTGTACGAGGAGGTCACGCGAATGCCGCCTTTTCGCAGGAAAACACTCGTGCTCATTGGTGTCTCCGGTGTGGGTCGACGCACGCTCAAGAATCGCTTGATTAACAGCGATGTGGACAAGTTCGGCGCCATTATTCCACGTGAGTGAATAAATACATACAAGTATATGCGGAAGTTATCTTAGATTCCATGGGTATTTCTTTATAGATACATCCCGACCCAAGCGCGCCTTGGAGGAGAACGGCATCAGCTATTGGTTCTTGGAACGGGAGGAGATGGAGGAGCAGATCAAACAGAATCAGTTTCTCGAGTATGGTGAGCACAACGGCAACCTGTATGGCACGCATTTGCAGTCCATCAAGGATGTCATCAACAGTGGGCGCATGTGCATTCTAGACTGTGCACCGAACGCTCTGAAAATTCTGCACAATAGCCAGGATCTGATGCCATTTGTCATATTTATTGCCGCGCCAGGCATGGAACAGCTCAAAACCATTTATGCCGATCGTCGCGCGACAGGCTCAAATAGAAATCTATCTGTATGTAAAGCCTAAGCTTAGCGTAGTTTGTCTCCCGTATTTAAATGTGAACCCCCCTTATACCTTATTGCAGTTCGATCGGCAAAGTTCCATACGCTTCAGTTCAAGACGCGCTCGCACGCTCGAGTCGTTAGCATCGCTATATGAGGTAATACCCGCTGCTCCTTCCAATTGTGACCCTCTTCTCTAATACTATACATACATATTTATCACGCATCGTATCGTACGCATTAGGCCAGCATCGTGGCTCTCTTAGATATATGCTTGAATACAGAAGTATTGCTTAACACATATTCCATTTATGATTATCATCTGCAGGATGACGATCTCATTTCTACAGTGGAGGAGAGCAGCTTTGTGCAGCGCAAGTATGAGAAATATTTCGACATGGTCATTGTCAACGAGGACTTTGATGAGACGTTCCGTCAGGTGGTCGAGACTTTGGACCAAATGAGTCATGAGGAGCAATGGGTGCCAGTCAATTGGATATACTAGGCTGAACTGGCAATCGTCTACAAAACTGTCTACAAACATCGCACTAACCTGAAATATAAATCTCGCTTCCCACACTTATGCAAAATCATATTTATATGTCGTCGAATATCGTAGACCGCTTAGGCCTACCTCTAAACGTAATCATTACAAAGTACTATAATAATTCAATTTGTTAAATGATCGATGCCCTCCGCTTTTTTTAATTGTTTCGTTAAGTTTAGACCTAATTTTGTATACCTATTTTATGATATAAATTGAAACGAATTCGTCCATTTGCAAGCTAATTAATTTTAATGCTTTTATCTTTAGTTATTTTTGTATTTTTAACCAACTCCCGCATTGCTTTTCTTTCCCCTGTTGAAAATACCCTAGTTATCAATTTTTTTTGATACGCGTATCAATCTTATACTAACGAATCGAACGAGTACAATTGCCCGTCTTTAAACCCAAGCTCTGCCAATATTCCGTTAGCCTTATAGTTTAAATAAAACTATCTTATGTATAAGAGAAAACTATGTCGATGTCTGCTGCTGCTGATGAATAAATATATGCGCATTTGGCTCAAATGAAAAGCACCTCGAATTTTATTGTTGGCATTTTTGAAATAACCAACTTGTAGCGTTTACGTAGAAATTTATTCGTTTCCAAAGTTATGTGTATGTGCATGGAAATACCAAGATTTTCCGCAATGTTTCCTTAATTGTAAATGCCCAGAGATTTCTCCATTACGGCATGAGGTTGACGCATCTGCTCACTGTATTCGGGCACGTTCAGGAAGTCCTCAAACGAGATGGTATCACAGCGACCAGTCAGCACGTCATCCATAAGGTTGCTGCAAATGAATAAAATGTAAATTAAAGTTCGCTGGCAACTGACAGACGACGTCATTGACGCTGCTCACCTGGACGGTAGGAATGGCAGACGACCGACTTTACTGGCCGCAAATCGTTCCATGCCCATTTTCAATGGTACACCCATACCCTCGCGTTTGCGCAACATTTGCATTTGCAGGTCGTATTGATGATCATAGTAATGCAGCTCAGAATCGCGCAAATCATGAACGCGTGCCAACTGGCTCAAGCAATTCGCCTCTGTCGGCATGGACAATTTTCCAGCGGCATTCAACACGGTTACCTCGGCTGGCTTCACCTTTATTGATTGCTGCTCCTATGGCCAGGACATTAGTAATGTTCTCATCACAAAGCACTTTAATACATACCATTTTGTTTATTTTTATGAAATATTTAAGCGGTCGATGAGACTGTAAAATAAATTGAACGATTTGTTTTGTGGATGACAAACAAAAATGCTACTTGAAGTTGGCTGCGCTTCGATAATTTGATAATTCATAGCAACCAGAGTTGCTTCTAGTACACGCGTGTTGTAGCAATCAGCCTGCGCCTTTTAACAAGAGGCGGGTTTTTAAATTGTACATCGTAAGTATATCAGATTGTTATCACAATTAAGAAGATTGGAAATGCAATAAAGAATGCGTAATTAAGACAGGAATATATTTGATCAAATTCGTAAAATATAGGGATTTTCACTATACATACACATGTGCATGCATTTTACACGACATCAAAACAATTAAATTTGTCCTATTAGCGCAGTTAGCACATACATATGTCAAATGACCAACTTGAGACAAAACAACAAATTGTTGTGATTAATTACACCCTCGCAGCTCGGGAATCTCGTGCTCACACACACGTACACACACTCACACACAAGCCCGTGGCGCGCTCTAATCAATTCAATAAATAAATCAAACACAACGACGCAAAATTGTGTGAGTGTTGTTTCAATTTTTTGTTGTTTTGTGAAATCGCCCACACCTTTTAGCGGCTTTTATGATCTTCTGCTCCACAGAGCAAAGCTTTTTGTGATCACTTCAAGTGAGGACGACGTCGAATGCCAGAAGAAGCGACAGAGTTTAATTAGTGCATGCTCACTAATAAAACTTGTTGCTAAATTTTTAGAAACAAAAAACAAATGTGTGTTAATCAAACTCCCGCACTGGTCGCCACAACACGAAACAGCCAAAGCACTAAAGTAGCTATCACTGTCTCCGGGGGAACTACTAATCTGAACTTGAAACAAAATAATAAATTAAAAAATAAACAAAAAAAACAGAACATTGTCGATGCGCGGATGACAACAATCTCAGCGTAAAAGAAAAGTTGTAGATAAGGGAGATCTATTGGAATTGTTAAATTACCTGCTTTTCGGAAATGTTGATGTTAAAGAAATTGGTAAATCGGGATAAATGATGAAAATATTCTCAACATAAAAGTGGTAGTTATGAGGAAGATATATTGAAATTGTTAAATTAACTGCTTTTCGGAAATTGGTTAGTCAGGTTAAATGTTGACAACAATCTCGGCATAAGTTAATAATTGCAGATAAGAAGGAGATCTATTGAAATTGTTAACTGATTAACGGAAAGGTTAATATTGAAGAAATTGGTAACTAAGTTTAAATGTTGACAACAATCTCAGCATAAATGGAAAGTTGTAGATAAGAGAGAGATCTAAATGAAAAGTTGTAGATAAGAGGGAAAGGTTAATGTTGAAAAAATTGGTTAAAATGTTGGCGACAATCTCACCATATATGAAAAGTTGTAGATAAGAGAGTGATCTATTGGAAATATTAAGTTAACTGCTCCTCGGAAAGCTTAATGTTAAAGAAATATGTTAGTCAGGTTAAATGTAGACAACAATCTCTACATAATTAAATTATTGAAATTGTTTAGTAAGCTTTTCTTTGGGAAGTTTAATGTTAAAGAAATTAGTAACTCTTGGTTAACTCTGGTTAAATGTTGACACAGTCAGTAACAATGACTAGTTGAGTTTTCAAGTGCCAAGAACACACGAGTATGTACAGACATACATACATAAGAAGAAAAGAACAAATTGTACAAAAGTCGAGAGGTTTTCAACAATAATTTACTGCACAGCAGATTAGCAAAATCGGAAATGTCGAAGCCGAAATATACAACCTGTCTAGATTTGATATAATTCGAGCCGAACGCTTGTTGCTGCGAATCAGTTACGCTGGCTACGACGGCTCTCTGTGTACTTGGATGCATGTAACCCAAATATTTTGACTTTTATGTAAAATGCAAAAAGACAAAAGAGCAGAAGAAACCAAATACCGATAAGGGAAGTGAGCTGCGTTTTCACACCTACATGCTAAAAAAATAACACCAAGAGAATAATACACGGAGACAGACAGCGATTGCATTGCGGGTTAGGGTGATGGTGAGGGAACGCGGATATGTGTGCGCTGGTTCGGGCGAGGGTGTGGGACCGGGTGCGCAGGCGTGTTTGCATTTGTTTGATGCGGCAAATGCACATGCCGATTTTTAGGCGGAATTTTCGGGTAACTGCTGGTCAACTCTTTTCGATTGCTGCTGTTTCCTTGCTGTTTCTGCCCTTCGATCGCTGACTCGGACTCTGTTTGACTTTTGCCGACGGACCAGCCACTGCATTACACACCATTTACAGGGAATTCACAGCTTATGGCGCAGTTTTGGAGCGATGTACGCCATTTTGCGCTGACATTCGAGCTCACATTCTCAAAAGTGGATAAAAAGCGAGTAACCCATCAGATGAGATTGATTTACGAGCCTCTTTCTGTGAATAGAATGCATTGCAGTTGGCCGGCCGCCATAAAACTTACGAATGATCTTTTTAAGATCGGTCACGGAACGGAAAAACTTTTATGACATGGCGGCTGCTGCAGCCAGTCCCTGGCCCTGCCCCTGCCCCTGCCCCTGCATACCCGATACCCGATGCCCTATGCCCCTAACCGGATTCCCGATGCCAATGCCGATTGTCTTAATTGGCATCCAAGAGTAACAGAAGAGCACGACCCCTAGCAGACACTTTCCGGCATTATGCCCAATCATCGTGGTCCGCTGGTCGCTAGTCGCTGGTCGCTGGATCGCCTGCTTACAGCTGCCATTGTCAGCGTCGTTGAGGCGCGGCATGTCTCATAAAAGTTTATGACACCCCGAAAAGTAACGAACGTTCGAACTTAGTGGATTTCTGTTCAAGTCCCACTCCACTCCCCAAGTCCCTCATCATGCTGAGTCGGTATGTCTCTATTAGTGAGTCAAGACAATGACCACGACTGCCAGCAGCATCCAGAGCCGATTCTCTTGCCATTGCAAACGATTATAAAATCTTACGTTATATACAACAACTACCTTCTTATAAATAAGAGATATCTACATACATATAACTTGTACATATGTATATGTATATGTAATTTTATGCATTTATTACTGTGAAAAATTTTAATTCTTTTCGTTATACTTTTATTTGACTTTTTACATTTTGGATTGATGCGCTCGATTTGGTCGCCCCTTTTCCACACATAGTTGACTCTTTTGATTGTCGGCAAGAAAGTGGCATTGGCTCGAGATTCGTTTCGAATACTATGTATTAATTGGCGGCAATGGCCATAATCGGAAATAGGAAAGTAGGAATCGTAAATCAATCTGCAGTGGAGAGAGAATGTTACATTTGTTTGTCGTCGCGAGCATAAAGGATGACGTTTGTTCCACAGGAAAATAATTTACAACGGACACCAGAATAAATACGCAAATATAAATATTATTAAAAGGAAAATACATTTCAAATAAATCATCACAAGAATAGACATTTTAGACACTTGTTTTAATGCCTTCATACATAGTAATTTTTATGCATATAATAATATAATGGCATTTATAGGGTATTTTCATCCAAAGTTATCTAAGAATTGTTCGTAAGTTTCTCCCTAATCGAGAGTTTCCATTTCAACCAAAGACAAATTATGCCTTCCTCTTCGATATAGCGAGGGACTAGAGGTCGTGGTGCCGCCCACACTTTCTCAATGGCACATAGACATTTTGATTTCTTTTTGAGGCTTAGAGGAACTTTGATAAGTGCTTTGTTTAAGAGGTGAGGCGAGGGCTGTGTTTATATAGTCTAATATATGATTAAAACTCTAGCGCTTCTAAAGTCGCCGCTGTTGTCAGGTCCAGAATTAGGTTTATATTTGAACAGGAACACGTATTCGTATGCAACATTATTTTGAAGTTCCCAGCAATCGGTTAGAGACTTTTATAGATTTACATTTTTAAACAAACAAATAGCTTAACATTTATATTTTTATTATATATTTATAGTAGCGTTTCTGGCTTGCGTTGCTGCGCCACTGATTTGTAGTGCTTTTTAATCTTTCCGACGTCACATCTTCCCCAATACGTCCTTCGCTTTTTATGGCTTCGATTACGTCCTTGATTGAGTACCCAATGTTGTCCACCTTTTGGGTCTGTATAAAGGATGTCAGTCGCCTCCTGTTGGTGTTTCTTGGATCAGATGTAGCCCTTTCCTGCATTTGCCGAAGCCGCGACTCAGGTTTTCTTTCGATTCTCGATTCACAAAGATCTTGCAAACATTATTCGCGTTCATCGGCATTTTCAGCTGCATTTTTTAAAATTCGATTTCATAATTTTATTTATTTACGAATGAAACAGAGTAAAAAGTGACTGTTAAACAAATGAAAATGCGCAGAAATAAGACAGAAAACTATGGTTGATTGCGTTGACGAATCGCCACGAAACTTCACAGTTTTACCCATTTGACAATTTTGAATATTTCCACAAAATTTGATCAACATCGGTTGAGCGGCTTCGGAGTCTATACGAAACATATATATATACATATACATACATACATACTTCCATTTTTATCTATGTATATAGATAGACAGATAGCTAGATAGATAGATAGATAGAGAGATAGATAGATAGATAGATAGATAGACAGATAGACAGATAGCTAGATAGATAGATAGATAGATAGATAGATAGATAGATAGATAGATAGATAGATAGATAGATAGATAGATAGATAGATAGATAGATAGATAGATAGATAGATAGATAGATAGATAGAGAGATAGATAGATAGATAGATAGACAGATAGACAGATAGCTAGATAGATAGATAGATAGATAGATAGATAGATAGATAGATAGATAGATAGATAGATAGATAGATAGATAGATAGATAGATAGATAGATAGATAGATAGATAGATAGATAGATAGATAGATAGATAGATAGATAGATAGATATAGATATAAGAATATAAGATTAGGAAATTTGCAATTTGGTGTACACATCTTTCGAAATAAACAAGTGTTTGATACAACTATTTTAAAACCATGGTCCGTCTCGACATTTTTCTACAAGTCTGTATATCATTCAAAAAGAAGCCTCTGCGCAATGTGTATTCTATTCTTTCCTCTGGGTGTTACGAAATCATGCACCAATAATAATATATTTTTTATTAACCAATTTTTTATTTTATGATCTTTTTTAAATAACTTCTCAAAACTCCTCCATCTGGTACTTAATTTCTCTGGAATCTAGAGTCTAGTAAATGATTGGCGAGTAGGTTTTGTTTAGCATTTGGTTTGTTCACTGATAAAAAAAAGTTGCATAGTACGGATGAATATTTTCATATTAAATGTAATGTTCACTTATTTCATATTCAAATCAAATAAAAACATCGTACATTTTCATAAAAACATATTCAACTAGTGATTTTAATATGAATAATATTCAAAACAAAATGTAAAACTTCGTTATTAAAGTGTGTCATATTCAATTTAATGTTGAACCATATTAAATATTAATATGCACAGACTTCAAAAAACAAATATTTAAATTTACTATATTCCATAGTAAATTATAATATTTATCTCAACTTTAATTTGAAGTTTTTTGTAGCCGATTTAAATATTCTAGCAATATATTAAATTTCAATTGACTAGAATTCTCAAGTCGGGTTTCAGCGTTTGTGTGGTATAAATACAAAGTGTAACCGCTTTAAAATTACTTTCTGCTAAAAATGGTGGTTCTATAGAAAAAAAAAAAAATATATATACTGTAGAAAAAAAATATGCATCATGATAATGTCAATATTGAAAAGAGTTAAAAAAAACAGCGTAGACAAAAAAGTGGAAAAGATATTTCATAATTATAACGTCTCAACATCATCACTTGTGATTTAATATCGACACACTTTAAATTTAATATTTAAATATTAAATGTAAAATTTAAGTGTGCACACTTCATATTTCAAATCGATGGTAAAAATAGTTAAATCTACGTGTAAATATTCAAATTTCCGTGCTTTTTTTTATCCGTGTTGGATAACCATTTGGAATGTTGTGCATGCATTCAATGCGATGGAAGTGGGTTCCAGTAAAGATTTTGAGGGTTACAGATAGGGATCGTTGAATATTTTTCCCACTGGCTTTGTAGTGGTGTTATAGGACTTTATATTATAAGTTTAGGGAAGAGCGAGATGTAATGTAGACTGTATCCTTTTTTTTTATCCAGCCATTTCAGTCTTCTGTCGAGATTTACACCAAGATATAGAATGTCATTTGACTGCGGGAACATTACTCTGCTTAAACAAACATAAATATGGCGAAGGGCAATTCGTTTACTTTTTCTGTTAAATAATATCTTTGATGCCCCAGTTGGCCAGTCCAGTCCTCCATAAGTATCAACTAGCCATCCAGAACTATAGTTGCATGATGTGGAGATCGAGCATTGCTTAAGATTGCAATGTTATCCGTAAACCCGGATATTGTAAGTCGTGAGTTCGTTGGAATGTCTCTTTGTTCAATAACGGAGCGAGAACGATTTCTTGTGGTAACTCTGCTCCCATTCATACAATCTTTATGGCGTTCTGCGAAGGGTCTATTGCTGATATAATTTTGTAGGATCTAGTGAGAGTTTAAAGGAAGCAGCGCTTCGTCTGCGGGACACAGTCATAGAATAATAGAACCATACTATAGCCTTACAGTTTTCAGTGAAGTGTGAAAGAAAGAAAGGAATTACAAAATGCTTGCTACTGAAAATGGGTTGGTTAAAAATGTATTTAAAATTCATATCAAATAATGTGTAGAATTATTCCAATCACCAGTTTAACAATTTTTTAGTTAATTAATTTCATTATTTCAGATCACTAGTTAATCTTAGATTTACTGCTATAAACCATTGAGATTTTGATGTGAAATCCCTCATTTGTGGAATAGAAATTCCCAATTATTGCAACACTCTCCCAATCTTATCTTATCTAATTTCAAGGGCGTACACAGATTTTAACAAAGGGGGAGGCCAAAAATGTAAGTCTATTACATACGTCTGCAACGTATTGTTTATTTTTTTTGATTTTTTTCCTCAAAATGGCATACTATATGTGTGTAGAGGTTCAACCCACCCCCATCCCCCCTGCGTACGCCCTTGTCACATGTGCATTTAAAAATATCAGATATTTTTACCTTCAGCACCAGGGTTATGGAGCTGCAGAATAATTTAATACGCATTTTAATTCAACTGCTACGCAAATGCATTTATTCTACTACTTTACAATTATTATAATTCCTTTCTTTTCACATTTGTTTCCCCGGTCCATTATTAAGTAAATAAAAACATTGCTGCTCATACTTTTAAAACAATTAAGTATAATTAGGCAATAAAAATCGTTTCAATTAATTATTGTATTTTTCGTGCATTGAGCCAGTTTGTTGATTTCAGGTTCAGAATCAGACGGCAAGACGATTTTCCTGCCTGAAGCTGAAAAGCCTGTTCCAAATCAATTGTTGAGCCAAAAACAAAACAAATGTTTCCAGCAAAGCACATCAAAAAGCTTCAGTTCTAACAATTCCTTCACATCATCTAACAAGTTGTTTTCCAGACAAAGGCCATTTTGTTTCATTCTAACCGCTAAGTACCCTCATGACCTATTTATACTTCCCATTACGCGCCATTAAATAAATACATATGGTATTGCTCCACTAAAAACAATTACAGGAAAGGCCGGTTCCGAAACTTCCCCTGCATGAAAACGGCCAACCGCGAGAGAGAGAGAGAGAGGGGAAGCGAACGAGAGAGAGACAGAGAGAGAGAGAGAGTGAGGGCGACAGCAGCTATCCCTTATCAAGGGGGGGGGCGTGACAGAGCGAGATAGAAAAACAATTTGACAACCACATGCTATAAGTACATCAATAGTAGAAGTACTTATTTGAATATAAAAACGCCTCGAGACACAATTGAGGAGGGAAACTGATTGCTTTATTTTGTAATTTCTTGTGTTTTTATTCAAATAGCTAAGCTTAGGCAGATACAAACATTTTACATTTATAAATTAATTGCCCGATAATAGTGTTTAAGTAATTCAACTAAAATACAATGATTTGCATTTTTATTTGTACCAAGGCGAAAATTATATTTATTATTTATATGCGTTTCGTTTTTCCATACACACACATATACATATACAAGTATAGTACAATATATTTAATTTGTTGCGTTGCTCGATTGTTGTGCACGGAATACAAACACACAAGTACATACATACCTACACATACTAATGCATGTAGTATGTCTATAATATTATTAATTTAGCTCTTTATATTACACATTAGGACTACAACTAATTTTTATTACATATTTAGAGTAATAAACGTTAAACATTTTGCTACACACACATAGATATGTACGTAATTTCATATTTACAACTTGGATATTAATATTGTTTATATTTTCTATTTCTATATTTCTTTCCTTCTTCCTTTTTTTGCCGATGAAATGGTGATCATTTGAAAATTAATTGCACACAAGTTTTGGGGTTAAGATTAACAAATATTTGCCCCACAATTGGGGAGTGGGAGTTACAATTATTGTGTCTGCTTACTTAAGGCGTTTTGCTTTCTGCTGTCTGCTTTGTGGGTGTCTTCTACAAGTATATGTAAATTATTTAGTTTAAAAAGTGTTACTTGGGGACGGCTATAATTAATTTGTTTTTGTTGCAATTGATCCTAGCTATAAGGGGGCCAGCTTATTAATAGTTTTGCACTTAAGAGCTAAACATTTATGTTCAGAAACAAGCAATGTAAACAAGAATAAAATACATAATCATAATTTATAAAGCATACATATACAAGAAATCATCGCAGCTGAAGCTTCGCTGGTCGGCGTGTAAGAGTGTGGGTGTGGGTTTGGGTGTGTCTGTGTGCCTGCGATCTGACTCCTGTTTCGTGTTTCCTGTGCAGCGTTGAACGCCTCGAATATACAATCACAAAAAATAACAACGTGCAATATTCGAACGCACCCTGCACAGGTTTCGCAGTCAAACTGCTGCCAAACCTTAGGCTAAAGCCATCGCCAGATCACTAGGACACGCTGTGGGAGTGCCATCATTGCCGTTGCCGTTGCCGTCGCCATCGCCGCCACCCAGAATGTAGCTGTTGCCATAGCCAACGGCCGATTGCTCAAATAGAGCCTCCGCCTTTGCCTCGCTGGCATAGTCAGGTCACATCGAAAGCGTGCCGGCTACCGCTGCGGCAGACATTTGTACGCTGTGCTGGAGCGGATGGGAATGGGCGGCCGCAGCAGCCATAGAATGGCTGTGGGCCGCTAGATGCGGATGCAGACGCATGGCGGATATGTTCATGGCCATGGGATTCATTGAGTGCAGTGTGTGCTGCAGATGCAGGCCCGGCTCGAGCTTCGTCTTCGGATCGAGCAGTTGGCTGTAGTCTGTGTGCTGGACACCGCCCATGACATTGGGATCGCTACCCTTTTTGTTTTGCTTGCGCTCTTTGGCGCGTCGATTCTGGAACCAGATCTTCACCTGACGCTCGGACAGAGCTAGCGTCTGGGCGAGCTCACTTTTGCGACGTATGGTGATGTAGCGCGATGTGCAGTATTCCTTCTCCAATTCGAGACGCTGGTAGTCTGTGTAGACGACGCGATATTTGTCCTTGGTGCGGGTTTTGCCTGTAAACGAGAAGAGTTGGAAATTCTTTAAAAAAAAAAAAAAAAAACATACTGATATAAATGTGTATATGTATCTTAAACGTATGCCATGCACATAAGTCAACAAACACTTTATTTTCTCAACGTTCGCAAGGTTCGTGCGCAATCTTGCACGCTGGTGATAATCTTTTCCAGATCGCTATTCCGTTAGCTGCTCTGGTACTCTGGTGAGTGAGTGACTGGCGTCAGTTATACAAACAGCTCCAACTGACAATATTTGAATTATGATACCATCTAGCCCGAGTCCAGGCCGATCCCATGCAACATCCCCATCTTAAGAGCTGTCTGCACGATAAGGCAAGACGTTCTTTTCGGAGAACATCAAAATTTCTCTACTCTTCAAGATCTTTCAACTTTGGCGCGCAAACAGCAAACACCAAACACCTAGAATAGATGGAATACCTAGTTGCCTCCCCAAAAGTAACACAATAGCTGGCTGGTTGGCTGGCTGGCTGGCTGGCGCTGCGCAATTAGTCAATCAAAATTCAAATAAATGACGGCTGCGCCAACGACGTCAACTCAAGAACGCGCCCAGAGCTGCCAGCCACAGGCGAGGCACGAAAAAGGCCAGGGATCATGCCATAGTTGCGCCGGCATACGTGATGGGCACACACACAGACTTATCCGTCTACCCACCCAGTTAGAACACATTTCCACACACATTTCTAAACGACTCGACTCGACGCGACGCGTCGGCAAGGTATCAAGCGCAAGCAGAGTGCAAACATTTTTGGGATTTTGCTCTAATTTTTTATGTACCCGTGTAGTATAAACGTACCCACAATTAAAATTGAGCAAACAGCGGAGCAAACATACAAATATTTTCACAGATGATAAGTTCAAACGACGCACGAAACCATGGAGCTGGAGCGACCGAGCGAGTGTAAGGCGTAGGAGTAGGTGTTAAAGAACCGAATGTGCGCTACACCCGAGGAAGATATATGGCCATGGGGCTGAAGAATATCGGCATGGCATGTGGTTGGGGTTGGGGTTGGGGAGCTGTTGGCTTTTGATTTAGTTAAGCCAATGCAATTTATTGCAGTGTACTAAACACCTCCCTCGGACTACTTCAGACTATCTGTCTGATTCACATCCCCTTTGCTAATCGCGACAGCTTAGTAGTACGCTAGCAGGTCTTTAATATCTGGCCAAAAACGGATTTGTTTCTTATCAGCTACTCTCTCGCTATTCTATTTATTTTTTACACTTTTGTTTAGACGTGAATTTATAGCCCGCCATTGTCGTCTGTTTGCTCAGCCTAATGTAGAAATAGTGGTTCGAGCATGGTAGGGGGTGCAATGGAGAAGAGTGGAGTGGAATAGCGTGGTGTTGCCAAAGCTAAAGCCACATGTTCCTTTTTTCGGTTCACAAATGACTCTTCATTTTATTCAGTCTATCTCTCTAATAATAAATCTACAATTTTCTGTCTCTTTGCAATTTTAGGCGCTTGCTTACGGGTGGGTGTTGGGCCCCGGTCGTAGCTAAAGCTGATAACATCAGTCTATTTGAACAGACTTAGTGGGTAAAGACGGATTTTGGTAACTATCTAGAAATATTTACGGCTATCTTCTAAAGAAAGCTGCACAATCATCCTGGGGATTTTCATAGATATGGCCCTCTTCGTATTTCGCCACGTCCAGTAACAGTTTAGTGGGAAACCTAGTTGGCCCTGTACAAGTAGCTGTACCTCTTTCAGATTTATCAGCACAACCACTGCTTATCTATAGCAAGATTTTCAGCTCCAATTTCTCACACCTGTACAGCAGATAGGCGATAAAAAAAAACTAGCACATCATTACATACTATATATCCGTTCCTGTCTGACCTTCAAGGTCGCTGTGCAATAAATTTTATATAAAACTACAGAGCTCTACAGATATAATTAGTGAAATGTTTTATTGTCAGCGGAAAGCAAATACGCTAGAGCTCTATCACAGATACAGCTCAGAAATGCATAGACCCATCCGTACCAACCCCATCTATGCATATCTGGACTAAGTAAAGATGTCTGAAGCACCTGTCTCTTGGTGCTTAGCTCTGAGCAAATATGCCAGCAGTACAGCCTCAGAATTGTACGAATCTGTGTGACTATTTCTAGTCTCGTCGCCGCTTAGATAAGATACAGCGTACGTATCTACAACATTGCGGTAATGGTGTTGCTGCAACAAAGAGCCTCCCACTCTACGCCTAGAAGTACTCAGTCATATTCACAAATATTTTGATCCCAAATGGCTTTGGTGGAAGACGACAACGACGGCTTTTATATAATCCCAGCGAAAATTTTAATTCATGCTACGTTTTATGTATTTAAAGCCCGCAGAATAAAAAACAAAAAGCAAATCTCACTGCTATATACAAATATATTTTGGCGCGTATGAAGATTAAACAGTACAAATACATTTTATTTGTAATTAAATAAAATTGTTGTGCTGCTTTTACGGGAAGGTGTGAAATTTTTTATGACTTTGTCACTGGCCCGCTAGCTGACTCGCTGTCAGCGGCAAGGTGGCGTAATTTATACATACAAGTATACAAGTAGTATGCTCCATTTAGGGCTGCCATGGGTTAACAGTTAGTGGTGGCTGCTGCTGCCAGTAAGTGAAGTGCATTGCTTTCGAGGTCGACTATACTTACTACTCGTATATCTGCCATTGAAGACACTGATAGACGCACTAAAAGTTTGATTTTGAACAACATTGCATCGTAAATGCACATATTGTGAATTGAATATGAATGGGGGGTTATCTCACCAATACTATATATAAACACATATAGCGTTCCCATAGAGTTCCATATAATGATAGATGAGTTGGTATTGCCTTTACACGCATGGCGGCACAGTTCAAAAGTCTCTAACTGCACGCACTCCCTAATCCCAGTTGAGGTCTATATAAATAAACATCGGCCCAGGCTCATCGATGTTTGCACGGCCAAGTTGTTGGAATTGAAGTTGTTAGGCTTTGTATGGGCTTGTCAGATAAGCCTTAATGGTTGTTCTGCAGCCGGGAGTACTGTGTCAGGGAGTTGGGGTCTCGACCACCAATTGATTGGAGAGCTCATGCCCATGAAGTAAACACTGTGCGCAAAAAAGAGCTGCTGGGGAAGAGCATTAAGGGAAAATTTCCCATGTCTATAACTGGTACAGACTTCAAGATGAGATTTTCTCCAATGTTAAGAAATGTGTTTGTTTAGATCTTAGGTGGGCTGAAAAGTTCGTATATAATAATCAAAACTTTGAGCGTCATCAAATTTGTCAGAAGACTATAAATTGGAAAGCTTTTTATTTGAATCTATACTTCTCTTTTAAAATAGAATAGCGTTCAATTACGCTCAAAAGACATAATGCTACACTATATTATGTGTCTCATGGTAAAAGGCTTTAAGAGCCCCAGCACTGTGAAGCCTGGTAGAATCATAATCTCCTGTCCGTCATTTCTTTATTTTTTGGGGGAAATATATCTCTGAAGAACTTGGCATTGATGGTCCATGGACAAGAAATAGTCCGACTTAGGGACTATCCGACCTGGGTGGAATCAATTTTTGAAGTATACATACATATGTCAAATGTCGCATTTGCATTAATTATTTCAATTTGTCTTAATGTAATGGAATCTAAGCTCATTTGCCCTTCGTTGCTCAGTGTATTAATGAACTACTGATTGAATCTTTAACATTTCGCACACATCTTCACTCAAGTCCGCGCACCCTTAGACTCTTTATTTAACGATTGCCGACTATACAATTTATTTATATTTTTGTATACACGCGCATATATGTATATACATATCTATCTATCTGTAACTTTTTGCCGACAAAGCAAAATGTGCAAACAACTCTAATAGCCGGTAGACTTAAACTTTTATAGCACAGCGGATTATATAATATAAAATTGATTATTTACCATAGAGCAACAACAATAACACCACAATACAAAATGGATCGAACTTTAGTTGCCAATGACAACGACAGTAAATAATTGTTGAGGGCATTATATGAATTTGGGTTATAAATTATCAATATGGCATGGTGTGGAATGGTTTGGTGTGGTAGGAAGGTGCTGTCTTCACAGCTGTAATTGCAGTTGCTGTTGTTGTAGTTGTTGTAGTTGTTGTTAATGCTTTGGCCAGCTGTGGCAAATGTTAAAGAGCCGCTGCTAAGTGGTCGAACAATCTGATTGCGGCAATTATCTGCGCACTCCCAGCGGACAAATCACCGGCCAAGGACATTTGCGGGTTGTTCCCAATCTGCCCTACTTGGTGGTTGTGGCGGCTTGCCGCCGACAGCGTTGTAATATGCACGACTCGGCTTTTTAAACATCCTGCTGCGTGTTAATTTGCCAACAGCCAAGGCATGTTGACAACCAGTGGCCAACATGATGGCTAAATAAACCCACGCTAAGGCACAGCGTGTGCGCAACAACCTATAAGGACAGCGGCATCTCACATCTCTGACAGAGTCGTCTTCGGGGAAACATTTATTACCTGCCAGGCAGCCAGGCAGCCAGCCAGCCTGAGTGCCTGTCCGCCAGCCTTCCTGCCAGTCTGCTCTATTTAAATTTGGAAATTAAAGCTGCCGAAAGTTCCGGCACTCGCCGATTCAAACCGACCAGCAACCCTCCTCCCCCCAACCACTACCCTCTACATCTTGCTCGCCACACAATCGAGCAATTTCGACAATTGCACTCCTGGGATCTGCAGCGCTTGACTTTTCAACACTCAACAATTTGTTTTTGGAGAAATTCTCGTTGTTGCTCTCATCTCGTGGCCCGAACTTAAAGTTAAGCCACAATTTTGCGCACTTTTTCTCTGCTCGTTGCCTTTTTTTTTTTGCACAACTGCAGCCGAATCGTGGCAAGAGCAGCAGCATCATAAATATGTTTTGGGCCAGAGCCAGAGTGAAAGACAGAGCGGAGCAACAACAACAACAACAACAACGGGTTCGTCTCTCACCACCCAAGCGACAATATAACAATAACATTTATTTGGCATTTTGCTGCTGTTTTAGCTGCTGTTATATCGTAAATATTAGCTCAAATTACATCATAAAATCATTTGATTCGATTTGACGTTTATTCTTTTTTCGCCATTTCAGTGTGGGCTTTTCCCTGTTTCCTTTTTGCATTTGGTGAAAAATTTACCACCTTTGTGGCCGGAAAAGTGTGGCATTTTAGGCTCTATTGTTTTTGTTGTAAATCAGCGCTCGCGTTGGCTGCTGCAAGTGCCGTAAGATGCCATATAAGTGGCACCAGGCAGAGAGCAGGCAGTCATATATACACAATCATATATACAAGTGCCAAGATCTGACACACGACAAATATGGAGAGCAGGGTCTATCAGGGTCTATATATCAAAATGCAGCATCCATTCCAGCAGCGGTTGCAGACAAGAATGTTGCTTATAGATTTAAAATATCAAATATTGCAAATCCTTTATTGATGATGTTAGCTTTTCAATTTCCCCGCGTGCATATTTTAAATCTATATAATAAAGCAAGCGAACGACTAGTTTCTAAAATAAGTAATTATTTGAACATAAATTGGTTTGGGAAGTGTGAAGACTGCATTAGAGTTTCCTCTCAAGAAGCTTGCTTATATATTAAAAATATTAGAAAAGTTCGTACAGCTGATTAAGTATTGCATATCCTATACCGATGATGTTAGCTTTTTAATTTTCTCTCATATATACACTTTGAATCTATATGATTATAGTAAGTAAGCAAACATGAAAATAAATAGTGGTTTTGGTTCTTATCGAAGATTACAAATCCTTTATTGATGATGTTAGCATTTAAATGTTCCCGTATGCATATTTTGAACCTATATATTTAAGCTTAATTTTTGAAGTGTGAAGACTGCTTAAGCGATTCCTCTCATATATCAAAAGGCAGAAACCGTGCCGTGCAGAAAAGACAATTTATCAAACGTAGCAAACGTGTTAGCTTTCCAATTTTCCCTCTGGCATATTTTGAATCTATATAATTAAGCAAGTGGTTTTGGAAGTGGGAAGACTGCTTTAAAGATTCCTAACATATCGAGTATACCAGGAGCTAAAAATATATTGATTTGCAACTCCGAAACAAATGGAAATTCTCTCCAAGGCGCAAACTTTGTATCTATAGGAGTAAGGAAGTGTTAGCAAACAACATCCATATGTACTCTTCGACTTAAAGAGTAGTTGGTAAGCTTTATGTAAAGGTAATGTCTGACTCTCTAGAATTTCTAGACCTTAAAAAGGAAACAGTCGTGTCATTGCTCTAATGAAGCCATTAAAACCCATTCGTTGCCTATCTGTCTCTACATCTAAGCCTTTCCTTTCTGTTCAAACCCCAACTTGTGATACGAGTCCCATAAAAATAGCACACATACGGCCGCTCTCACCACACTATTAACGAAATTCAAAATGGCGTACACAACATTAAACATGCAACATGCCAACTCTATATATACACACACATACATACATCCATATATGATGAATATGCAAAGGCAGGACGTCCCCGTTCGCCCCCAGCACGAACCGCGCCGTCGCGCCCTGACACGCAGCATTATAAATGCCAAAGAGGAGAGAAAAAATTATCAGATCGCGTGCAACAACAGCTAGGAATGCACAATTGTACGTGCCTCGGCAAATGTGGCACGCAAGCAGGCGAGGATTGGGGCGGAGGAAGACGATGGTGGCACGCCATTGGCGGCACCGGTTTCTTTATTCATTTTCTTTTGTTTTGTTTTTTTTTTTTTTTAATATATGGTCGACTGCTTTTTTATGGAAACTAACGCGACCGCGAGAGGAGTGGCGCCGCGGTTAGAAAATGGCAGTTCCCAAGTCACAAGTTGGGCCGACGGAAAGGTCGAAGCCGAAGCCAGAGCCATTGCTGATGCCATGGTCTGGGGGCTACGGCTAAGAGGCTGAAGTACTGCAAGCGTCGCCATTAAAGTCATAAATACGCGCAGGCAAAAATTATTTTCAAATTTACGTTAATTATTTTAATGCGAGTGGCATGCAATAAAATTTATATGCGATATATGGCACAATATACTACGATATGATATATGTATGGATGTATGTATGGATGTATGTATGGGCTCATTTATGAGCCTCACATGCAAACAAAGGGGGAACGAACAAAAAGAACAACAGCAGGAGCAACAACAAAAAAAAGAAGGGATTTTAGGAAAACTTGCGATAAAGAAGAATATGGTAAAAATTTAAAGCTCCTACCGCTTGGGTCCAGCAACTCTGTTATGTCCTCTAAATGGGGCGTGCTGCAATGCTCTGCGGATGGTTTAAAAATTGCTAATATTGATTAGTGGTTGTGTTCAGAAATTCTAAATAGAAAATTGTAGATGTAATTAAAACTAATTTATACTAGGCTATCAGAAAAGCTGTCATTTTATAGGAATACATTTCAATAGGCAGCCGTTCCAGTACATTAATTTCCAGGTAATAAAGACACAATTTTAAGTAAGCCACAATCATTTAAATGGGCCGCCCAAGATTGGTTTGTGACCAAAAACTGCAGGTATGTTAAGTACTTAATAGAAACAGAGTAGAAATGTAATTTTAACAAATAACTACAACCAGCTATATTCGTAAGTATACCAATAATGTTTCAATATTCGAGGCAGACCACTATTGTCGTGAAATATTTCAAAAACTTAACGTACTATCGGAATTCGATGTTAATCAAAGAACAGATTTAATAAAAAAATGTAGCACTATGATTGAGGAAGGCCTTTCTTTTAGAAGTCCCTAATTTTAAAACTGTGATCCAAATCGATTAACATTTCACTTCACACTGACTTGATTGATAAGAAGTGGCGCTATAGAGCTACCAACATTCCAAGCAGCCCACTATTGTCATGAAATATGTCTTTAATAAAAGCATAACTATGGGAATTCTATGTTAGTTAGAGAACAGATTAAATAAAAACATTGATTGAGGAAGGCCTTTCTTTTAGAAGTCCCTTATTTTAAAACTGTGATCCAAATCGATGAAAAAATTCACTTCACGCTGACTTGATTGATAAGAAGTGGCGCTGTAGACATACCAACATTCCAAGCAGCCCACTATTGTCATGAAATATGTCTTTAATAAAAGCATAACTATGGGAATTCTATGTTAGTTAGAGAACAGATTAAATAAAAACATTGATTGAGGAAGGCCTTTCTTTTAGAAGTCCCTAATTTTAAAACTGTGATCCAAATCGATTAACATTTCACTTCACGCTGACTTGATTGATAAGAAGTGGCGCTATAGAGCTACCAACATTCCAAGCAGCCCACTATTGTCATGAAATATGTCTTTAATAAAAGCATAACTATGGGAATTCTATGTTAGTTAGAGAACAGATTAAATAAAAACATTGATTGAGGAAGGCCTTTCTTTTAGAAGTCCCTTATTTTAAAACTGTGATCCAAATCGATGAAAAAATTCACTTCACGCTGACTTGATTGATAAGAAGTGGCGCTATAGAGCTACCAACATTCCAAGCAGCCCACTATTGTCATGAAATATGTCTTTAATAAAAGCATAACTATGGGAATTCTATTTTAATCAGAGAACAGATTTAATAAAAATATATAGCAATACGATTGAGGAAGCCCTTTGTTAAGTCCTTAATTTTAAAGCTGTGAGCCAAATCAATCGAAAATTCCACTTCACGCTGACTTGATTGATAAGAAGTGGCGCTATAGAGAGTGTGTAAAAAATAGAATATTTGCTGGCCATTGTTTATGTTCAAATAGGCTCCTACAAATTTATTGACAATTTGCCCATCGTAAAATTATTAAACAAAATAATATGCAATAAATTATCGGGCGGTTGGTGTGAACTATAAATTTTCTAGCAGCAACAGAAGCGGCCACAGACACATAATGCACACACCGTGTTGTTATCTTAGTGGGTTAAACAACAGATTGGGTCAACGTGCAACAATATTTGAATAATCTTTGTAGCAACAATGTGCTGTGCGATGCGCAAACACCAGCTTCAGCCCCAGTGCCACTTCTAGTGCCTCTGGAGGCTGCACTGATGCAGTGAGTAGGGAAGAAGAAGAAGCAAAATATATAGCTGTGTATGGAATCGTGTGCTATTTGCTTGGCCCTTGAACTTGAGCGCGCTCGCCCGCACACAAAACTGCAATATAATCAAAGCCGCATTAACTGCTTGTTTACAAGCTCTCGACTGTGTTTGGCCTGGCTCGTTAAATTCATCCAATAATAATCATAATCATAATTAAAGGTGAATAAAAATCAGAGCACAATATTGCGCTCATATATATTCATTATTATTATTATTATTATACGATACGAGTATGCCCGTATAGGAATTTTACTATTGCGACGACCATTTCTGCTCATTTTCCAACAGCACATTTAGTTTATTTTTTATAATTATTGCTACTTTATTGTATTTCTAAGCGATTACATCCACAATATATGGTATATGGCTCCTAGCCTTATGGTTGACTGCAAATCTTGCCAGCAATAAAAGTATTCGCGTCCCGTCTATAAAAAGAATCACCCTCGCTATTGCGTAATGAGTAAACTTGGTAGCCCGTCAGATAGTCAAAATTCTCGTACACTGGCAGAAAGTGATTTCAATTCCTCAAATCATATCGCACTAAAAAACTGCAGGTAAACTAAAATTAAATCCAATGACATCCAAATATAATAGAAAAGTCTTCTTTAATGAATCATAAGATTTGAAAAATATTAGGTTTAAATCATTTGTCATCTTTCTTTGGCAACAAATGTTTTCAGAAGTTGTCCATTAATCGTAGTGTTTCAAGACAAATCATATCCATCATCTTTCTTTGATTTAATGCTATTCAAGTGTTGATCTGCTAAAAAAGAGCGGTTAGGCATTTGATTCAACATTGCACAAAATAAAAACTTAGGACAATCAGTAGAAATAAAGACGGGAATAGAAAAAATCGTTGGTGCGAAATCTGGCATATTCGATTGCGTTATATATGTATAATTGAAAAATAAGCGAAAACAAAGCTTCCAGATTTTATAAAAATCAGATCAATGAACTATAATCAAATCAGACCCATTCTCAGACCATCGTACGCAGGGAGTTTCTGAGACAACTGCCAAAATAAATTGGCAAATAAAACTCTATCTGCGACAAAAACATACAAAACTTAAAGCGCTTTATATTTTTGACATCACTTTGCCTGGAAATTGTTAAGTTTCTCTCGGTGTGCAACATGTTTACAAATTTATTTTTGCCCGCCTCCATATGATATATTGTTGAAACGTGTGCTCGCATAAGCTTGACACGTTTCCCGCTTGACAATCAACGCCAAGCAATGTGTCAGTCAACCTGTGCGTCACTCAAGCCTACTAGCAGCCAGATAGAGAATCAAAATGGGACTGAAACTCTGACTGACAATGAGATACAGATATGCATAGCTTTCAACGTTTAGGGACTGGAATTTGTTGATGGAAACAAAATATTTGCTGCTCTACAAAAACCACCACGTACGAGGGATTTTGATTGACAAATGGATTTCGGTTTCACCTTATAACTTGAATCTTAGGTTCTAATAGCAAACCTTGTAATTATAACCTATTTTATGTTGGTTGGTCAATTTGACTTGGAATGGTTCAGTTGCATATCAAACCTCAATATATGCTTCCTAAAGGGGTTTTTGTTTTTGCAAAGAAAGAACATTTCATCAAATATGATGAAATTGTACAATTTTGTTATGGAAGGTTCTGTATTTTTTATAGAGGTACTTGAAACCTCAGGTAGAACATCATAACTGGCCAAGAGGCCTAAATGTGTTCAAAAAAGACAGCCTACCTATTATTTTATGGTTAAAATAAAAGTGAACCGTTTTGCATTCTCTATGACCGAGATTGCAAATCCACGGTACTCCAATGAGCAATCAACAAATAGCATGTTATACAGTTCCGAGTCCTAAACAGTTTATGAAGGGCTTTGCAGCTACTTAACAATTAACAAAAACAAAAACCCAATACACAAACATTCGAAATAACAACGAACTCCAGTTATTACCAATATCGCTATCAATACAAATAGAGGCCCACATTTGTTTATACAACTGAGCCCAAAACAAATGCCCAGTGAAAATAGAGTCAAGCGCTAATCCTGTCATGTCAATCATGCGCCCTGCGCCTCCTGCCTTTCAGACATTTCTGGCATTGCGCTCTGGCTGTCCCGCTGGCTGTCGATGTTTAGATGAACTCCGAGGCCTAATCAACAGCGACTTCATTTTGACACATGCGTCGCCGACGTCCCGGACGTGTCGCTGTCGTCATTGCACGTTTCCCATACCAAATATATATACGTAGTATATTGATAACGACGATAACGATCGACACATAGCGCACTCTATATAAACGCGCCTAGGCTGAACGTGGCCATTTTTAATGGCTTATCAAGGCGGCCCTATGTAACCTCTATATGGGTATGTATACTACTCGTATGTGTATATACTATACTCGTATATATCTATGCATGCATTGACATGTGTCTTAATGCCTACGAGTGCGTTTTTTGGGACTAGACATTTGGGCAACATGTCAGACTGCATTGGGGCTTTATAAATATCTATTTGAGCGCAGTTGCTCGACTCCGATATATAAATTTTGTGCTTACTGACAAATTAAATCTCAATGTGTCATGTGGCATTAAGTTGTATAGTATGAGGCCTGTGGAGACACTGTCAAATGCAATATGGACAGCAAATATTCAGCTAAGACCGACAACTCTTTTAGCTAGTGTTTTGGCAAAGTTGCTTATCACCATCAAGACCATCGATATTCGCGGAAATACCCGACGGCTAAAAATATTTCAACATTTTTTAGGGCCTCGTTTTCCGTCCAAAATATGAATAGCAAAAAGATTTAAGCGTAAATGTCGCTATTTAGTTTTATTGGAAGTAACACTAATTTTTATTGGTTTATGGCTATATTGTTTTAATCAATACGCCAGCGTGCTTATCAGGCAAGCGCGATAGCACGCCCGCTTTTGATATGACCAAATTAATAGAACGCACCCCCAGCCCCAGCCCCAATCCGAATTCCGAATTCCGAATGTTCCTCTAACGTTCCCGGCGATGGAGCATTATTGACGAGCCAGACGTGCCAGTATTCATTTAACAAAGGTTGCCCACACTAATCTAATCGCAAAAAATAAAAACCTGCCAGAGCCAGAGCCACAGCCAGAGCCATTGAAACGCAAGTACCACCGACAATAATAACAACGACAACGACATGCGAGCAGAACATTTTATTGCCACACCTATTGACGACATAGTCGAGTGATTCTAGAGGTCTGGGTCTGGGTATGGCATGTGTACGAGTGAGTGTAGGATTGGTGTGATATGACAAGAAATGCACCGAAAGCTAAGCAAATAACGACACAATTCCAAATGCCACATTAGTCAGCCAATAATTGGACAATTGATGAAGGTGAAGCTTCTAGGATACTTGGGGGTTACCCCTTCACTTGCTTCACTTCTTTAAGCGCCACGGTGCAGAGACATTCAGATATGATTGTTATGCAATAAATAAACCAAACTTAAGTTGCCTTGTCGGCTTGACCAACTGGATTAAGCAACAGCTATAGTCGAACATACAGCCAGCCCGGCAATAAACGTTAATTGCACACCAACAGATTTTATGAGCTTAATGGATATCGTCGATATCGTCTGCTGCTGTCAACTTGAACTCTGCCATAAATTCTGAGCGTGTGCACGTGCGCCCCTGTCTCCATACGAGTATGCCCGCCTGTCTGCATATTTGCATTGGCATTCAATGGCGGGCGTTGTGCAAAGAGTTTTTTTTTTTTTCAGCAAAGATTGTGTCCAAAATAATAATAATAATAAAAAGGAAGTGTGCATAAAAAAGCGCAAACAACAAACTAAAACATAAAGCCGTGCAACGGGAAACACGATGGTTCAGCTATTAGATCCCCGCGCCCCTCCACACCTGGGCGCTAATTACTGTGAGAGTAGTGTGATGGTGGTGTCCATTCTTCGGTATTTGCATTTTCCATTAGAGGAGCTTGGATTGTTTGAAAGATTAGAATAACCCGACGCGGTTTTATTGATAAATTGATTTACGATACTAAATTAGTCAACAACAAATTTTGTTTGGTACATAAATCAAAGCGACATGCCATCGACGCCTTACTGCGACGACCCGTTCCTTGTCCCATCCCCCTCCCCCTTCTCCCGCCACCAGCACGACCCTCATAAAGCCAAGTCAAACATTTGAAGTTTTATGAGCCAATGTCTGATGAATCTCGGCGCTTTGCTGCGCAAGCCAATTGCTCAGTTATAAAATTATGTTTCTTTTTAGCAAAGCGCGAACAGCACGAGCTTAACTTTAAAAAAAATCGAATACAATGGCTACGCTTTAGCCCTCGAGGCGGATGCTGGAAAAACCAGTGGAGTAGTGAGTAATGAAGGTGAGTTTCATTGGAATGGAAGGTGCAATCAAGCCAGACAATAAAATACCGAATGTTGGGGGACGACAATTTAAAATTGGATTATATTAGAGGTACCCTATCGTTATTGAACTATTTTGCAAAAATGGGTGAAGGATTACGAAATGTTGCAATCGAAACTTGAAGAGCTACTCTGATTCAGTTGTTTTTTTGACTCCATTACATTACATGGAAAATACTTCATAGTTTGTGTTCATCCTTTCTGTACGAGCTATGATGAAAATATGATCGAATTATTACCTGGCTGCGGTTGCGCTGGATACGACGGCTTCTTCATCCAATCGAAATACTGGGGTTTGGCGGGCGAGCTACGATTATTGTTGTTAGCTGCAACGCTGTTGTTGTTGTTATTGTGCGTAGACGGGCTGTTGTTGTTGTTGGCAGCCACGCTTAAATGATGCGCCAAATGATGGGGCGACGATGCCGAAGTCGGTGCACCCGGACTAGATATTTCGCTGCCCGATACCGTAATCGGAGGCGATGGCAAGCCTTCGGTAATATGTTGTTGTTGCTGTTGTTGCGCTGCCGCCGCTGCTGCTGCTGCTGCTGCCGCCGCCGCATCGTTGCCAATACTGCCACCCGTCTCATTAAGTTGTGTGCTGCCCGGCGCCGCTCCCACAACTGCTGAACTGTTGCTGCTGCCCGAACTGGCGGAGCTGCTGGATCCGCCGCTCGGCAAGCCGCCCGTTACATGCGCATGATGATGCTGCATCAGCTGATGGGCCGAGACGGGCACATTCTGGGGAAAGTTATCCGCAGATGTTGTCGAGCCAGATGCGGGCGAGTGCCAATCGCTGGCACTGGCCGCTGCCGAGTGGAACATGTGATGGGGATTGTAGTACATCTGGTGGGCGGCATGGTGCGCGGCATGCGGAGAGTCTATATCGCCCAGAAACTGATGATTAGGTCCCGTGGGATAGTTGGGTGTCCAGTTCCATGGCTGGCCGGCGGCGGATGCTGCGTAGGCCAAGTTGGCGGGACTGTGTTTCTGGGTGTATGGCAGTGTGTTGTAATAGTGTGAAACCATTTTGGACACAAATGCGTTTGAGGTTAGGCACACGTATGCAGATGATAATAACTTTGATTATTTCAGAATTAAGCAGTTTGTAATTAAGTTCTTCACTTTCGCTTCTCAAAACGCTCTTATCTCTCCTTATTGATGCACTTTGATTACATTTAAATACACATTTTACAAGCTCATTCGTTGGACCTTTTTTGCTGCGTTGCTTTGTCAATTGTATGGTTTTTGCTTTCACATGTCTTATCTGTCTTTCGCTTTTGGAGGCGCACACACATTCAACAGCGGCTCAGCCGTTCCACCGCTATCAACAATTCACAATAGAGCTAATCCGTTAACACTTTACGACTTATCGATTGTTTGATGGCGAAATCGAGATCGCTTGCAATTAGTTAATTACTATTTTAGTACCGATTTACGATGTGCTTGCACAATTTATTGTCCAACTGCCGCTTTACGTTTGGATTATTGCGAACTGGGATTTGGAAAGCAGGTATGCGGTAGTAAAGAGAATGTAGACAAAAATTGAATTTTTTTTAACAATTCTATTTGCTTTCAACTGCCGTTTTACGTGTGGCTTGTTGCGACGTTAACCGCAGTCGAACTCGTACTGAACTCAACAAACGCCGCACTGATAAAAAACCAAAAATTCAAGGCACAGCAATATAACTGCCTGTGCTTGACAACCCACCCGCCGTTCAAACAAACTCAGCTGTCATCTCACTTGCACTCACACGCTCGCTCGCAAGACAAGCAGTTAACGGTCACTATTCTCATTTCCGCCCAGTGTTTGAAATTCAAGATGGCTTATGTTTACTTGCGCTGCCTCGCTCTATTCGATTTTTCACTCACATGAGCTCGCCATATCTATCAGTTGACTCCGCCCTTCCCGGCTTTGGGGCGGGCAGGTAAAAATCTTCAACTTTGCGACAAGAAATACCATGGTAGGCGTTAGAGCGGATTAGTTGGTTTTTTACGTTATGATCACTTCGATTATTGTAATTGCCACTCACAAAAAGCCGTTAGTACACTAGGCCGAGCGAAAAAAAACCTAAGGCCGAAGTTAAATTTCTCGCCTTAGGCCTTAGCACTATTTCTAATCAGCTGCATTTTGTTTACAAAGCGATTGGAATAAAATATCGTAATGTTTGAAGTGTAACAAATTCAATACGAGCAACTATTTATGAATGGTTTTGACGAAAGACAATAATTGTATCGTTCGTTACTGAAGAAGGTGAAGAAGCATGGAGTAATGACCAGATTAAATGAGGAAGGAAGTCGATGCACTCAAGATCTAATGCCAAGCAATAATCACAGTCCCAGTAGTTATTTTCTAATGTGCACCGTGTTGTAATTAACATAATTAAAATTAATTTATTAAATTAAAACAAACCTTTATTTCAACTTATTAAGGGTTAGTGAAGCAGAGTAAAACACAAATCAATCAAAATTACACACAAATCCTGTCTAATTATTAGGGGCCTAAATTAAGCTCAACTAAATTTGTGTCGGGATAACTGACGGGGCTCAGTGTATCTTGATAACAAAGCTAGTGCCTTCAAAAACAGCTATACGTCTAGTGTAACAAGTCGTTCACTTATGACGACTGTCGACGTTATTACATAAATACTTCCCTCATCCCTCCCTATATCAATATAGTTTTATAGTACCAAAGACTGTCTGAAGGGTATCAAATCTGCAACGTAACTCAAGAATAGAACAGATATTTATTTTATATACCCAGCACTCAACCAAGAGTAGATCAAAAACGATAGATCGCGCGGTTTCGAATCACATATATGTACCATACCTTTCGTATACATGCATGATCAGGATGATTAACCGTGTTAACCGTCTATCTGATTCAAGCACTAACAGTTTTAGTTGAACGGTGGCTACTTTTTTAAGGCACTATGTCAGGTGACTATATCTTTTGCTGTCACAAAAACTGTATGATTTAGAAACAGTTATTGTGCGAAAAACTTTCTGTGTATAAAGATTTTGGAACCAAATGGTTTTGCACGTCTAGTGGGTCGCGAAAAAAACTTCTTAGCTTGTTCCAGCTTGTTTTTTGGCTTTTAAAATCACTGGAATCAAATCACATTTTTACATTGATTGGTCCCACGTTGGCTCAATATCATCGCATCAAGTACTTGCACGTTCAAATCACACAGAGGACGTAGTGTATCGGCTCTTTACATGCACGAGCCGAAGGAGAGCTGAAGTTGCGCTACTCTGGGCAGAACACAGACAAATGAAACCCTTCGTCCTTCTGCTTTCAAAACAGTAGGTCGAGGCCGCGTAAAAAACAGCTTGCTAGGATGCTGGATGTGGGAGAAGTGGTGCAACGATGGCGTTTTTGTGTGCTGGGGACATTATTGGCTCTAAGCATTTGCCGCATAAAAAGTTGCAGTTTAATTTGGGACAACAAGTACTGATTACTAATTATTAAAAAAACAAGAAAGGAATGCTAAAGTCGAGCAGGCTCAACTCTTAAATACCCTGTACCGCCCCACAAAAAAGTAATTAAATTAATTAATTAATTTAATTTAATTAATTAACTAAATTAATTTAATTAATTAACTAAATATTAACTAATTAAATATAAAATATTCCATGCATGCATACATACATTTACATTTCCATCAGAATCGTGCCTTATGCGTGTTTGTGTACTTGCACATATGTATGTATGTGTGCATTGGGCCTGGTTATATGGCTATAACTTTCTTTCCGATCATTCTATCATAATGAAACTTGGTATACGGATATATAATTACTAACTGGATGTGTCTACCAAATTTTAGTTCAAAATTCCAAGAATTACGGGAGTTATAGAAAATCGTTAATAGGGGGGGAGTGGGGGGGTGGATTAGAAAAAATTAACAAACTCGTCCTTTCCCGGTCTCAGGAGAATCTGTATACCAAGTTTGGTTATTCTAGCTCTTATACTTTCGGAGATCCTTGCGTTCATACAGACAGACAGACGGACAGACGGACATGGCTATATCGACTCGGCTTGTCATGCTGATCAAGAATATATATACTTTGTTGGGTCTACCAAGCCTCCTTCTGTGTGTTCCATGTGCACTCGCACAAAACTAATATACCCTTGTACCCTTTGGGTACAGGGTATAATTATCAGACTCGTTTTGCTTTTCCATACTACTTAAATATTTATATTAATTTATATACATGTGTGATGTTATTTCCTTTTAGCGTCTGAAGACTGGCTCCCCATGGCCTCAATATAGAATTTAAGACCGCCTATATCTCAATATGTTATTCATGTCGAACTTTAAATCTATCCACACTTGCCGCCTTTCTTATTTGTAATAATAAGTCATAACGAATTTTTATATTTTTCTGTGGCACGTACCTGTTTGCCCACAAAAATTGCTCCTCGCAAGGCCAGTAGCCACCAGACAGCAAGTAATTTTTATACCCTGTACCCAAAGGGTACAAGGGTATATTAGTTTTGTGCGAGTGCACATGGAACACACAGAAGGAGGCTTGGTAGACCCCACAAAGTATATATATTCTTGATCAGCATGACAAGCCGAGTCGATATAGCCATGTCCGTCTGTCTGTCTGTCTGTCTGTCCGTCTGTCCGTCTGTCTGTCTGTATGAACTCAAGGATCTCCGAAAGTATAAGAGCTAGAATAACCAAACTTGGTATACAGATTCTCCTGAGCCCGAGAAAGGACGAGCTTGTTCATTTTTCCCGATTTATTTATTTTTTGTGGGGTGGTACAGGGTATTTAAGAGTTGAGCTTGCTCGACTTTAGCATTCCTTTCTTGTTTTAATTTATTTCTGTACTTAATTTCCATTAAACCTTATCAATATTGCGTAATTATTGTTTGTAATATTATGTTAAATGTCTAGAACAATTTACCATTGAACAGTTGAAGCTACCATGATTTTAAAAACACTACTCTTATTTTATTAAAATTTTTGAAAATATGTGGAAAAAATTGAATAATTGCATTTATTTTTCGTTTATTGAATTTTCCAGTAGCAGGAAGTGAATGGGGGATTCTGCATTCCGAAAAGAAAAAGTTGATTTGAAAACAAGAAAGGAATGCTAAAGTCGAGCAGGCTCAACTCTTAAATACCCTGTACCGCCCCACAAAAAAGTAATTAAATTAATTAATTAATTTAATTTAATTAATTAACTAAATTAATTTAATTAATTAACTAAATATTAACTAATTAAATATAAAATATTCCATGCATGCATACATACATTTACATTTCCATCAGAATCGTGCCTTATGCGTGTTTGTGTACTTGCACATATGTATGTATGTGTGCATTGGGCCTGGTTATATGGCTATAACTTTCTTTCCGATCATTCTATCATAATGAAACTTGGTATACGGATATATAATTACTAACTGGATGTGTCTACCAAATTTTAGTTTAAAATTCCAAGAATTATGGGAGTGAAAATCGTTAATAGGGGGGGAGTGGGGGGGGGTGGATCAGAAAAAATGAACAAACTCGTCCTTTCTCGGGCTCAGGAGAATCTGTATACCAAGTTTGGTTATTCTAGCTCTTATACTTTCGGAGATCCTTGAGTTCATACAGACAGACAGACGGACAGACGGACAGACAGACAGACAGACAGACGGACATGGCTATATCGACTCGGCTTGTCATGCTGATCAAGAATATATATACTTTGTGGGGTCTACCAAGCCTCCTTCTGTGTGTTCCATGTGCACTCGCACAAAACTAATATACCCTTGTACCCTTTGGGTACAGGGTATAAAAAATATTGTCCTTACATTACTGCGTATTAGTGTCGCACCCATTACCATCTTCGGCCGTATAAAATATTCGAATTATATAAAATGCTGTCCTTACATTATTGCTCATTAGTATCTACATATACTCGTATTTCTAGATATCAATATTCCACTTGAAATTTCAGTTTTATTGTGCCACTTTAAATGACAAAATCACTGCTCTCTCTTAACATTTTCAATTATTAACCAATCGTAATACTGATGGCGCCATATAATGAGTCGTCAATGACTTGCAAACAAACAGCGGCCTTAAAACGATAAAAAATGTACACACACACAACCACTTGCTATATTTATACAACATAATTGTGCAAACTAAAAATTCTTATAGTTTCTATGTCATATGTCAATAATTTAACTATAAACGCGTGCCTCTATTGGCGAGAAAACGGCTCTCAGTTTATCCGAAAACTGGTGAATTTATTAATGACTTTCTTTGCGGAGCAGCATAATTTCATGTGATATGTCGGAAGAAAATTTTGTAACGCTCTAACCATAAAAGAATAATAATAATATTCAGCGATTATATTGTGTTTTTTTTATTTATGATAAAAGCATTGTATGTCTTAAGTCAGTACTGTTTTTCAATTTTCTGCCAGCCAATCAGGACTTGTTGTCCCAAATCAATTAAATAAATAATAAAACATATTACAATAACTTTACTTAAGATTCAGATTATACTTGTAATGATGGACTATAACTAACCCATAAATACAATATTTGCTTAACATTCCTTTACAAACAAAGAAGAGTGTAACTTAGATCGATTTTGGAACCTATGGTATTATAGCTTTATACATCAATAAAATATAGCTATATAGGGGTTGGGGAATACTACGCCTCGGTGGCGTCACTTTTCCTCTGCGGAGTTAAATTCTTCAATTCAATTACTTTTTATAGAACTGAAATCGGTAAATATTTGATTTTAAAAAATGTTGTCTTCATGTCAATAACAAAACGTCACGTTTATATTGTAGAGCTATTCTTTAAGTCAATTCCTTTTTATACTCTGTACATGAAATGTACAAGAGTATATTAGGTTTGCGGGAGCTGAAAAATGTAACAGGCAGAAGGAGGCGTGGCAGACCCCACAAAGTATATATATTATTGATCAGCGTGACAAGACGAGTCGATCTAGCGCTGTCTGTCTGTCTGTCCGTCTGTCCGTCCGTATGAACACCTGGATCTCAGAGACTATAAGAGATAGAGACACCAAATTTTGCACGAAGATGCGTTATGTGTGTATTCTATACGAGTTTGTTTTATTTTTTTGATTTTCCCCCCCCACTTCCCCCCTATGGGGGTTTTCCCGATTTTCCATTCGTATAATCGCCTATATCTCGGAGACTATAAGACCTAGGAACACCAAATTTTAGTCCCAGATGCCTTATGTGAATACGCAGAAAATGTATATTTTGGAATTCCCCTCCCTCCCCCCTTTACCCCGCAAATCGTAACTCCCGTAATTCTTGGAATTTCGAACTAAAATTTTGGAAATACCCCCAGTTAGTTATTATGTGTCCGTATGCCAAATTTCATTATGATAGACCGATTTAACAAGAAGTTATAGCCATAAATATATTTGCTGATACAGCGCTGCTGCAGCGCTGCTCAAGCGCTGCCCGCGGCTGTTGTTGATGTTGCTGTTTGGTTGACTGCGAAAATGCTTACACAGACACGAATTGATGCGCATAGGCATACATACACTCACACAGACGCAATTGCTATGTAAATGTGCAATTATACACCCTTTACGTGAGTTCGAATACCGAGAGAGGTAAAATCGATCGAATTTTTTTTTTTATTTTCTTAATTTTTTTTATTTTCTATAATTATTGTAAACATATGTACAGAGTATTTCAAAGTCGGGACACCCGACTTTAGCTTTTTTACTTGTTTCTTATGAAGCATTTTGCAAGTAAAATATTTGCACAGTCTACAATCTACAAACAGAATTTATTATATTGTCGATATATGATTGAGGACAAATTTGAAACTGCTTTGATTTCTCTTAGTTTCCAAGTTTAATTCTGTTTCGATGTAGATTTTAATTCCAAAATTTTTAGAAATTAAGATTCTCTAAGCGGGATTAAGATTCGCTAGCAGTCCATTAAATCTAAACCAAAAGTAAATATGGATGCATGCCGCAGTTTAAGAGCTTTTAAGCTCGCAGAGCTATTAATTTCTTTAGAATTAAACAATTTAACATGTCATGCACGGGGTAAACAGTTCTATGAAATATGGAATATTACTAATATCTGCCAATGGGGGGGAAGGAATACAAGCCTATTCTGCTTAAAAAATATACTCTTCTTCTATCCAAGTTAATTTTCTTCATACAGACGGATGAAAAGACAAATGCTATGTGGACTCGACTATCAGGAATATAACCAACCTTTTGTGGAATCAGCCACCTCTACGTCAAGGCACAAACGTTGCAGCAATTGTTTTCTGATCGATTTGTCTTCTTTATAGGATAAATATGTACACAAACATGTGGCTTGTAAATGTTAAAATTTGAATACTTTATGATTCCTCAAGACTTTCCCATCCGTTACTGTTTATATTTGTATAATTTTGCAACTGAATGTGCACACCTTGCGCTAATTGAGTAGACCAAGACACCTTTGTGCCAAGGCGTATTCATTGATCGTCAATTTTTATGTCCTCTAACCGTATAATAAAACTTTTTGCCGCCACTGCACAAATGTGTTCGGTAAGCGAGGATAATTTGAAGAGTATTCAAATGGGACAATGACAAATTTTGGGTAGGCCACCAACTAAAATCGACAGTTGCTGCAACAGTGCTGGGCCCTTTACTAATTACGAGCCCGAAAATGGTTGGGATCGCGATCGGGCTTGGGTGACGCGCCTGCGTGCTAGTTAAACAAAAACCCCTTAATACTCAAAACAAAACATTGTAAAACAATTGAGAGGCTGAACGCGACCTAGAGCAGCAGGCAACATAAAAATAGTTATTCGCTTTTGAAGGGACATCAAACAATGGGAAAGGACGACGCTGGCCATAAAGTTCGCGCTCGTACCATAATTAGGCAGCCCATTTTTTCGCAAATCGTCCACAATTCAGCGGAATTTATCGAGTGAAATGTGCACGGGTAAGCAATTTTTTTTAAGAAACGTGGCGGCACGACCTGCCAAGTCATAGTCATGCAACTGGACATAATGTTACCTGCACCAAATTCACATGAACGTGCCGGGTGAGGCCTCGGACCGGCAGATTCGGGCAGGAGCGGTTGAGCTGAAAATATTACCCCTAGCAATGCAACTCAATTATGGCACATCGGACAGCATAATAAATTGTAATACTCATTGAAAGATGCAGAGAAGCTAAAGCTGTCAGTCTTGTGACTTTGGAAACTGTAGTTTTCCTTTTAACAATTTTTTGTTGATGTACGGGTAGATGTGATTAGCGCGCTAACTAATTACTAAATTAAGGTTTAGTTACAGCAATGTCTACGTTTTTTCTATAACTCCGTGCATAACTAAGCAAAAAATAAATTATAATTGAAAACTTAAAATATTAATCAATTCTACAACTCACATCAAAAAAGTAAAAAAAACAATGTTTAGCAAATTTAAAAAGATTTTAAATTTTCAAGCAGAAGTTAATAAATAATTAAACACTGAAAATATATTTAAAAACTTTTCAAAAAAGCAAAAAAAACAAATTTAAAAAGATTTTCAATTTTTAAGGCAAAAATAAATAAATAATTAAACATTGAAAATATATTTAAAAACTTTTCAAAAAAGCAGAAAAAAACAAATTTAAAAAGATTTTCAATTTTTAAGGCAAAAATAAATAAATAATTAAACACTGAAAATATATTTAAAAACTTTTCAAAAAAGCAGAAAAAAACAAATTTAAAAAGATTTTCAAGGCAAAAATAAATAAATAATTAAACACTGAAAATATATTTAAAAACTTTTCAATTTACATCAAAAAAGTGAAGAACAAACTTTAACCAAATTTAAAAAGACATTGAATAGCTATAATGAGGAATTGAATAGCTGTAATGAGGAATTGAATAGTTATAATGAGGAATTGTTTTATGTTAATATAGATGTCGTATGTGAACAATTAATAAAAAAAACAAACACGTGTATGGGTCTATATTTAGGGAAAAGTGTTTTTAATTTTTGAAAAAACTATATATATTAAATACACACAGAAATAGGCGTAGACGAAATGATTTAATAAAGCCTTGTCTGCCTGTATGAAAACAAGGATCTCAGGAAGTATAAGAGCTAAGACAAGCATTTTTCTCTAAGCCCCAAAGACGCCAAGTTAGTATGTATTTCAACATTCCACATTGTAGTCCAGGTTTAAATACTTTGAATGAAAGGGATCTCGGGATGTATAAACGCTAGGATAATCATGTTCCATTAATTCCCAAAGTAAAGATAAAATTTATTGTGTTTTCCCAATGTACCTCTCGCTCTTCCCTTAATCGTATCATCTTCGATCTGAAATACCTTAATTAGACCGATAGCACCTCTAAAACTATATATTGTAGTATTTATTATGTAAGTTTTTGCAAGGACACAAAATCTATCTTCTTCTGTCAAGTAGATGCAGTTGTCATTCAAATGTAAACGTATCCAGTGACAATGACATCATTCAAATATTATGAATATGCATGTGGAAACCGGCTATTAGTCTTTTTATCAAGTATTGACATCAAGAATATTTAAAGGGGCAACATTTCTTTTTAAAATTCAATTAAAAATTACGGGCTATAAACCCATTAAGTCAGAGCGGCAATTCGTGAGATAGCTGAAGAAGCGTCGATCCGCAGATCCGAATCATCCTCTGTCGCCTTCGATCCATCGAAATTTTTTAAATTTAAACACACACATGTAAGTTTATACAAGTATATGCCGTCGCAAGACCTTATTGGCGCGACGTTGTCGGTTCATTTAACGTTGAAGAGTTTTATGGCCCCTGCCCTTCACCACCACCACCGTCGTCTTCATTGACAAGTGCAATTCGCCTTTATGGATGCCGACCATTAGCGATAAAAACATCTTTGTTAATCAAACAAATTAAAATTTGAGTTGTGGCGTCATAACATAAACCAAATTCTGCCCAAAACGAAACTCATAATTTGACATACTCTAAGAAATTCTGTATGGACACATTTAAAATTTGTAATTAGAATTTTATTTCTAAGCTCTTGAAGATTTTCCGCAGTTTTTGTATATAATAGAACTATTTAAAAATGTACGTTAAATCATTGTTAAATTACATAAATTAACAAATTGTTATAGCTTCAGACATATTAAAAAAAATGGAACTTCCAATGTTAAAAAGTTACTTAAAACAATTTTAATACAAATAAAAATAGTATCGCTGAAACATTTCGGGTGCCTCGAAAACGAAGTGCCACAGCATTGACATGCAACAACAAAGCAATATGTATAAAAAGAACCATTCCAATGTAATTTTACAACATTTTTCATAAAAAAGCAAATGCAACATAAGTAGTGCGGTTAACCGCAGGACAACAAGTTCCGTTTTCAGTTTCAAAAATAGAAGCGTATAAAAAATAAATGTACTCGTATAAAATTGAAGTTCGCCGTCGATTAAAATCTGGCACTTAGCATCAATCTGATATGAACACTCTTATCGATACACAACATAGCATAGGTCTAGGCACTTAATTATAGATGTAGATGTCTATTTTATACACGTATATGTACACGCAAAATCGTCGAATAGAACTACGCCGACCCAAGCACTTCGTTCCGTATCATCTCTCGCGTCATCAGCTGGCCATTGTTGGCGCGCGTGCGTGAACGGCTAAGATTCGCACGACGTTCGGCTCCCGCCGGTCTCTGTCGCCGGGCCTGTCTATTTCGTTGTCCGAACGCTGACCCCGTATGCAGCGCCTCGAGCAGACTGTCCATGACACCTTCCTGCATTTGGGCTGCATCCATGTCCACTACTGCAAGCTTGCGCTGGTGCCTTTCGGCCTGCTCTCGTATCGACTGTTCACGCGCCTCTTGCATGCGCCGCTTCTTCTCGAGTTCCTCGCGGGCGCGCACATTCTCCTGGTATGCAGCCATGAAAGCGTCCTTGAAGGTCTTGATATCGCCAAAGAACTCCTCCATGGTGTACTTGTTCGGGTCAAAGGCATAGTACTCGCTCAGGTCTTTAAATAGCTTTTCCATTTGCACCTGCATTTTTCCTGTGGGAGCAAATAGATATTCAAAGAATATATTAAACGATTTACAAGAAGTAATACTTATTCTATCCTACCCCTCTTTAACAACAACAATATCTGGCTGACAGTTTGTTAGGTTATTGGGATTACCAAATCAGCATGAATCGCCACGGAGTCTAACAGAGGTCACTCGTGCACGGGCCGAGATTCGCCTCGTTATGCATACGCATCGACGGACATATCTATGACTTTAAGTAACCAAGTTTGGTTACTCTAATCTTGTACTTGCTGAGATCCTTGCGTTCATACAGACGGACAGGCAGACGAACATGGCTACATCGACTCGACTTGTCATCCTGATCCGTAATATATATACTTTGTGGGGTCTGCCACGCCCCCTTCTGTGTGTTACATACATTCGCACAAAACTAATATAGCCTTTTGCCTTTTGGGTACAGGCTATAAAAATGAATGTTTTAAATATGATAAGTGCACAGATTTTAATGATACATCATTATATAGCGATTAATTGTAATACCGGGTTTGGTAATATAAGTAACTTTCTCAGCGATCGTTCCTATGGTTGTTACAACAAATATTGAGGCTATAGTTTGCAATCAAATTGATGGGCATATAAAAATCTCGGTATACATACAGACAGACTACAAGTAAGTAACAAAAGGAACGGACGTTTAGCGATTCATCTCGTCATGCTGCTTATAGATCTACCTAGAATATGCAGTCTGCGACATTTACTTATGCGTATTACAGGGTATAAAAACTAATTGTAGTTCCTAAAACAAAGCGGCATGTTTTTAACACTTTTACATATCGACACCTACCCAGAACGTCCACCTGTTCCCGACACTCTTCAGCGAATTTTCCCATTACTTCGCAGAATTTATCATCATCGCACTGTGGAACTTTGTTATTCTGGAGATCGGTCTCCAAATTCTTAACGGCCGAGTTCATCTGCCGCATGGCCTTCTGTATAGCATCCAAGTTGACTCGGGAGGCTTTGTCGACATGCGAGAGGTCATCGTAGAAGTTGAGAGCGTCTGGAAACTTCTTCTCAACCAGATCGGTCAAGTAGTGCAGTAGTGTCTGCTTATTGTCGGCATCCTTGGTATTCGTTAGCTTGGTCAGGTATGAAATTTCAAAACCAAATGCGGCCTCATTCTTAGAGCCGGAGTTCATATAATTGCCAAGCAGCAAAATGAGCTCAAGAATTTTGGAGAATTTCTTGCTTTTGCGAACTTCTTTGCAGGCAGCTGTCCCAGCTACTATATCCGGCTTAATATCCTGCACCATATCTGCGTATGTCAGCTTAAAGTTCAGATTATGCAGACGCGGCGAGAGGCGTTTTATTTCACCTGTGAACACATGAGAAACATTATGTTATTCAATTAGAAGATACAACGAAAGTACGACGAATGACTTACCTATAGTTGCCGCAAACTGTTCAACTGGGGGCAGAGCTTCGCCCTTGGCCTTGATCTCTTGCAAACGTTTTAGTTGCTCTGGTGGCGGCAAATATTGTATTAGCCCTTGAAGCGTGTTGGAGGACAATATATCCGTATCACAGCGCAGCAGGCATATCTTGATCTGTTCGGAGGACAAATGTTTCAGTGCGCCACCCAAAAGAATGGCCAGATTCTGAGCTGACTTAGAGTCGAGCACCCGTAAATCGATGTTCTTTTTGGTCAGCGTTGTGGGCTTGTCGACTGCATCCTTTTGCTCCTTCTTCACCGGCTTCGAGCTAAATTTAGCCGCGAGTTCCTGCAGAAAATCATCAGAGGCCAACCTGTCTTCCTTGCAATTAACCCAGAAGGCATTCTCGGACATTTTCTGCGGCACAATGGGCTTCCAGTTAGCGCGCTTCATGGGAATTTTGACATCCCACTTCTTTTTCGGTTTCATACCGTGCGGCAAGACAGGCGCCATAGGTGGCGGAGGTGGCCCACCCATACCAGGGAATGGCGGTGGAAGGGGACCACCCATGCCAGGTGGTGGAGGCGGTGGTGGTGGGCCACCCATTCCAGGGGGTGGTGGCGGTGGAGGTGGACCTCCTCGGCCACTTCCAGGCATAGGAGGTGGGGGCGGTGGTGGAGGACCACCCATTCCAGGAGGTGGTGGCGGAGGTGGTGGGCCGCCTGCACCTGGTGGTGGCGGTGCCATAGGTATATTCAACTTTGGCAATTTATTGGGTGATGGCGCCGCCACACCATTCGCTTCCATCAGCTTTACCTTCTCCTCCAAATGTGCCACCTTTGCCTCGGCTTCCTGCTTAGCGCTTTCCAGCTGCTCAATCTTTTTCTCATACTCCTCGGAACGTTTCGAATCATTGACCTTTGCTTTCTCCACCATGTCGTCCAGCAGTACCGAGGTGTCTATGTTGAAGTTTCGATTCTGGAAGTTCGGATCGCAGTAGCCTTTGTGGAAGACAATCTGCGTAACGCACTCCTCGATTAGTTGATAGTAGGCAGGTCGGAAGTAATAGTCATCGCGTATGTACAGCAAATGCTGCAAAATCGAAAGGAAGTACGGCTCGGAGGCGGTGTCTGTAACCAGATTTTTTACCACTTCGAAGCAGTCGGTGGCATCATCCATGTTGAAGGTAACATTATCAAAACGGCTCACAAACTCCTCAAAATCATCCTCGCGTATCTCATTAAAGATCTTAAAGTGTTGCTGCAATCCCTCATTGTTGCTGGTGTTGACAATCTCGGTGAATTCTTCGAGCCTATCGAACAGACCCATACGCATGATCTCGCAGCGCAAATGGATGCGAAAGTTTAAATCTGACGGCGTGTTGGATAGCGTGTTGATAAAAATTAGACTGTGACAGGCCAGGTCCCGTTTCGAGTCATGTTTGGCGGACACAAACAATGCATCCACAATTGGTCGGAAGCGTTCACTCGCCTTGTACGAGTTGGCAGCAATGGTTGTTATGGCACGCAAAACTTTCTCGTAGCCATTGCGCTCATAAACGAGACAGAAGGAAGCCAGCAATTTCAACGCTTCGCACATGGTTTGAGGTTTTCGCGGATCTAGTGCCTGGGCTAACAGCAGCACCACACTGTGCTGGTCCGGCGTTAGCACCACATTCAGGCCCCACGTATTGTTCATGATCGCCTTAAGGCAGCGTATAGCCTCGAACTCGATGCGGTCGTAGGTGCGATCCTTTTTGGCTCGCGACAGCAGCTTCTCAATTTGCTCGATGCCTGCCTCGCCAAACTCCTTGATCCACGATATAGGATTGCTGGTGAGCGCCACTCGTAAGCTCTCCAAACATTGGTAAATTTTATTCTCGCTGTGCTCACCATTTTGGAGATACTCTATATAGTCTTGTGGTTTCTCAAATCTAGAGTTCGCACGATGTTCCAGTGAGTTTTTGCCTGGAAAAAAATAAAGATTTGAGAATGTTTTAAAAACCAATTAATTTCTCAACAATTCTTATGATATGTGTATGTTCGCACAGAATATAAAAGAATTCAATATAGATTGCCTTCTAGCAGATTTGATTGTAATCATTTTTTCTTTCAATAGATAAAAGATTTACCTATTGTTTCAAAAAGAAACAAGCTAAGTTCTCTTGATCGTGTTTACAGTTTTATCTACCTGATTCAAGAACATATTTGCTGAGAAATTATGAATTTCACTAGAATTGCGGTACCGCCCACTTCTTTCTAATAATATTCACCCAGTGTTTCCCTTCGTCGAATAATATATACCACATTGCGTCGAATAGTTGCTAATTTTGGTTTTGGATTATATATAGAAGAACGGTTCCGACAAATTGTTTCCCTATGATGTATAGAATAAGTTTCTTAAATCGATGTGAAAATAGTAAGCTGTAATTCTATAACGATTGACTCCATAATTTCGACGCCTATTAAGAAAGAGAAAGACATTCATTTTTACCTATATAAATATTTCTGGGTTAAGAATGAAGAATCAAATCCATCTAGACATGATCGTCTGTCTAGATGAACGGATTGATTTGAAATGGTTAGATCCACATTAAGCAAACTCGATATGTAGACTCTTCTCCTTATCTATAGACAACACGGATTTATTTTATTTATGGTTCTTTCTTCGCTATATATGTGTCGATACTCTCTACAATTCTAAAGTAACTGACAGCAAGTACCCTTTATTTTTACTTTATCAAATGTTGTTTAAAATGAAAGCAATTATAAATTAAATTGAAAAATGTACACATGAGTGTTTGTTTATTAATAATATGATTAGTAGTTGGCATCCGTTTTTAGAGTTCTCTATAAGCTTTATGTTTTGCCAAAGCCAGCGCTTTACTTTTACAAAGTTTTTCATTTCATAAATATACTTGTATAGTACATACATAAATACGCATTTGCTTATCAACGGAATAACCAAAACAAAAAACCACTAAAATTGGCCTTGACATTTATCGCATATGCACTATATAATCGCTATATACAAGTATGTATGTAAATTGTATAGTTGAAGAAAAAGTTGAAAATTTGTTGAATGGCGTCAAGTGGCTGACGTGCAACCTGTAGCTTGTTTTATTTAAATCTCTTATAAACAACTCTTCTGAACATTCTGGTATTGTGTAACTATTGCATATGTATATAAAGAGCAACAATAATAAACAACTGCATTTCATTTAAATAAACAAACACAACGCCTATTAAGAGAGGCATAACGTGAGTAAACTGAGTAGATCTCGCGAGAGAATTGCAAACAAGGCGAGCCTCATAGATCATCACCGTTTTGTCATCGACGACAGCCTTCCAAGTGATTTATTTTTTATTTTTATAGAAATAAGTGTATTTGTGTTGTGTGCAAAATGACAAAATCAGCTTAAAATAAATGCGCCAAGTGAATATTAAAATGGCAATAATAATATAAAAAGCCAATAAACTTTGACTGCTGGTATGACGATCAGATACAGGCCCAACAGCCATCTATAAACTCATAGGTTCCAGTAGAGCCGTATTCATTGTAGCAGAACCAAAATAAAATGCATGCCCACAGTGGCGGGCCAGTTAAACAACAAGCCCGTTCATTAACACGCTTGATGAGTAGTGGCACACACCTCGAGTTAATTAATAAAACAGTTAGTAACCAGTGCTTGAGTTGGCGGCCAACGTTTTTGCCATATGTGCCTATTCGAATTTCTATACCCCATTGTTTATATAACACTTATTTATATATCGCTCAATCAAACGAAAACTAAACGTAAATGATTTAGATTTGAAAAGGGCTGATGAATATTTTTTTTGGAGCGATGCAAATCTCTACCATAAAAACATTTGGTCTCATTAAATATACATACATGCCTATCAGAATCCAAAGACTAATTTTAGGACCTAAATGCAAACCGACAACCAAAATTAAAACGTATTAACGGCTTGATCTAGATAAACCCGTCTGTTCGACCACCCGTTTGATCGTTTATTCTGTCTGTATGAACGCTAAGATCTTGGAAATCATCTTAGACCCAGTAAAGCTCGAGAAAATTAATATTTTTTGGAGATATAAAAAATGTAGAGTTATTTTCGATCAATCGTAAAAAATTATTATGTCGCCTATGACCCTTTGATCTACTCGGAGTACTTGCTCGTATTTCATTGTCCGCCAAAGTAGAGTGTGAAAAGGTCTTAGGTTTGACAAGAGAGCTGACATACAGCAATAAAAACTCTTAATAGTCGACTGCGACTAACATTTGCTCTCTGAATCGTTGTTTTTTCTTATCGCTGCTTTGAAGGCAAACAATTTGCATATGGATTGGGGGTAATTGAAATGTGGTGCTTGAGTTTCAATTGTTTCGTCCAATTTAATTAGAGCAACTAACACTTAGACTTATCACCGAAAATGTGGCAACTTAGTTTGTTGAAGGCCCCTAGAATTTTAGATTATAAGATACTACTATTTAGAATGTGTGCTATTAACCTATTTGGCAATGTTTGACTGTTTAGTTAGATAAGTACTGGACTTGATAACAAAGTGAACTAAAAATGTTCTCTGAGTCATGCAGAACAAAATAAACTGCGCATAGAAGTGAGAAATTCAGGAAAAATGACGCCACTGACGCCTCTTCTGAACGCAAAATTGGCAAATAAAAAAGGCATGCATAGCAAAAATTGGCATTTACAGATACATGTTCTCTCAACAATGGACACATATACACTCCCACTTTATAATCTTATCACAACGGAATGCAATGAGCGCCCAACGACAGGTTGGCCGATAACACCAGAAAACAAAGTTACAAATTTCTATTACACTAACTAACATCGTTTAAAAGGCTATTAAACGAAGTTTAATTCGTTAACTTATAACCTATTAGTCTGCAGCTGTTTATATTAATTTAATTTATAGTATTTATTAAAATGTTGAATTTCTTCTGTGAAAATCAAAAGCAACCAGCACTCAACACCTGGACTCCTTATTGTAGATCACTATCTCCGTTATATCTTTAATATCAAGCTCCCTGATATAAAGTCTGTAAGAAGGGAGATATAAGAATCTTATCTACAGAGAATAATTAAATTACAAATTAAGAATAGTAATCATGCATAGTTATTTCAAACAGCGAGTTAAAGAGCTAGAGCTCGTCAAACCATTTAAAGCTTAGAACTGCATTTAAAATTTTAAATTAAATTGAAATGGGTTTGAAATGTTCATATTTAAGTTAATATTAACATATCTTTGTACTAACAATAAGCTTGATATTAATGTGGGCCGCAAATATAAAAAAGCTTGTGATCAAATGGGTCTCTAGCATTACTCAAACATTGTCTATTATTTTTGTTCGTGTTGATTTAAAAAAAGCACGAAAAACACGTACCAGAAGACGAGACGGGAGAATTCGTCAATTATACATAAGAAAAGAAGAGTATCATAAAGTCGTTTATTTTTTTAACACCCATAAAAATGCGTCGTTCTGTGCATATCTGACGGTCCGTCCGCTTGCAAAAATCTGCGAAAGACTCACCAAATTAAAAAGATATGCCGGTTCTCCTAAATCCGAGAATGGAAAAGCTGATTTTATCGATGGACCTCGCGGAACGAACTTTTATTTAAAAGTATATTTGCATATAGAATATTTATATTGAAAAGTGTAGGATCTACTAGATTTATCTAGAACCAGCAAAAAGTACGTCTATTTGTATTTTTGTTATTATATATATGATATTTATGATCATATCACAAAAACTGTCTGTCTGTACTAAACCCAACCTTCGAACCTTCGGTCGGTGCTGTTTTTAAACTTTTAGTTTTTCTAAATTCCTAGCAACCTGTCCTTCGAGTGCGAAAGACCGATTCCTTGGATTATTTTACTGTTATATTTTGGTGGCCAAGCCACACTGCCAGCTTATTTCTACTATATTTGATCTCCAACTCACCTTTTAAATGCATGAAAATCATTTTCTGACGCTCTTCCTTCGATTTAGCTAACAAAGGCTCGCGTTTGTCCGTAGGTATATTCATATCCTCGATGATTTCTAAAAATTTGGCATTCACCTCCGACTCGGTGAGTTCCCGTATATGGCGCTCCAAGTCGTCAACGCCAAAGACCTCCTGGTCTGAACTGGCGGGTCGGCCAGCGTGGGTCAATGTGTTGCTGTTGTAGCTGCCGCCCTTGGACTTGGGCCTTCCAAACCAGCTCTCCAGCAGACTTCCGCCGCTTGATTTGTTTTTCTCGTGTTTCGACATTCTGCGAAAGAGTAACAGTCGGGTTTTATTAACTCTGCTAATTTAATAAGAACCTTAAATTATGCATGTGCAGCAGACCTAAACATTTTGTTGCGCATTTTAAGAGCTTTAAAATAATACTACGCGCTGCTTTGTTCAAGAATCGCGAATTATTCCCGGACATGCGTAGCTCTGCCTTGGATTCCTAAGCACAGCTGATTTTTGTTTACATTTCAAAATACCTGCAATGAGAATTAGCGACTTATTGATTCACTAAAGACTGGAAGGCATATCATTTGCATTGTTATGATGGCGACATAATACTGTAGAATTTATTTCAATTTTCTAAACAAATAAATAATCATTGTGCCATTATCATAATAATTATTAAGAGTGCCGTTTAACAATAATAATGAGGGATGGCCCATTCAAATGCTACGTGGAGCATGAAAACTGTAGATTTAACGTTCAAACAAAGCGTTCCCTCTGCTGTTAAATAAACATATGAGATAAACAAAATTGGAATAATAAAGTACATAAATAATAAGCATAAAGTTGCTCAAATTGAGGCGCTAATGTATCTAAAATAGATATTTCAAGTGTAGAGCATTTATGGAGAGCAAGAGAAAAGCACACCAGCGATAAAAGTTTATTGCCAGTTTACTTTGGTCCTATCGCCAATGTGTGAATCATGGCAGATGCAATTACACATCCACAATTGTACGCCTCTGTACAAGAAAAACTCTCAAGTGGATTTGGTTCGATCGGCAATGATGCTTGCGTCGTCTTTGAGACAACAATTTAAGCCATTTAGAAGGTAAATCATGAATCATTAACAGAGGCATAACAAATACGGCTGACGATCAGCGTTAGAACATTGAGCAGGCAACAGGTTTGGTTTGGATTATTTTATAGACATCGGTCGGCATAGCAAAAACAACAGCAAGCGAGAAATCGAAAGAGCAAGACACACTTATTACATCATTTATATGGAAAAATGGCTGACTATACTGTAGATATTGAATAAGAAATATTTTCTTGAATAACTGATAGGAATTTTGCGGTTATAATTAAAATAACTATCAGACTTGTTGTAGGATCCCTGGCCAGTTCAAATCTGATCCAGAATCAGCACAGAAATGCTTATATACTTAGGTGATATGAAATAAAAATATTTAAAATATAATACATAAAATGCAATCAAAAGGGGAAAAATTGTATAGTACTTAAAAGTTGAGCAGATATTTTAACGTCTAAGCTTAAAACGGAAATGAAATGCTGGAGTCTAGTGAGACCTTCTCTTAAAAACCGGGTACCTACTTCAAAAAACAACCCAATATATAATCTTTATACAGCCTTCTTCTGCATGTTACATAAATACAAGGTAAAACAGTATTTAAGACTTTGGCTGTATGCCATAAAAAAAAGTCTGCTTTGTTGGCGCACATAAATGTGAATGATTTGATGTGTGCAGGCACGCTTCACAATTCCGGTCAACAATTTATGCGCAAAATAGTGAAGAGTGGAGCGGCAATGTATGTAGAAGAGTATTTCTTTTCATGCGAAGAGGAAATGGAAATGCTTTCAACGAGATTTCTTTTGCTGAAGAATTTACCGCTGCTGCTGCAGCAGCAATGAAGCACCGACTTGCTTCACTGACTGAATGGGCCATAGCCACATGAATGCACCTAGAAAGCAGCGGCAGATGCTGCGACTGCGCCTTCGGCTGCGTCGAGTGTTTTTGTTTACATGCGAGGCGAATGCACCCTGCACCGTGTGTGAGCGTGTGTGGGGCAACAACTAACAGGGCCAACAACAATGCAAGATATGTATTGTATAGTAAATCTGTGCCAATTGTAAACAAGCCCCCCAATCGTACGCCGTCCGTATTTTAAACTCTAACGGTTGACCAAAAACGTCTCTGTTTTTATTAGCGTGAGCTGAAGTTGTTTTCAGAAAATACGTTAAAGCAAAGAAAACGAACCAAAAACAAGAATTGCTCACCTTCTCGTTTAAATATTTTGCGCTGCTCACTTTTGATTTTTCGATGGTTTACGTCATAAGTCAGAAAAAATAATGGCTTGGTGATCACACGCACGCACAAACACAGTCACACAGTCTGGCTTTGCTTTTTAGTGGTTGTTGTTTAAAAAATATTTTTTTGGGTGCGCGACAACGTTTTGTTTGTTTTATTCGGCTGACGCTGGCGTCGACGCCGCTGCTCTGCTGCCTTAGCCTCTGCGCTGTGTTATTTTTTTTGCCTGCGCAGCGCACTTCCACACCACGCACTCAATAAAACACTGCGAACCTACTATTACGGGGCGATTTTTAAACAGCAGCTACATGTGTACATATGTACATTCGTAAGTAGTTGTACAATACCTGTGCAATTTTAATTATTATTATGTCTTGTGTTGATCGTCTTTTGGATGTTGTTGCGTCTAGTGGTGGCACCACTTGTTGCTGTCTCGTTTGCGCATTAAATGAACATAAAATCCCAAAACGTAGCTATTCGATTACGTGCGCACAGTTTGTATAGAAATTAACAATTTAACACGTATTTCGCGTAGGAAAATTAAAAATCTAAGCGTTCCGAAGCGCGGTGATCAGTTCATTCTAGTCTGTTGCTTTTTGAATGTGCATGCATGTGAATTTTTTGGGTTGAAGAGCGACGCAGCAAACGTCAAAATATGAGAGAGCGGTAATGAATTTTCCAACACTACGTGCATACACAACATACATAGATTCGTAAATAGATGGCAACGCCACCTTGGTTTGTTGATTTTGGAAAACATACTTGGGGAAAATTAATGTGTTTATAGAGCATGCAACGAGATGAAAATTCGCAGTCCCGCGCTCGGAAAGGGAACAGGCCACCTGGTCTGCGCGGCAAGGAGATAGGAATGTACTACAAAAACTTGGCCAAAACACGTAAAAAGGAGCGCGGCGATACAGATGATGAAAAGATTCGACTGGGTTGTAGTGTGTCGGTGCCAACCGTCGTGCTGGATCGAGCTCAGGAATGTATTGACAAATTTAAAAATGCGCCAGTAGAGGAGCGGTTGGATGAGAACTTTGATCGACAGTTTCAGCATTTATTAAGAGTGAACTTTAACGAGTTCCTAGCGGAAACCAAAGAGAAATATGACGTTGACCTGACAAATACAAAATTGGATGAAATGCTGCTAAATCAATTTCTATCGCGTTTGGAAAATGAACAGGTGCGTCAACGGTACGAGGCACGACTCAAATTGCCAACAATGCAAAATGCCAGCGACATTATTGATGCCGTAGATGCCAATCCTGTGGTGCTTATTGTGGGCAGCACAGGCTGTGGCAAGACAACGCAAGTGCCTCAACTTCTGCTGGATAACTGTATTGCCAAAGGTCGAGGATCCAGCTGTCGCATTGTATGCACGCAACCACGTCGTATTTCGGCTATAACTGTAGCCGAGCGCGTTAGTTATGAACGTGCTGAAAAACTTGGCGTTTCCGTGGGCTATCAGATACGCCTGGAGAGCTGTAAGCCGCGTGAACGCGCTTCCATCACATACTGCACAACGGGAGTTTTGCTGCAACAAATGCAATCGGATCCTTTGCTGCACAGCGTGAGCGTGCTCATTCTAGACGAAATTCACGAGCGAAGCGTTGAGACGGATCTACTTATGGGTCTATTAAAGAAAATACTGCCCCACCGACCGTGTCTAAAAGTCATACTGATGAGTGCGACGGTTCGGGAGCAGGATTTCTGTAATTATTTTGACAACTGTCCAATGCTTCGTATCGAAGGTGTAATGTATCCCGTCGAAATGCTTTATTTGGAGGATATTCTCACACTGACGGGGCATCGGTTTTCACAACAACGTGAGCGGCGACAGCGTCGGGATCGCATTGAACGCGAAATGCAGCACAAGGCTATGATTGAGCCATACATACGTAGGGTGCGTGGCAAGTACGATGATCGGGTGCTGGATCAACTGCGCTTTCCCGAATCAGAGGGCTGTGGCGACATTGAGTTTATAGCACAACTTATCTACTACATTTGCGAAATGAAACCGGATGGAGCTATTTTGGTCTTCATGCCGGGGTACGATAAAATTTCCAATTTGCACAGTACACTCGATAAACCAAAATCGCCGAAAGGCCAACGTTGGCGTAATAATCTGCTAATATTTCCACTTCACTCTATGATGCCGTCCGCCGAGCAGCAGGCAGTATTCCGTCCTGCACCGCCCGGAAAAAGAAAAGTAATCATATCAACCATCATAGCAGAAACTTCTGTCACAATAGAGGACGTTGTCTACGTTATCAACACGGGGCGCACTAAGAGCACTAACTACGACATAGAAACCAATATACAATCGCTGGAGGAAGAATGGGTAACGCTGGCGAACACCCAACAGCGAAAAGGACGTGCTGGACGCGTACAGCCTGGCGTGTGTTTTAATCTTTTTAGCAGGGCACGTGAAGCTTGCATGTCCGAGGTGCCTACGCCTGAAATATTGCGCTCTAAACTGGAATCGATCATTCTAAGCCTTAAAATGCTACACATAGATGACCCGTACACATTTCTGCAAACTTTGATAAATTCTCCCCAACCGGAAGCCATCAGCCATGGAGTGGCGTTGCTCAAACGGTAATACTTTGCTGAATTGTTCTTATGATGTTAAATACATTTTGGTATGAATTTCTAGCATTGAGGCTTTGGATAGCCAATCGGGTCAGCTCACTCCGCTGGGCATGCATCTGGCCAAGCTGCCAATCGATCCGCAAATGGGCAAAATGATTCTGATGTCGGCCCTGTTTCGTTGCCTTGATCCCATCACATCTGCTGCTGCGGGACTCTCCTATAAGAGCCCCTTCTACACCCCGCTAGGTCAGGAGAGCAGAGTGGACCAGATTAAGCGTAAATTGTCACTCAACACACGCAGCGATCATCTAATGATCCATAACACCATTTGCGGATTTCGACAAAGCAAAGAAGCCCATCGCGAACGCAACTTTTGCTACGACAATTTTCTCAGTTTTATGACACTCCAGCAGCTGGAGCGGATGAAGCAACAGTTTGCTGAGCTCCTTAATAATTACAAGTACGTACGCCCTTTAAACTTGCTGCTATTTATTGTAACGTTGACTTCATTTTCTAGATTTCTCACTTCATCCAATTGCAAGCAAGATACCTCAAACGTAAATTCAGAGAAAATACCGCTTTTACGTGCTATTATTGGAGCTGGTCTCTATCCCAACATGGCCCATTTGCGGTAAGCAGTTCTAGCTTAACTTAAAGCCTAACAAATGTAATTGGGTGTTAATACATATATTTGTATTTTACAGCAAATGTCGACAGATAAAAAATCGGGTACGCGCCATTCACAGCATGGCAACGGACGATGGACGCCGAGTCCAATTCCATCCTTCTTCGGTAAATAATGGCGAGTCAAGTTTTGATTCAGACTATTTCGTATATTTCCAACGTCGGCAATCGGAAGCTCTCTACCTGCTCGATGCCACTATGGTCTTTCCCATGGCGCTGCTCATATTCGGCGATGGTGTCGAGGCTGGGGTAACGCAAAATAAGCATTACCTATGCGTTGCCAAGACATACTAGTAAGCCGATCAAATCAAATTAAAAGTTTATATGGCGAATTGAGTGCCAACTATATTTCAGTTTTAAATGCACTCCCGAAACCGCCGCCGTGGTGCTCGAATTGCGAAAACATTTAGCTGGTTTGCTGCTTAGAAAGGCACTTTATCCCGCGCCCATAGAGCAGAACGGCCATGAGGAGCAGCTGATCAAGTAAGTAGAGTGCAAATATCCTAATAACTTCAATCCCTATATGCCTTTATGATTTTACAGAGCCATAGAACTGTTACTTTCGCTGGATGACAAGCTGGGCGAGGACTACATATCCTCAGACGAAATTGACGACATTTAAATTCAATTTTACAATGCATGCGTGTTTATTTACTTGATTTAATCAATGGCTGTTAGCAAAAATACACATTATTATTTATACCTTGTAGATTTTTACCAAAAAAATAAAAAGGTGTAAGCATTATTAAATTAAATATGGAATATGTTGTGTGCCGAAGACAAAGCCCTAATCATCCTCCAGCAAAGCAAAAACGTTGCGAGAGCGCGACGGTGTAGCTATTGGACCGCTTGCAGCGCATTCATCGTCGTCGGCATTGGTTTCATCATTGGAGCTGCTCAAATCATCCTCGCTGTCGCCAGCTATAAAAATAAAATTTGTTGAATGGCAATTGTGAAGAAAAAAGAATTGTCATTTGTTAACATACTATCCGAGTAAACTGAAGAGGTATCCTCATTTGCTTCGTTGACTGCAGCCATAGGCTCATCAATTTCCTGATATTTTCGGACTTCTGCCACCTCCGGATGCTCCAACCACTTGCTGCGCTGTGCGTCGAATCCGGGCGGATAGAAGCACAAGACGAGCTGTTGTCCTGCCAAGCACATGCGCAATATGTGATTAGCGGCACGATAGCGATCCGGACGCGCCGCCTTTGCAGTGAGGAAGCCTCGTTTATACGCCCAGGCGTCCGCTATGGCCACAGCAGACCACTCGTCATAGTCCTCGGGCAGATGTAGCTTCAGCAAGTGTGGCAGGTTCACGTGCTCCGCTAGAAACTTCAGCGAGCGGTACGGAACCTGCAGCTGTGAGATGGGAAAGCTGCCTAGCAGCACTTGCAGGCACTTTGGTGTGGACGAGGGAAAGACTAGACCGGGACAGTCACACAGTCGAACGAGTGGTGTCAGGAAAATGGTTTGGAAATGTTTAGTGTGGCCAGGTGTTCGACTGACACTGACCACCTTGCGACCCTTCATCGCATTAATGAGTGAAGATTTTCCCACATTTGGGAACCCAATGCAGCCAATAGTCAGCACACCGTTGCGGTACTTCACATGCTCGTGGGGTGTAGTGTCAATGTTGCTGCTGATCTTCAACTCGCCAGTCTCTGCGTCTAGTATGTCGAGCTGCTCGCTCTCCATATCCTCACGTATCTTTTGCTCCCAAGCTGAGAGATCCACTTCGTTTTGAACGTAAGCCTGACACGCGCGATAGATATTATAGACGCCTTCCAGGCTACGACTATGCCCCCGAGCGCCACGATGTCCTCCTTTTCGACCTAGCGTTGAGGTAAATAGGATAACAGACAACTCTGGGTATCGTTCGTGAAAATAATGCCGCCAAGCAACTACCACCTCGGGTGGAACTAGGTCGACTTTATTGAAGACGAGAATGGCATCCTTCTTCAATGTCTTCACAACATAATCATAGAGCGCTGGCGGAAACATGAGTGTAGCATAGCGTACATCGACTATAATGAGCAGTATATCAGAAAATTCCAGCACGCGCCACAGTTGCCGCCAAGTCTCCAGGTTTAGCTCGAAAAGGGAAAGTTCCTGGTTACTGGCACGCTGCTGTCTTTGCAGCTCTTCAACGTATTCCTAGACAATGACACTGTTTTATTATTATTATTTTATATTCGCATAAAAGAAATGCAAACCCTAAAATAGCGGTTTTCATTGCGATCCAGTTGCTCCTTGCTGCTATCGAGACTCCAGGCAGGTCGCACGGGAAAACTACTGTCCTTAAAGAAGCGATCATCGATCTCGCGCTCCTGAGGCGACAGTGCTTGCAGTGGCTTGAAGCCCTCCTGTTTCATCAGATCCAGCTGCTTCTTGCTTTCCTGATAGAACTGCAAGTTGTACCGATTGACATTCTTACCATGACTATGTGGCTGCTCCATGAGTTTGCGTGCCGCTGACGCTGTTTCCGGCGCATCGCTGTCCTCGTAAGATTCCTGAGTGCTGCGCAGATACTTGGGCGGTCCTATTAATTAGCAGAAAGTTGTTTTTAAATGCCCCGGCATATGTTTTTTTCAAGACCTGTGTGTGTACCTTTTGTCGTGCGTTTCTGGAGCAGTTGATCTTTCTTTTTCTTACCGCTAAAGGGCACTTTGCGTCGGTTCTGCGGCATTGTTTGTTCTTTTTTCTACTGATAGTTTTTATTTTAATGAAATGTTTGTAATATACCTCACATTTTGTAACTCATTGCTTTCTTTTTGTTTGATGCACAGTGGGTCGAAAAAAGAAAAGTTCAATGAAATGATGTCATTTATAAAGGTATTTAATGTGATTAAAAAGTAAAGTAATAAATAGATGTATTTATTTATATTTCCCTATTTAAGATAGACTTTCGTGCTTGTTTGTGTATTATAAATACTTTCCATATACCATAAATATGTTGAATTAATTAAAGTTTGAAATGTGCTTAAAAAAGTATTATAATTAGGAAATGAGCTCGTTGAGAATAAGTATAAATAGATTTTCAAATTTATAATATTTTATTATAATATTTAATAAACTAACACATGGCATCATATACTACTTGATAAAAATGACTGATTTAGTTGGTTTTCCATTTGATAACGAAAATATATAAAATTGAGCAAAATAAATATATTAATTACGTATTATATTCAAAAAGATTCCCTGATATCTTTTACTTCTTAATTATAAATACACATAATTCTGTTTTTACACGGTAGATTGGTTCCAGAAAAAGTCGTCTAAAAAAAGACATTGATCATATGTTATTTTGTATCGTGTTAAATGCGTAAAACCATATATACATTTTATAATTTTTAAACCATGTTAAATGTTAGGTGTATTGTATTTAACAATTCCCAAAATAAAGCGGGTAGCAACAGCTTTACAAAAGCTATCCTGTTTAAGACCCAATGTGCGTCGATTGTTTTTAATTGAGTTGGCAGCACTCTTGCACAAATCACATACATATGTATTAATGTACATACAATTGTACACACATCTGCATGTACTACGTTGTATTAGTATGTACATACATATGTAAACAAATGCTGCGATGTTCGGGATGTACAAAGTACAACTTTGTTGCCATTCTAAGCCATTCCCAGTAAAATGCCTCTAAAAGGCGTTAAAGTGCTGGAATTTGTAGGACTAGCTCCAGGCCCACTATGCGGGAAAATACTAAGCGATTTTGGGGCCCATGTAACACGCATTGACAAGGTAAGCTCTCAAGGATTGCATCTGGAACTGTTCTGAATTGTTTCCATCAATTGGTTTCCAATCAGGTGGTTGAGAACTCATTCGATGTGTTGCATAATGGGAAGCGGTCTGTTGCTGTAAATTTAAAGATGGCAGCTGGCCAGAAGTTGGTGCAACGTCTTGCTGCCAAACATGATGTGCTTATCGAGCCATTTCGACCTGGCGTCATGGAGAAACTCAACTTGGGTCCTGCGCAGCTGTGGGCCGACAATCCTCGTCTCATTTATGCACGCCTTACCGGATTTGGGCAGGAGGGCAGACTGGCACAGCGTGCTGGCCATGATATTAACTACGCAGCCATCTCTGGGGTACTTTCTATGTTGGGCCGTCACCAGGAGAAGCCCACTGCACCCATTAACCTGCTGGCGGACTTTGCCGGCGGCAGCGTCCTGTGTGCTTTGGGAATATGTCTGGCCTTGCTCGAGCGCCACCATTCTGGCCGAGGCCAGATTGTGGATGCTGCTATGGTGGACGGTACAGCGTATGTGGCCAGTTGGTTATTCATGTCGCGTGGTCTCAGCATTTGGGGGAAGGAACGCGGTAAAAATGTGCTAGATGGCGGAGCCTATTTTTATGATACCTATGAAACGAAAGATGGAAAATATATGTCAGTGGGCGCCTTGGAGCCCCAGTTCTTTGAGGTGCTTAAGCAACGCCTCAATCTGCCCGAAGAGCTTTCGCAGTATGGTCCCGAAGATCAGGCGCTGGGAAAAAAGCTGCTGACCGAAGCGTTTTTGGCAAAAACTCAGGAGGAATTGTCAGAGCTATTCGAGGATTTTGATGCCTGCGTGTATCCTGTTGTCGATTGGCAAGACGTCATGAAGCACGATCACAATGCAGAGCGGCAGGCGTTTGATCGCTTCGGTGATACCTGGGCGCCACGTCCAGCTCCGCGTTTAAGTCGCACGCCCGGAAAATTGCGCTCGACCTGCCAGCAGCAGTCGATATTTGAAGAAATAGACTTGAAGCCAGCTGAGATGCAAAAGTTGGTGGCTGATGGAGTTTTAATTTTGCCTTCTGAGGCAAAACTGTAAGCTATGCTATATAAATATATCTTTCTAGACAGACTTTTGCAAATAAATACAAGTAGTATTTTTGTAAGGAGTAAAAAAATTGGAGCTAACGATTAATTTCAAATTTAGGAATTATTATATTAATGCTTTTATAAAAGGGTATACATCTAATTCGGTAGATTGGTTCCAGAAAAAACCGTGTAAAAGAAGACATTGATCATATGTAAAAATAGATGACTGCCTCCTTATCTCTAAAGAAATATATACAAGGTGTGTTCCAAAGTAAACAGGACTTTTTGAATCTAGCGCCCCCTGGTGGCGCTATCTATATGTCGACTGGTGGTGGTTAAATTTTGTTATAAAATTGGTAAAACTTTTACCGAAACGTTTCAATTGATGGAACAAGTTTATGGCGATGATTGCCTATACCGTAGCAGAGTGCACGAGTGGTTTCAACGTTGTCAAAGTGGTCGTGAGGACATAAATGACGATCAACATGTGGGCCAATCAAAATTCGTGATCACTGAAAATTCCATCGAAACTGTGCGTGAATTCATCAAAAATCAGCCGAAATCATCATTGAAATTGATGGAAATGTAATTGAACATCTCCAAACCATCGATTTATCGCATTTTGACCGAACATTTGGGCTACGAAAAGTTGATCTCATCGATCGACGCTTGTGACCGATTATTTGACCAAAAATCACATTTTAACCATTAACCACTCGCCGTATTCACCTGATATGGCACCGTGCGACTTCTACCTTTTCGGAAAAATGCATTTGCCCATGAAAGGAAAGCGTTATGCAGTCGTAGAGGCCATTCAAAGGGCTTGCACCGGCATACTGGCGGTCATACCGGCCAACGAGCTAAAACACTCGTTCGATATGCTTTTGGATCGTGCAAAAAACTGTATTGAAGCAGGAGACTATTTTGAATAAAATAAATAGATTTTGCCGAAAAAACCATTTGTTCTGTTTGTTTTTTTAAAGTCCTGTTTACTTTTGAACACCATGTGCATATACAATTTTTAATTTTCAAACCGTTTTAATCAAAATCGTATGAAAAGACCGTGTAAAAACTGAATTAGGTGTATTAGGTTTGTGCAAAGTAGAAGGAGGCATCTCCGACCTCATAAAGTATATATATGTTCTTAATCAGCATGACGAGACGAATCGATCTAGGCATGTCCGTCCGTCTGGATGAACGTCTGATTTCCGGAAACGGCTAAGCGCACATTGACCATACTATGTGGATACTCATTATTCTCAGGCAACACAAGTTATTTAGGTTTTTTTATTTCGTCCCAATGCCCGTTATCCTGGACGATTTTAGTTTTGTAGAAAAGCACAATGGGTTTCAGAATACAACAACTTACCAGAACCACCCAGCCCCCTTTTATTTTTGAAATAAAACAGCATTTTTTGTTTTCTACCACTCAAAAATTCTTTTATTCCAGCTTTCGCACACAAACACATTTGCTAGACTTCTCGTACAAACTATCAGTCATACATTGATTTTGAAAACTAAAACCGCACTCTATACATACATGTTGTACATACAACAAAAACAATAGAAATAGTTTAAAGTTTTCAGATGGGAAGCAACATAATTCGGTTCGTCGTCTTACAAATTTGCAAATACTATAGACAAAACAGGTTCGCATTGTTACAGCATCTTAAACATAAAATCTTATAAATCATGTTAATTTCATTGAAATATTATCGCTTCTCACATGCTACTTACATAATACACTATATGCACTACAATTCGGCACGCAATCACACAATACGCCTCGAACTTAAATCTAATGCTTATATATAAAGTTTGGCCTAAAGCACCGCGCGTCAGCGTTACCAATTGTCTAGAATCTATTTTAATTTATTTTCTTTAATATATTTTTTTGTACCTATTTAATAAGTTGTAATAATGCGTGTAGGTGTGTGTTGTATATGTAAATTTCACTAGTTTCCGTTTGTTGGTAGTCGGTGTAAAAGTCCCTCGTAAAGTAATTAAAGTAAGTCCTTAAGCAAGTATGTATGTATGTATTTAAGTATGTGGTTAGTATTTAGATAATGTATAAAGTCTCAGTTCTCAGTATCATAATATCAGTACCATATGTTACGTTTTCATTTTGTTGTTGTTTGTTTGTTTTTTGTTTTTGTATATAGTATAATGTTTACAATTACAACTTCTTTTTTCTATATTTACAAAAAATATCGTACACGTTTCTCTTCCATTTTCTTTTTTTGACGCTGCGCGTGGTGCTTTAAGCTTGCGCCACACAAACATACCAAAATGTTACACACTATTTATGTTTTATATCAAATCACAGGCAAAGTTGCAAATTGTAGCAAAATTATGTACAATTTAGTACAGACGACAATGACACATGCACGCTTTATACTAATAATATACCCAGCCAAAATGTGAGTAAGAAAAATTTGATTTAAAGGCAACCAAATAAATGGTTGCCCGCATTAAGGCTCACATTTTGGCTGCTGTGGCGTAAACTAGCTAGGTCTAGGTGAACATGATGGGGGTTTCTATGCTAAATGATGACAAGCTTAGGTCATATGATATAGTTTTATATTTGGAATGATAACACCACACTCTGTAAAGTAATCTTAGACACAAACTCGCTCACTCATTCATAAAGGGCTGTATTTTTTATCTTCTAAATAATATTTTGAAAGCTTGAAACATATCCAATCCACATCATCCATGTCTCATTCTCATAAAATCGATTTGTCGGAGACACCTTCTCACACAACGCACACTCATCCTCTTGTCGTTTCACGCTTTTCCTAATCACACCTGCGAAAATGTGTGAGAAAGAGAATAGTTCAATAATAAGGTAAGCGATATGAAATTGTATTACTAGTTCGGTTTTAAATTATTGCCACTTACATTCGTCCGGAAACACAAAGACATGTCCTCTTGGCAACGTTGGTTGCTGTGCGTTCAAACGCAGTCTTGTTCATCCAGTCCTCAGACATCCCATAACACGCAGCAATCAGCATACAAGTTCGTCAATCAATCAATCAATCATTCTTTACTAGCAATAGCAATCTAATACATTTTGGCATTTAGTAACTAGTTTCAAAATATTCAAAGATGTGACAGCAAAATGAACCAGTAGCGATTTCAATGTTGAGGCATTTGATTTTAAAAAAGTATTTGAATTTTAAAACAATTTAAAGCACACAGAGTTTTGATATGTTTTAATTTAAATGAATGGATTAAACTGGATAAGTTTTTATGAATTTAGATATTTGGACGGCTGTGCGATATTTTTGTAACCTCTAATTGCTAATGGTGTAGTGGTGTGGTTTAAGATCGACAACAATGAAATAGCTACTGCTTTAACATTTCTTGGGTATGTTTTTTTTAAATCAAATACGTAACTTAATTTTAACTTCGCTCTTCATTCAATACACTCATACATTACTTATTACTTAAGTGTAAGACTTAGCATATTTCAGGTTTTGGAAAAGTTTTCTAACCTCGCATACGAAACATTCCGGATTGTTAGTTGCATCATAAAGTTGGAAAATGAAATTTGTCACAATAATCCTTCCGAATATCTCCTATACATTTCTGCGGTACGAAAAAACTTACCAGCACCGGGATGAATTGTAAACGCACGAGCAGAAAGGCAAACAATTTGCATAGAAATTCCTGCCATATTTGAAATGTACATGTTCAAGAAACCAGAATTGAAGTTAGATACGACAAATGAGTGTGCAAATAATCTGTATTTTAACCATTGATTTAATTCGTCATCGACAATAATCGTTCAGAAAATAAGAGTAGTTCTTTTAATTTCAAAAGTAATTGTGACTAATTTGTGTGCAAATTATTTGCCCTGTCTGACCATAGCTTTGGTGTGGCTGCCGAATAAACCTGAAATATGCCTTTAATGTTGTTATGCATTCATGTACAATGAACAATGAAAAGATTTTAAACGGTTAATTACAATTTGGTTGATTTAAAGAGTTTCTTCCTGCTAGTAGTAGTCACGTCTTTAATGATGTAATATGTAGGTAGATCTGGTTATACATATGTACATGTATGTAAGTATATGTGTGTGTGACAAAATCGTGATGCAATGCATACTGCAATGTAGTATGTCCTTAATTGTTTAATAGAAAAAGAGTCTCTAGTGTAGCGTTGTCCTAAAAAGTCCCAGCACGTCATCTATGTATATGTATGTAAGTATGTAGGTCTTTATGCGTTCTATTCCTATGTAAAGTACGTTTGTGTTACCCTGGTCCGTTTTCTCGTTAGTTTTCGTGTTTGTTTCACTATATATATGTGTATATATACAATACAGTATAGTATATATATGCTGCAGGTAGTTCATTGGTTGTTGTATTCATTTTGTTGCATATTGCTTTTTGTTGTAGTTGATATAAATTAATGTTGAATAAAAAGTGCTTGCTTGGTTTCTAAGCGTCATTTTTTGGAATTAATACGATCAAATAATTCTATGAGAAACTTATCAATTTCTTTGTTCTGCGCGCCTGTACAAAACACTGTATTCATGTGGCACTACAAAACTTGTCTTAAATCGCTAAATAAAATGTCATTTGTTGTTTTAATGTATAATAAATATGTTTATATGTATTGCATGGGCATTGTATGGGCGTGCAAAGAAGACAAGAACTCTTAAGGCAATTATCGGAATCGATTTCGGTCTATATGTTTCTGCGGTATATCGTTGGTTCTCTTGTAATATAAACGGTAAGTATTTGGGATCTATTGGTAAACTTTTGGTTTTACTGGCACGCCCACACTTATGCACGTCCACGCTTTGTACGTCCCTAAGTCATTTTGTTTTACGTTAATTCGTTTTATTTTTTAATGTTATGTATTGTATATGCAGTCATGTGCTTGATTTTCAACTCTATTCCCGTCGTGCACAAAGTTGTTTTTAAATATTTTCGTTCGTTTATAATTTTATTTAAATTTAAGTCCGTTTAAAATCTTTTTCCTTTTTGGATTTTACTGCTTGAACATTTTATCTATTTCGATTCCATTTGTATTATTCATTTTCTCTAGTGTTTTGTTACTTATAACTATATTTCATTCGTTTTGTATTCACTTGCATTTCATCACTAGAAAAAGCTTACATTTGGTAATATCACACAACACGCAACACACGCGCGCAAATGAAATTTCAAATATTATCGGGTATTTACAAGTCTTCAATCACAAGAAAATTTGAGTTTCAGTTCACACACTCATCGGGCAGTCAGTCAGTCAAGGCATCAATCAAGCACACAGTTTTCATACTATGTAGAAATAGGCGCGATTAGGGGATATTTTATGGCATTTTAGACTCATACATACATACTTGGGTATACACGTTCACAATAATTTCTAAAATCAAATATATCATTCATACATACATCTCGATAATTATTTGTCATGTCTAGTCAGAAGCTTGAATATCCAACCAATCCAAATAAAAAGCGGCATCGAATAGACCACATCACATCACACACTCAAGCATACATTGGCCTCGATCTTAGCATTCTTCAGAACTTTGCAATTACAATGTTGTATCTTAGTCTCTATAGATTGGTGTGCGGGATTAAGGATAATTTTTTGTTTTGTATTGTTTTTTTTTTTTCATTTTTTTCTTTTATAATATTTTGTATTTTATGTAATTGTTTTTTATGCGTGTATGATGACTGCTAAATAATTGCTGCCGGTATTGGCAAATAAACTCAAGACATAATATTAATCAGATCAAAATCGGGCATAAACTATGAATTATGTGCCGTTGCCCAAACAGAGTACAATTTTAAATTTGTTATAATGTAATTACGGCTTAATATAAATAAATTTTAGTCTATATAGCATTTCAATTAAATTAATTAAAATGTCTCGTTAAATAACGGCATAATTTTTTCGACAAAAAACCGACAGGATTTGTGATAATGGAGCTAAGAGTTATTTGATTATAAGTCTTCACATATGAACAAGTTAAATATTATAACCGAACGTTGGCTTAGACATACATTTTTTTATAACAAAATGCTTAAATATATTGTTGCACAGCAACAAAATCGGACAAACAAACTTAGCTGGTAATAATTTAGTAACGGACTGGACTGCAAAAGAAAATATATGAATATACTAAATGAAAATCATGTTTATAAACAACTACAAAATATTGTAATACGATAAAGCTGCAAAACGGTAGCTACAGTTTTGCTGCTCTAGTATACAGACATGGTCAGAAATGATCCTAATAATAATTATACTTTTGTTGCACAATAAAACAAGAATACTGTGTGAATCGCATGGAATTCGGAACATGTCTGTACAGTCGAGTGTGATTAAAAAATTGACATAACTTACCATTTTGGCTTCTCACATCGAACGGCATCTTCTACCCAATTTCAATTTACTGAGTAATGACCTGGCTGTTCATTTTCTTGATCTCTTTGGCAGCCCAGGTACACAACATCTTAGTACGTTGTCCCTTTGATCGTTTGCCCTCGGCTAAGAACTGTGTGATGACCGTATCGTCTAGCAGAGGATAGAGGCGAGGACCAAAGGAAGTGCACAAATCACCAATAAAGCCGGCTGCACTAGCCATCATTGAATCAGAAACGTCACCCTCCTGGGCGATGCGCTTGATGAAGCTAATAATGTGCATAAGATGCGACTCCATAAGCAAGACTGCTTCATTTGGCGTTTGATCTACACCCTTCAGGCCTTGTATAATGCCAGTGTAGGCCTCGAGAACGCTCTCCCGCAACTCATTTATGTATTCACTCATGTCATAGCTGGACGGGTCGACCTGTGGAATTAGCTATTTCTTAGCAAAAGTCAACATCTGGGGTTCGGCTTACATACCTGAAGTTGCGAAGCAGCCCGTAGCATTTCCAAGACCAAATTTAAATATTTGACGAACTCCGTGCCAATGCTCAATGCCATGTCGCCGAAGGCTGACAGTATCTGCGGCTTGACATTCCGGTGCAATGTCGGCTCGGCCAAATCGCTCATCATTACAGACATGATCTCATCGCAGTAGGGCACGACCAAATATTTCAACGCGCGACAAATATCGCCTGTTAGGCCGACAGCTGCACAGCAAACTTGGTACTCTTGATGATTTTTCAAACCCATGATGAGGTAATCCTTAAAAGCGGGCATGTATTTGGCGAATCCGATTCCGAGGAGCTCTACCAGTGTCGATACGGCTAAGAACGCATCCTCTTGTACACCACCAGATTTGCCAGCGCTCGAGTTGAACATAGTTAGCAAAGCGGTCATGATGGCGTCCGAGATCTGAGGAGCATCCTCTTCGCGTACCTTGCGCAGCACGCTTTGCAATGTAGCACAAAGCAGAGATTGCAGATCATTGAACTGATGGCGATCGCTGTGGTTATTGATGTGCGTTTCCATTTGCATCACCTGATTCAAGCGCTCCAAGATGACAATTGTAGTGCGCTGCACGACAAGATAGCAATCCAGAGGCGAGTTCTTGATCATGTCCATCAGCGCCTCGTAGGCGGCACTGCGCAAATTGGCTTGAGCGCCATCTGAGCGATCGGTGGTCTCCAGCAGTTGAGTAATAATAAATTCAAAGTACGGCGATAGCGCATAAGTTTCCGGAGTTTCGCCTTCGTTGGTTACAGCAGCCTCATAGGCAGCATCAGAGAGGCCAATGAATGCCCAACAAACATTGGCAGCCACACGTGGCTCTGATTTTAGACTCTTGACAAAGCACTCTAGAAGCGTCTGCAGATATGTCTTATTGATGGCTGCTTCTGGTATAATCTGTAAATTGTTTTGATAAAAAGTAAAGTAAATATATGTAAAATAGTTTGAAAAAAAAAAGAAACGTACATCGCATATACGTCCGAATGTCCAAGCGGTTGTGTCGCGCACTATGACGCTCGAATCGTACATCAAACGAATTAGTGTTGGCATAGCCTGCTCCACCAAGGGTTTGAGCGTGTTTGTTTCCAGTCCATTAAGCACCGAACCGAATGTCATGACGGCGGCATCACGATACCTCCAGTTGGGCGATTCAATATTCTCCTTGATAAATGGCAAGACATGCGGTACAATCTCATCTTCGCAACAGGTGGCCAACAGCATGAGGCACACCGAAGAGGCTTTGGCAGGACTCCAAGTGTCCTCATCATCGCACTCATCCTGGTTTGTCAATTTCTCCACCAGCACAGGTGTTAAAAATTGTAGAGCACCACGTGCATAATGCTTTGAAACACGGTGCGGTGGACGACCTTGATCCGTAGCCTCCTGACTTTCAATAGCCAGATCGATTTCCTCGTCGCTAACGTTCGACCAGAACTCAATGCCCTGCAGAGCTACGGCATCATTATCGGATTTCATAGCTTCCAGTGTTATAGGAAACAGAGCTTGGGCCATGTATGGTTCCATGAACTGATAATACAGGGTCATAATCTTAACCAGGCACTGCAATGCGGCAACGCAAATTTGCGTGTCCGTACATTGTGTGGCCTCGCAAACAACCTCCATAATGAAATTTCGCTCCATGTCCTTTTCAAAGTTTGCTTTGGTGAACTCTAGCGAATTATGCAGAGCTGTGGTGGCGGCCAACCGCACATGGTTACTCGGCTCCAGCTTTCGCATGCCATGAATGATGGCCGTAAGGACCTGGTTCGATTGATTCTCGAGAACGCCGTACCTTATATCTTGACAAATGTATCCGATGGCCTCTAGCGCCGCCTCACGGTGCATTTCGCTCGAGCCTTCGTTCACGACTTTGCTGACCAGCGTCTGTATCAGTATGTTCCATCTGTTAATTGGCAACTCTATGACGGCAACATAGGCGACGCATTGGGCAGCGCAAGAAGGTCTCGTATTTTCAGTGCCCAAAGCCACGAGTATCTGTAGAGATATAATAAAGATTGCGTTAATGGTTTACAGCAAGTGCATATAACTATATTAGCTCACATTATTTTTGATTAGCTCGCGTGTCTCTTCGGGAAATTGGTTCCACCGTTGTTGATATTGCAGGCTGATCTTCTCGTCCTTGCTTGTCAAGTGGTTCTTCAATTGCAGACCAGCTGCCATACGTGCCACGGCGCTGTTGGTCGTGTTGACAAGTATTTCGGACAGCGCCTTGAGGAACTCTGGCAAGTTCGACTCGGCTGCCTGCTCCAAGAAGTTCTTTGCCGACAGAAGTTCATTTTTGTCTGTCGATTGTAACGAAATGTGAGGTTAGGTGAGTTAAATCCTTCATTGTTAGTGGCACACATCGTTATACATTCAGTTACACATACATACATATGTAGACGTGTATATATGCATGTGTGACGGTGCCCCTAGCAACCAATACATACATGCATATATGCACATATGGATGTACAAGTATAGCTACTAGTACCAGCAAATTGCAACCCTGTTCAATATACATACATATGTACATATATGTGTATGTACGTATCGTTGATGCGAAATCATGGTGTCTTATTATTACACCATGCGTCTCAACTGGCTCTATGTATCACTTTGGCGGTTTCATCTGAATATGCTTAAGTACTCCACTTACCTGGCGAAACCGTCTTCTCCAATATAGCAATCAATTGCCTGGTAATATCGGAAGTCATAATTGCGCTTTTTGCTTTCTATTTCGCGTAGATGTTCGTCAGAGGTTATGGGCGGGGTGTGCAGTGGCGTGTGGGGAAACTTTTCGTAATCGCCTCTACCTAAGCGTAATTATAGACAAATTCGTACAGCTGCTTACAATAAACAAATTTCAACAAATATCGTGTATCAATCGTGTTCCAAAATTAAAATGCCATGGCTAAATTGATTTTTCTTTTTTACGAAAACACACACTTACTTTTTCTGTCGCTCTTCAATCCAGTCACCTTTGTCTGCGCACTGCCTCTGTTTCAACTTGGCAAAAAAAACGCGGGAGTGGAATTGATGTCGTTTGCAATCGGTAAAGCAAGATGTATATTGATTGGGTTGAAACTAAATGCTAAATTCGTAATTAATTATTCACTTGACCCGTCCGAATTGCAAGAAAACTCGGTTGCTTTTAAATCCACATGGAAAAGGCTGCGTTGTTTATGCGCTTTGATGTTGCAGCCCTGTCGCCTTTACAAAACAGGCCGTTGCGTTTGAAATTGTTGCTCACGAACAGTAGACACATGGGACAATGTTAACTTTTATTTAAAATCGTAAAGTGCAACTAAAACCTGTCATTATATTCTTAAAACTGCCACCGAAATCGCTTCAACATCTATATCTATTGTGAAATATAAATGTAAAAATTCCTGTGCGGCGTTACCACATTCTTGAACTCAATGTTATCGCAGGTGTTACTTTGGGTATTTTACAGCACTCATCTGAGACAGTGTCGGCAGTGGTGACGTTTGTTTCAGTGTTGAGACAAAAAGTAGTGAAAATTAAGATAAAAATTGGGCAAACAAATTCGTAGAAAATCGCATTGTTATCAAAGACCGTTTAATAGCACATTTTCTCCACTCCCACACGTTAATGCCGTGTGTGTGTGTATGTGTGCACGCGCGCGTGTAACAGTAGCAGTTTCGTCAACTTGGCCTAATACATAAGTACATACATACATACGTCGTCAGCAAAACTTCAACATCAGTTGATTGTGGGTGCTAGGTTAGAGATGTTCCTGCATTTTGGACAGATACGATGGAGCCGTTCATTGGCTATTGTGCTGGTGGCTCTGCATGCGTTGGCCTTGTCCAGCGCATTCTATCTGCCTGGCTTGGCACCGGTTAACTTTTGTAAGAAGTCAGATGTGTCATCGACGTGCAAGGTATGTTTGTTACTGATTATCAATTAATTAGTAAATGTCACGCCGGAACTATTGATAAGGGCAATGGACAACTAGTATGGTCTTAGCTGCACCATGCAATAGTTTTATATATATATGTATGTATTTACATATGTATGTATGTGTGTTCCTAGCCTTACATCAAGCACTTAAAGTTCTTTCAAGATATTAGATATTGCGCGTATATGTACATTGTACATACGTGGTTCTAATTTAGAAGTTTATCCATGCAGCCAAACGAACTGCTAGCGTGACTGATCTGCTTTACATTTTTCATGCATTGTTATGTTCTTTATTATCTGACCAAATTCATCTATCAAGTACGCAGAATTTGAAGATAAGTGTACATGCATATACATATGTATATATGTATGTATGTATAATACATACGTTTGTTTAAATATGATTCGCTTTATGTACATACATATGTGTGTATGTATATTTATGCGCTTAAATGTGTATATTTCTTTTTTAAATATTTTTTATCGCGTTTTTTCTTGCATATAGTCAGAGGTTATTTTGTACGTCAACCGACTAAATACGGAAGAGTCTGTCATACCTTATGAGTATCACCATTTTGATTTCTGTCTGGGTAAAGAGGAAAACTCACCAGTGGAGAATTTGGGTCAAGTGGTGTTTGGCGAGCGGATACGACCTGGACCATATAAAATACAGTTTCTAGAGAATATTGAGTGCCGGGTGGTATGTAATGTCCAAAAATCAAAATAATTACAAATTTTAATGGAATCATGTGTTTTACAGGCCTGCAACAAAACATACATTGGCAATAATGCGGACAGCGATCGCAGAATGATGGTTCTAAAGAAAGGAATCAGCCTGAACTACCAGCATCATTGGATTGTGGATAACATGCCAGTTACGTGGTGTTATCAGCTGGAGAACGGCAAGCAGTATTGTAGTACCGGTTTTCCGATGGGCTGTTTAGTGCGAACCGATAGCGAGGGTTGCCCGATTAACTCTATTTACAATCAGCCGGGTCACTACTATCCATTTAACCATGTGGATTTGGAGATAACATACCATAGTGGTGCACGCGAAGAATGGGGTGTTGGCTTTCAGGGTAGCAGCGGTCGGATTATATCGGTGAAAGTCACACCGAAGTCAATTAACCACGTTGACCCCAAGAATCCGAATTGCGTTGGCACTGAGCCCCTGGCCATACGCGAAAGTTCACTGAAGGCAGGTGAAACCCTGAGAATTGTGTACACGTACAGCGTAAAGTTTATTCAGAATAATACCGTTAAGTGGTCTTCACGTTGGGATTACATATTGGAATCTATGCCGCACACAAACATTCAATGGTTCTCTATTTTGAACTCACTGGTCATAGTGCTCTTTTTAAGTGGCATGGTAGCGATGATAATGCTGCGAACCCTGCATAAGGATATTGCGCGCTATAATCAAATGGACAGCGGCGAGGATGCGCAGGAAGAATTTGGGTGGAAACTGGTGCACGGTGATGTGTTCCGACCGCCTCGGAAGGGTATGCTGTTGTCGGTGTTCCTGGGTTCTGGTGTGCAGGTTCTTGCCATGTCTATGATAACTTTAGCGTTTGCTTGTTTGGGTTTCTTGTCGCCTGCCAATCGTGGCGCTCTTATGACCTGCTCCATGGTTTTATTTGTGTCGCTTGGCACGCCTGCCGGTTATGTGTCGGCCCGTATTTACAAAAGTTTCGGCGGCATCAAGTGGAAGAGCAACGTCATACTCACTTCAATTGTGTGCCCTGGGTAAGTCAGTGAAGAGTCAGTGACTTCAAAACATATTTTCAACGATATATCTTCTCCACAGAATTGTTTTCTCGTTGTTCTTTGTAATGAATCTGGTGCTTTGGGGAGAAAACAGCTCTGGAGCTGTCCCCTTTAGCACGTTGATTGCTCTCTTGGCTTTATGGTTTGGCGTTTCAGTACCGCTAACTTTTGTAGGCGCCTATTTTGGATTCCGCAAGCGAGTGAGTAACATAGCGTATTTACTTTGTTGCATTTTGAAACGTTTCTACTTTTTTATACGAATTTCAGGCTCTGGAGCATCCAGTGCGCACAAATCAAATACCACGCCAGATACCCGATCAGTCGATCTATACACAACCGATACCTGGCATTGTTATGGGAGGTGTGTTGCCCTTTGGCTGCATCTTTATACAACTCTTCTTTATACTGAGCTCTCTCTGGTCGAATCAAATGTACTACATGTTTGGATTCCTATTCCTCGTCTTTCTCATACTCGTCATCACGTGTTCGGAGACCACTATATTGCTCTGCTATTTCCATCTATGTGCCGAGGACTATCACTGGTGGTGGCGATCTTTCCTGACATCTGGCTTTACCGCCGTCTACCTATTTATCTATTGTTGTCATTACTTTGTCACAAAGCTCTCCATTAAGGATAGCGCGTCGACCTTCCTGTACTTTGGTTATACAGCAATTATGGTATTCCTTTTCTTCTTACTAACGGGCACAATCGGATTCTTTGCGTGTTTCTGGTTCATACGCAAAATATACAGCGTGGTTAAGGTGGACTAAGAGAGAGAGCGGCGCGAATTGTGTGTGTTTTGTATGTGTTGCCACAATTTACACTTAAGCATAATGTGTGTGATTTCTGCGTTGTGCGTGCGCCTGGTTCGCTCCTGCACAGCCGGTTTTCTGTTTAATGAACTAATTGATATACTATATATGTTGTAGTACGATGCGCGCAATAATCTTTAAGTATAAAAGAGATGAGAAAGTAACAATTTGTATAGTTCTTTTTTCAACGATGAAACGTTGCAAAATAAAAAAGAAATGGTTAATTTTAAGCAAAATTGCAACCAATTGATGATTCCAAAACCCTGTATTCTGCCCCCATACTTTAAACCATTGAGAAAGTACTATAGTTTGATTCTGTGTACTTTAATTTGAACATAATTAAATCAAATATGTAATATTTAAAACTTAGTCTAAACAACTTCAATATAATTTGAATTAAAATATATTTTGAACGGTTTTTTACTGGCGCCCTCTTGCGCTGTATTGGATCCATCGATTGTTATTGCAACCCCTTAAGTCAGCCAACAAACTGACAAGCTTGCAAACTGACAGCGACTAACATTTCTTAGGCTTCGCAACGCATGAACGGTGCAGTATTTTATAAACATTTGCAGAGAAAGAGTTAAATATCGAAAAAAAAGGTCGTAGAGTAAGAGCAACTACCCACTGATGACGGAAATTCTGGACAGCGATGATGAGTACGACGAGTTATCGGAGCTACGACAACGCAATAAGCCTGTACAGCAACAGTCTCAAGATGTGAGTGATCATTTAATGGAAATATCTCATCCTATTGGTATAACAACCATGGTTCTCGCACGCAGGAGGCCTTTGATCTGGACGATCTGCTACCCACAATTGGAGAATTTGGAAAGTATCAGAAACTGCTTGTATTTGGCATCTGTCTTCCTGCCTGTATACCTTGCGGGTTCTGTGCCTTTAATCAGATTTTCATGGCCGATGTACCGATAGACTATTGGTGTCGAGTGCCGGAGTTGTCCGCCATGGACATAGAGGAGCGCAAACATTTGTCCATACCGTTGGAAATGGTGAGTTTTCATTATAGTATGTGAATAATAAATGGTCATGTGTGTAAGCACATATGTGTGTCTGTTGGTATAAGCTGCAGCAGCAGCCATATGAATGCTGAGCAGCTACGGGAAAAGGGGGCCGATAAACGTTCTTGATTGTGCGTTGGTTGTGTGACCACAAATGTCAATAAAGTTTAGGTACGGCGGGTGTTCAATACATTCCTCACAAAGTATGTACATACTTATTCATATATGTATATGTATATTAGTATATAAATTTGTGTAGACAGCTGTTAGTCGTATTGTTGCACGTGCAACAACAAAAAGTAGTTAGATAACGTTATCTTAAGTATTATAGTGGTCGTAACTTATGTCTGTTGGCCAACTCTTCTGAAGCTGATTTCTACTCAGCGCAAGGCGGTCCCAGAAGTAAGATGTCTTTACTGTATTATTTATACTCGTAGCATCTGCAACAAGTATTAAAAATCGACTCCTAGTAATGAAAAAGTTCCTAGTACTTTGTACATGGATGAATTAGAAGATTTGAAAGGGACTTATCCATAGCCTTACCAGTTCGTTCAATTGTACTATATATTTCAGTGACCCGTCCACTATATAAGGTTGACACTATAAAGGGCAGAGCGTTTTAATTTGGAGATCAGGGGGTTTTAGTGATAATAGTGATAGTTTAATATTTACTGTAAGAGCCAATAGCTTTTAGGAATCTTTGACTCTAAAAATATATTGTGCACAGCTTAGTGGTACAGTGGTCCGGTAAACGAAGAGCAGTATTTTTCATGTCGTTTTTATTTTTTCCAAACTTCTAAAGTTTCGAGTCTAAACCTTCAGCAACTTACTGCAAAAGTTAGACTTCCAATCCAAAAAAACAAGAAACGATTAAATAAAAACAAAAAAGGGCTGAATATGGAGACTGCGTGGATTTCTTTTTTTTTGGATTATTACCCATTGGTAGTGCCAAGTCCTTTCAATAACCATGGCCCTTTTACCGTTTAGTTTATTGTACGTTCTGGTATTTGTGGAATTTTGTTAGGTTGAATCTGAATAAGGCATAGGTCCACCTAGATAAAGGATAAGACTGAACTTCCAATGTAACAATGACGTAATAAAATAATCTATACAAAGCATACAATAATTTAAAATATAACCAAATGCCTATATACATTCACAGGATCATGATACACTTGTCTACAGCAAATGCTACACCTACGGCGTTAATTGGACCGATATACTGGATGATGTGACCAATATGAGCGCCCTTGAACCAAATAAGAGCTGGCCCGTTGTGAAGTGTAGTCAGGGCTGGGAGTATAATACTAGCGACGTCTGGTCGTCAATTGTGATTGATGTGCGCTAAGAGACCAATACATTGACCCATCACCATCAGCGTCCCACATCGAGGTGCATTTAGAGCAGCTTGTCCCAACTCATTGTGAACTCATAGAATCATGCCTGGCTTAAACACACACATACATTACAAGTATAATTGGATCAATCCAACATTTATGCCTATCACAGTTTGATTTAGTATGCGACCAGGACATTTATCCCACCATTGGACTGGCGGCTCTCAATACAGGTGGACCGGTGGGTGTGTATCTCTTTGGAATGCTAAATGATCGGGCCGGCCGACGACTATCGTACTTCACCTGTCTGGCGACATTGCTTTTGGGCAGCTTGATTACATCGCTGAGCACAGATTTCTGGATGTGGGCCGGGAGTCGCGTTATAGTGGGCCTTACTATACCAGCCGTTTACCAAATACCGTTTATTATATGTAAGTAAGCAATTGTATGAATTATCGATTTGGTAGCCTGTTATAATGTTGACTTCTGTTTTATGTTGCAGCACTCGAGCTGGTAGGTGAGAATTATCGTTCCTTTGTCACGGTTATGACTTGCACCTTTTACACGTCTGGGATAATGCTGCTCTCAGTAGTCACCTATCTGGAGCGAGACTGGGTGCGTCTTTCCTACTACACATCCTTGCCGTTTTGGGCATACTTTTTGTACATGTTCGTCATGCCGGAGTCGCCGCGTTGGCTGCTCATGCGTGGCCGTTTAGAGGAAGCTTTGAAGATACTCGAGCGAATGGCGCGCGTGAATGGTCGGCAATTTCCTGAGGCTGTGCATAGCAAGTTGGAGGCGCAGATAATACGGGACAAGCTCAAAAAACAGAAAAAGAAGGTCGTAAATGTGGGTCTGATGGATTTGTGTCGTACACCCAACATGCGGCTAAAGACTATATTGATAACACTAAGCTGGTTCGCAAACGAGACGGTCTATCTCGGCCTCAGTTACTACGGACCCTCCTTAGGCAGCAACCAGTATCTGAGCTTCTTTCTGTCCGCAGTCGTAGAGCTGCCTAGCTATTTGTGTTGTTGGTATTTTATGGATACCTGGGGCAGAAGATGGCCTTTGAGCTTGTCCATGATATTGGGGTATGTTTTACACTAAAAGCTTATTCAATCAAATGTAACATTCCTTGAATTTCAGAGGCGTTTTCTGCGTTATCACCGTTATGCTGCCGGATGAGGCCGTCGATGAAACTCTGGTACTATATCTGGTTTCCAAGGCGCTGCTGTCGGCCTCCTTTCTCATCATTTATCCGTTCGCGGGAGAGTTGTATCCAACGCAAGTGCGTGGTATTGGGATTGGGGCGTCCAGTTATATTGGTGGTCTTGGTCTGATTGCCATACCCTTTGTAACGTATTTGGGCAAGGAGAACCTGAAGCTTCCTCTGGTCATCATGGGATTTGTTTCGATGCTCGGCGGTTTGACAGGGTTGCGATTGCCAGAGACCCTGCATCATCGCCTTCCGCAAACAATCGAGGAAGGCGAGGAATTTGGCAAGAATTGGACGTTCAAGGACTGCCTGCACTGCCGGCCAGAGCCGTGAGTAGTTGGTTATACAAGCTAGTGGTGGTCAGGGCCTAACAACATAGCTTTTATCTCCCTAGCGATGTTGCTTCGCCGCCCACCTCATATGAGAACCTCGATGTGTTGGCCTCATCGTCTAACAATGCCTCCGAAGTTGAGCTCGAGCTGCAAACCACCGGACGGCGCACGCGTCAACAACAGCTCATCAATGAACGCACACCGCTGGATACAAACGCGAGTGACAGCGTCACTGGGCGACCAATTCATCGTCCCTCCATGAAGCGCTTGGTGCGTCAAATGAGTGTAATGGACACCCAACGCTCCCACGATGGCACCATGCAATTGACGCACTGGATTTAAGACGACAGTTATTGTCCGTCCTTACGAGTAATTGTCTAGTATACATACATACATACATACATACATACATACATACATACATAAATATGTAGTTGACATTTTTTAAACATATCCGGCAACAATAAATAGCTATAGCATATAGCATTCATAATAAGATATAACTATTTCAAAGCTATTTTTGATTTATTTATTTATGCAAGCAATTATGCGGTCTTGTCAAACAAACAAACTTGTTTTTTGCTTTTGTTTTTTTTTATTAAATTGAAAATTGCTACCAGCTGCGAACCTCGTAAGTATTTTCAAAGCGTTTTATGTACGTGTAGAAGTAATATTTAAAAAATGTTATAAATATTTGATAATTTTTAATGACAGTGTCTATGTATGTTGGCTTACAAAAAATTGTGGAGATAATGCTAGAAAACCTAGATGATGTTGCAGATTTGTTTATTAGAACCTGAAGTAATTAAGATAGATAATTGGGATGATTTTTCTGGTGCTGAAGACAATCCACTGCGAATTATGCTTAATTGATCCTGTGACGGCCGTGTTGAGCTTGGCTAAGTACATTTAACAGCTTCAAAGAACAATATGGAGCAGAGTTTATTCTGCAGCTTCAGGAACCCTCTTCCTTCTGCACTGATAGAAACTTTTTTAGAAACCTTTTGCCATCAGAAAAAATAGATAACTTCCAAAGAACTAAGGATTGGATTGCTGCCTAAGACGGAGCAAAAAAGGTACGTCTGTATCTTCGGGACTATAATAAATGGTCTAATTAAGCGGTTCTGCGATTACTCTGATAGCAGACACATAGCCGATGTTGTTCTAATGAGAACTCTACGAAGGTTATGAAGATCACCAAAAGCGATTATTTTTCCATCTGAGCTCTTTAGCTCATATTTTTCTAAGGTGGAAATGTGATATTTGCAATATCACCCGAACGTAAATTGATGTTAAATTGTTTCTGCTTAGAATATGCAATTTGAAATAAGGAAAGACGAGGGAATTAATCATTGCTTTAGGATTACAATTTTGGAGTCAAAGTCTTAATTTGCTCCTATTTTTAATACAATTGTTGTCTTTGAAGGCCTACGTTGCTCTGGTTATATGTACATATATTTTTATATGTATTACATTTTGTGATTTAGGATTAATTCTAACTTACAGATGTTAAATAATAGTAGAATTAATTTTTTTAATGAAACATTTTTTCCTGGAAGAGTTTTCGCTTTCGGATAATTTGGAATGGCTACCCATCCAAATAAATACTACGAGTGCAAGATGGGACAATGGGAGCTCAGTCAGACAAATGTAAACAGATTGCTGCAGCTGCAAATAGTATAAGGCTTAGATGCTATTGTTGGCTCTGTATTGACTCACAAGGAAGTGTTTGGTGAGCCTAATGTTTATGAGTATCCCTCAATTACAAGCCCGAAACGCACACAATGCTTCATTAATATTCGCATAATTGGTCGCTTTTTGCGCTAACAAATAGCGAGCAATGCAGTGCGAACAGAATCCAAACGTTTAATAATAAAAAAAAGCAAAACCAAATGAAACAACAATAAAAATCCGTTTGAAATGGCAACACAAAGCAACGACTGCTTGCAATAAATTTCAAATTCAATTTTTACTTGAACTTTGCTGTGCGATCTGTGCGCCAATTGAAATGATGTCTATGTTAGCAGCAGGAAGCCCGCCAAGCGGTCCAGCCAGTCAGCCGGCTAGCCGACCAGTCCACCAGTCCAGCAGTTGGCGATTATCGCGTATCGCACTCTTCGTTCAATGTGAACGCGATCGATTGTGATCGCAACAGCCGTAAGTCACCTGCGATTTAGCCAGTTAGTCATCAGCCGCTTAGCTGGCGGCGATTGCGTGCAACATCATCGCCGTTGCATTCATTGCCACAGTGCCACAGTGTCTGACCTCGAGCGGCTCCTTAAATGGCCGGCTACAAGACGCCGCAGAGTGCCGTCGCTGACTTAGTTGTAGTACCGATCACATTGGGTTACCAAGTACATAAATAAAATGCCTTGACATGCTCAAGTGTCAGCCGAACTGGTGGCCGCAAAGTGGATTGCCGTTTGGCTACTGGCTTTGACTAATTAGCGTACTTTAACTGGTCCTCATCTTGACATTTGGAGGCAAGTATTTTGCGCATTTTGTTACGTCTATTGATGAAACGCAACCGTGTCTACCAGCACTATATCTCAGTTTGTCTCGCTCGGTCTCTGCGCATGCGCATGCGCATCGTCACATTCCTCTATGCTTGTTTAATTGACGGCAGTGCAGCCGTTTGACTTTTACTGCATCTTCACCTGGTCTGCGATGGCTTGGAGTTGCATGAGAAATGGAAATTAAGCGATCGCTGGTGGGGGGACGGTGGAGGGACGCTCACAGCGTGTCCAATCACGCCTGTGAATTATTTAAAATGTTTCTTTTTCTTAATCTTATAGCTATACTATGTATTGTTGTTGCAGACAAGCCTTCATATTTTATGGCAAGACAAATTTGAAGCCATAGAAATGTATGTAAGCATGAGTAAAACGTTGCTTACATCTTCAGGGCCCTTCGAAGTCTAAAATATTGTTGCATGGTTGAAAAAATCAAGAGAACCGCAGGGAGAATTGCATGAGTACTCCAATGTGATAAAATATCTAATTGGTTTGTTTTTGATTCGATTAAAAATTACTAAAATGAAAAGAGCACACGGAAGACAAATTTAAAGCCATGGAAATATATTTATGAGTAAATAGTTGCTGCAGGGCCCTTCCAATTCTAATATTTTGTTGCTTGGAAAACCGCATGGGGAATTGCAATTGGGTTGGTTTTGATTCGATAAAAAATTAGTAATCAAAGATCATACGAAAGTGTGATGTCTTTGCTATGATCTTGATTATTTGAATTTTTCATGCAGAATGTGCAAAAAGTATTTATTTTTCCAACTGATCAGTACGAATAGTTTTAAATCATTTTGTTGATTTTATTGATCGCTTAATCATTCATTAAGATTCTTTTTCAGCATAACCTTATAAAGATGAAAAAAGATTACAAAGATGTAAGTAGATTAGATTGAGAACGAAAAAGTTGTCCTAACGAACGAAATTACTCCCTGGGATCGTGATTCCATATTTTATCCTCAGATTCTATAATTGTGTATTTATTTTAATTTTTTTCAAATTGTTTACTTAATGTTGCCTAATTTTTGGTAAATTATAATTTGCATTTAATTGACCCTATCTGAAATCAAAGCTGTGGAAAATATTTATTTATTAAAATATAAGCTTCTGAACGATGCTAAAACATTGCATTGCTTGTGGTAGAGCATCATGCATATCTATAGGCTTTAGTTGAAACATCTGCCTAAGAGAAGTCATGCCGGAAAATACAAAATTGTAATTTTTTAAGGTCTTGACAGATACCTAATGCTACAAAGCCCCGATATATCCACCATACTTGTATAGATATAAAGCAACACACTGAAGATTCTTTTAAAACCAATTTTAATTTGAAAAGATATCATGGAACATTTTATTTTCGGTTTCGTCGTTAAGCGCCTCAATAATTGGTTTAAGAACAAGTAAATGATCTTAGAATTCGTGCATCTTTAAAGTTTTAATAAAACAAATATTAAATTCGGGCTTACTGGACTGAACAAATATCATATTGACCGAATCATCATAAGTACAAAGAATAAACAAACAGCCAATATAGACAACCCCTTCTCTTTGCTATTTTACGGACTGGCAAATTATTTTGTTGCACGCCACACACAAGACAGAAAAAACAAAACAAAGCTACCAACATTAATTTAATATAATTTTTTAAAACTGATATACAGGGTGTCTTCTAGAATTACACCTAATTCTGTTTTTACACGGTTTTTTTTACACGATTAAAAATTGAATATATATTTCTTTTGAGATAAGGAACCAATCACCTATTTTTGCATATGATCAATGTCTTTTTTTACACGGTTGTTTCTGGAACCAATCTACCGTGTAAAAAAAGAATGGTGCATTTATTTATAAGGAAAAGCTAACAAAATGTATGGCACGGCAAATAATTATGCAAAAAATGAAAATTGGTTCATCTTCTGGGCTTAAATTTGCATGTATTTGTATTGTATTTAAAATGTACTGCTCCCAAGAAACACCCGCTATACACAAGTATTTGAACATATAACGAAATTACAATATTTTGGCAGATCGAAATGTATGCGCCTCATAGATACTCGAACATTATGTTGAGGCTCGGGCACGACTTGTGTTGGACTGTCGTTGTCGCTGTTGTTATTGTTGTTGTTGGCGTTGGAGTTGGTGCTGATGATGATGAGCGTGGCAAAGTTAATTTGAACTCCACTCCTACTTGTTCTGACAGCGGAAACAACAACACCAACGACACGAACTTTTGGATCGGCCACCGCAGGCTCAACCACCAACAGAATGATTGGCACATTAGCGCAAATTGTTAGTACATCTTATTTAAGCCGTTTAATTAATTCCCGCGTTCTGCCATGACTTCTACGTTATGCAACAGCGGCAACAAAAAGTATCCGCGCTCGACACGAAGACGGGCTTGCCATCAGGTCCAGGCGGACAGATAGGCAGGCAGGCAGGCGCACATGCCACCAAGACTGAGGGCTAGCCGCTTAGATAGGCAGCTAACTGCATACTTACTTATATACACGTATATAGGTAGTACGGGAAGAAGTCGATTAGGTGGCTTCAATATTATACTCTTCACAATAATTGAAAGGGTATGTTGTATTTGGCATGTGAACTTCTGATGTACGAGTATATATGGAAGCCTTGATGTTTCCATGTTAGAGGTTAAAAGGAAATCGGCAGATATTTCCACATGGTAAGTCCTTTTGTCGGTCTGTTTTAATACCTAAATGTTTCCATTGTATTCGAACTGAAATTTAGGCTTCTGTACATCTGTAGAATCAATTTTCTTTTTACATGTATTGATGAAATTTTGTATTTATTTATTTTTGTACGTTATTAATATATCAACAAATAATGCTGTCAACACAGTTTACTAATATTAGGTTATAAT